AGAAATTTGCATTAACAAGCAGTTGGACAGGTGTACCTAATAAAGTGGCCGGTGAGTGTATATATAGCAAAACATCAAATCAAAGTGTTTTTAAACAAAATCAATAATTTTTGCATGCATAAACTTTCACTTTCAGATATTATATTAAATATGATCGAGTTTTTCATGTTGCAATAGACAACAGGTGTACATATTCATGTTTATTAACAAAATTCAGTCCAACATGTATGTTAGATATGTAGAAAAATGTTAAATAATACACTAATATAACTTCATAGATAATTTTACAAAAAGTATTGAAGTGTCATCCAAAATGACAAAAAAAACCGTATAAAAATAATGTGCTTTTAATGCCTTTTTGTGTGGTATAATATATGATTTTTCAATGTCTTTGAACACTTAAAAAGTTTTATTTCCATAATATTTTGGTTGTAAGCGTTGATTAATAATCTGAAAATTGCTCAAATAAATAAGGATAACACCTGAGTTTATATGCAAAACATTTTCTCAGGGCTACAGTGATGACAAATATATTTTTAGAATTGTATTTATTATCCATTCATTCATTCATTCATTCATTCTGTCAGTCATTTTCCTTTGGCTTAGTCCTTTTTTTATCAGAGGTTGCCACAGCAGAATGAACTGCCTACTATTGTATGCCAGCATATGCTTTACATAGCAGATGCCCTTTCAGCCACAACCTAGTACTGGGAAACATCCATATACACTTATTCTCACTCGGAGAATTTAGTTTATCCATTCACCTATATAGCGCATGTCTTTGGACTGTGGGAGAAACCGAAGCACCTGGAGGAAACCCACATGAACACGGGGAGAACACCAGAAAAAAAAATCATTTATTTATACTCTCCAATCATTATTTTATTACAAAACGTACTTTGGCAGATTAACTGTACAGTAAAACAGACTCAAGTAAAGGTTTATGGGATAGTCGGCTGAATGCAGGTAACAAGCAGGTTTGATGTCAGTGTCACAAGTGTTTTTGTGGGGATGAAAAGAAGAAGCGCTGATGGATATTCACTGGATATTCCCCCCAGTGTGGTCTCTGTTGTTAATCTGTGCGTGTAATCTGTTGTCATCTGTCATTGTTCTCTGCTGGAACCTCATTTAAACTACAGATTTAATCCTTCGCTCTGACCTGAGGATGAGGAAGGATACGACACTTATCCACCCACCACACACACACACACAGCATGCTGTCATCTTTGCACTTCTCAAGTATGAAAAGAGGCTAAAAGCAGCTGCAAAGACACGTGCTATTAAAATTCAACAGTAACACATCAGAAACTATTATGAAACTGCAGAGCAGCCAAACACATTTAAAGAGATATAAGAAATGTCTAGGTTTAAAAAAAACTACTCTTTCTCTCCCACTGGTGCTTTTAGAAAAGAGAGTTTCACTTAGCGAGCATCAGTCAGGCAAGGCATAAGATTTTAAGCTCTTGTGATATTAAACCCCACTATGAGTGCGGTATTAAAAAATCAACTGGGTCAGAGAGAGAGAGAGAGATGGAGAGAGAGAGACTGAGAGAGGAGTAAATATTAAAAGAAGGAAACGAAGGAATGGAAATCAAACAAACAGAGACAAAGAAACGGCTGATAGAATGAGCGCAGTGAGTCTACAGTATATTTAGAGCAGGAGCGACAGAAATAACACAAACAGGAAGTCAATAGAATTACGACAGGAAACCGCATTGCTGCAAATGTGTGCATTAACACCGCATTCCCTCTTCCAAGCTTGACATCGCTCCCATGCCTCCTCAGAAGCCCACATTTCACATCAAAGCTCAAATGTCGATCTATTTAGCACTAATTAATTCATGTGTATTAATTTCAGTGTTTTCCAATTGTTTCACAGCATTGCTACAGAAAATGCAACCAAAACCGCAGTCCACGGTGTAAGAGTTTGAATCTTTCTTTCTTTTTCTATTCGTTAAAATCATTTAAATGACTAAACGAATGATAAAGTCATTCCAAAAAAATCAAAAAGTCATTAGTTAAAGCCTTCATGGAAACAAAATAGAGTTTTGTTTCCATGAAAAAATTGTTTCCACCCAAAAAATTGGTTCTAAACATTTATGAAATTCTTTCTTCTGTAGAACAAAAAAAGATATTCTGAAAACTGTTGAAAACCGGTAACCATTAACTTCCATAGTATTTTTCTTACTAATATGGATGTCAGTGGTTTCCAACAGTCTTCGAAATATCTTAATTTGAAACGAACTTGAAAGAACAAGTGAATGAATGAAAGAACTATCCCTTTAAGGTCATCTATAATCAGTGTTGGGCGTAACACATTACAAGTTACGTGAGTTTTGTTATATTATTATTTTTACTGAGTAACAAGTAAAGTAAAACAATACTTTAAAAATTAATTAATAACATTTGAGGTTCTTTAAATTTTTTAAATGCAAATTACTTTTTAATTTAGTTGATTTGCTTTGAAAAAATCTCATTGAATGCTGCACGGTGGCGCAGTGGGTTCACCTCACAGCTGGTTCGAGCCTCAGCTGGGTCAGTTTGCTTTTCTGCGTGGAGTTTGCATGTTCTCACCATGTTGGCGTGGGTTTCCTCCAGGGACTCCGGTTTCCCCCTCAAGTCCAAAGACATGCCATTCATTGTCTGAATGGACGGTGATTTTACTTTTTAATGAGATAAAATGTACAAAAGTAGCAAACGCATTGTTTTAAACTTTCATTAATCTGTATATACGGCATGTAGAGCTCTGGGGTCAGGAAGATCTCAGAAGGTAACATAATCTTACAAAGAAATTGTATGGACAGTGTGTTGTGTGGAACAAAATCAATGCCAAAAGTATTGAAATAAAAAGCTTGTCGAATAGCACTAACCAAAATAACAACTGCATTTTAATGACTTGAATTGCCAGGGTTTGTAATTTTAGGTCCTGGGAATTTACCATAGCTGTTGATTTAAGCTGTGAATATTTAAATTCAAAACACATTTTCATATTTTAATTCAATATTTAATTTTCAACTTCCAGATTTCACTTCCAAAATATTCAGTTCTGTTTAAAAAATACGAAGTATAATATTCAAAAAGCAATTTTCAGTTGATTTTATTTCAGTTCAAAAAATCGATTTCATAAATTCAGTGGCTCAAATTCAGCTGTTAAAATTCAACATTACATCCAGGAGCTGCAGGAAAAGTAATAGAATGCAGACAGCAGATTCAATAGATTGCAGACTGCTTTTTAAAATATTATAAACCAGTGAGTTTTAAGCAGTTATTAGCTTTTTCCTCACCTATTTACTGGTTTTAAAAAATATATATATTTTTTTAACTGAAGTAAATTTCAATACTTTTGGCATTGATTTTATTCCATAGTTATGTTAATCGCAAAAAAAAAGAAGAGGAAAAACTGCAAGTTTTAAAAGAAATCAAGCCTCTGCCAGGTCATGAAAAGTAGAGCAAAAGTAACTCAAAAGAAATGTAACTCATTTCTAGGGCCAGATGGAATCTGCGGAAGCTTTTTGCTATTTCTGCAGAGAATTTTGGTAAAAGTCTGCAGATTTCTGTGGAAATATTTTGGGAGTATCAGAACTAAAACCTTAATATGTGAAATAAAAATAAAATAAAAAGTTAATGTTTAAAATGCAAATCCAATCAGATTCACTTTATTTGGTAAAAAAAGCACGTTTGTCATATAATATATCTGGTAAAAGACAGAAAATATTACTGTGTAAACTGCATTGTACATAAATCAGATGTTTTCATATTAATAATAATATTACTGAAATTAATTTAAAAACTGAATAAATATAAATTTACACACATTTACTCAAGTAAATAAACAGAATTAATAATGGGCTAAAAATCTATGAAATTCTGCGCGTGCAACTAGTTACTTACTTGGGGAGTAACTCAATATTGCAATGCATTACTTTCTTAAGTAACTTTTCATGACAAAATTTACATTTAGAGGATACAAGCATTCAGAATTTACAGTTTCTCACTTCCACCAATGATACTAATGACATCACTCAGATCTTCTGTCCAATCAAATGTCCAATCTTTGTAGAATCTCCTACCTTATTGTCTATATACTGAAAAAGACACAACAGCAAATGTTTTTGTTACTTACATTATTACATGAATCAGCTTTCAACTAAATTTCTTGAGTTTATACAAAGTAACTTTATTTTAGTCCGTTTGATTGATGTAAGTTGAAAAGTTCATTCGATTAAACTAAAAAAATAGATTTACACACTTTTAAATGTAATTAGTAAATTAAAGTGAGGAAACTAATTCACTTGAAAACAATGTAAAGTAAAACCTGTTGAAAATTGAAACTTGATTTTTTTTTTTTTTTTTTTGATTATGCAAATCTTACTCACTTTTTATAGTCAACCAATCACTTTATACAGTGCAGCATAGCTAGACGGCAAAGCTAAAATCAGTCACTTGTTCACGCAGTTATATTTTCTATATGGGGATTGAGACACCGCACTATATAGGGGATTAACGATTCACACACTGCATATATGTTTTCCAATGGTGTGAATGAATTTTTGTTTTGCAAAAATGCAGTGTAAAGAGCAGATCAAATGTGCAAGACACCACAGACCACAATATGTATTAGACCCATTTGAACTGCACACAAAAATTCTGTATTTTAAAGTGATACGAAGGAGGTTTTGAGGTGAAATTGGCAGAACTGTTTCATGGACTAAACAAAATGACACAGGGAGGGGCTGTTCAATATGCCCCGCCCCCTTTCCCCATATTCAGTTGCAGCTATATCCACACATTGAATACATTTTTTTTGCTTTAAGCCATTTTAGAAAACCTTAAAGTCAAACTGTTAAATAATCTGAACTGATTTATTGAATAAATAAATGTAAAAAATCACCCTGAAGGTATATTAAATGATGTTCATATTATTGTTACATATAATTAATTTGATTTTCAGTCTTATTCTGCTTCTTTACTCAACTCAAAAGACACAAAAGATCAAAACGTTTTTCTTTTTAGTTCATTTAATATGATTTATACTCCAACTTTAACAATAAAAAACATTTATATAAATATATATATATATATATATACTTTTAACAATTTACAGGTTTTGATCATAATCCCATTTTGTTTCTGAGTATTTCAAAAATAACATGAACAAACACACTGGTCAAAATCAAGCAACTACTAAAAATATTCTAGTAATAATGAAAATCAAGCCTGCTAGCAACACAAAGTAAGCGCTCTGATGGGTTAACTTGATCCTAAATGGACTTCTCAGATGTATTTCTCCGACATATTTACACTCTGCCGAATGACAGCTCAAATAAAGCAAAGTCTCGTATTGTAAGACCGCTGACTGTAGGTCAGTTTTTTTTTCACACTCCTCAGTTGTAGCTGTATGAATCATAGTCACTGTTTCTGTTGGACGAAGGCTCTCTGCTGGTGTTTACCGTCAGTCGCTCCAAACCTGACAACACACATGACATAACACAGCATGACAGTGGGAGACATTAGGAGAGACTGCACATTTTAAATCAATTTGGCTAATTTAATCATTTGAACATTTAATTTTCAATGCTTTAAAAAAATGTTTTATATTTATTTCATGCTAACAAGCAATGATCAATACATTTGATTTATTTATTTATTTATTTATTTGTTGTTTATAATTAGTTTATGTTAGTAAATGTATTAATAAAGATTAAATGAAGCCGTATTGCACAGTGTCACCCAAAATGTTCATAACAATCTAAATGTGCTCAAATTTAGCATTAAATAAACATGTGAAACATAGATAAATAAAATTATTATCGCCTAAATTGAATTAAGATACACACTTTAAGAAATGCTTGATTATTTTTTGTCTTATTTCTTGTCTAAATATTTGAAAATTCCCCAAATTAATGGCAAAAATAAGTGAGTTTATCGTTTTGACATAAGATTATTTTTCTTACCCCATTGGCAGATTAGTTTGCTTGTTTTAAGGACAAACTCACTTAAATTTGGCACATTCATTTTTAAATCTATGAATTTAATGATAAATGCTGTTGAAGTATTGTTTAGAATTAGGTCATGTCGGTAAATATATTAATAAACATTAAATGAAGCCATATTGCAAAGTTCACCCAGAATGAATGGGTGAAATATACTAATTAAAATAAACAAAGCCGTATCGCAAAGTGCCTAAATTGAATTAAGATACACACTTTAAGATACACGCTTTTCTTACTTAAATTTTTTAATTTAAGATTTCTTGCCCAAATATCTAAATTATATCTGGTTTGATTAAATCAAACAGATGAAAATCAAAAGAAGCCAGCTAACATATGACAATTTTATTTTTAGATTTTAATAGATAAAAATATATATGTCGCTCATTTTATAAGATTTTTTTTTTTAAAGCAACTGCATATACAATAAGATCAGCCAATAAATATTACAGTGTTCATGCCTCTTCATGGCTAGATTTCACTGTCTTTACTCAATGCAGAGAGTATAGGGCTTCGCGATATAAAAAAAAAAACTGATATTGTGTTATTTTATTTTTCTGCAGTAAATATTACAATATAAATACAGTTTCACAAAATATTTGACTATAGCTCTTTTTGACGGTTTTAACAACTCTTAGGTATAGAAATTGAATAATCACACACAAAAATTGCTTTTCTATCCAAATATCTAAAAAAAAATCTTAGATATAAGATTATTTTATAGATATAAGATAAAAATATTATTTTGTTGTAAAATTCAGATGAAATACAGAACAATTAATAGTTTTTCCTTTAAACAAGCAAAATGATCTGCCAGTGGATTGAGTGAAATAATCTTGTTTTCACTTTGAGATGTAGATATTTGGACTAGAAACAAAGACAAAAAACTTTTTTGTTGCATAAATGGTATAAATTCTGTATAAAGGTTTGTATGAAGGTATAAAACTGAATAATTCTGTATAAAGGTATAAAACCGTTTTATAATTTTCATGTACAGAAACTAAATATTCACAATGCAAAAAATGTTTTTCTGACTTTGCTTCGTCTCAGTTTTACTCCAAATATCTAAAATAAATCGTAGATCAAGTAAAAATATCGTTTTGTTTAAAAATTGAGAGGAAATAAGGCAAAATTAAGAGTTTTTCCTTAAAACAAGCAAAATGATCTGCCAGTACAGTTAAAAATCTTGTTTTTGCTTTGAAATGTAGATATGTGGACTAGAAACAAAGACAAAAATGTTTGTTTCATTAATCGTATGAATTCTGTATAAATACATTAATTTAATATAATTATAACTATAATCCAGACATTGCATATCTGTGACTATTGCAGATGCACACATTGCGGTTTCAGTGTTGAAACAATACAGTATATTGTGCAGCCCTACAGGACAGTACTTATTTTAAACAGCAAAAGAAAGTTTGCGCTGGCTCAAGCTGCTAGTAAATGTGGTCACGTCAAATTCATGGCATTATTCAATGCTTTAAATGTCATGAAGAGTTCAGAAACTCATGGTCAATTTTATGAATGATGATGACTTGGATACGTTCATGCACAGTTCATTCTATGTTAGATAATAGTTTGTTCTGACATACTCAATAGATCTCACAACCATACAAAAGAACACAAACACACACACACCATTTATAATGCTGAGTAGTTTGAATGAAAAGCCCAATACATCATCATAATACTCTAGTCATCATTATGTAATTGAGTACAAAGTAAATGCGAGTGAGGGATTAATAGAGTTCAGAACGCTCAATAGAGAGACAGAGAGAGGGATGGACTCACCAGGATAAGACTGTCTCTTGACTGTGTTGTTGTTTGGTCCACCTTGACCTCTGTGATACGACACTTGAAGAAGAAAGATAAAATGCTGAATCGCCTGTCAGACTCAGGAGTCACGAATGTGTTCATGTGTGAAATGACTCACCACTCTGACTCTGAGTCGGCCCGATCCAGCGACTCTGACGCTTCTGTGAAACTGCAGCATAAAAGAAAAGGCAAATTAGACAGTATTTAACATAACATTTCTATTAAAAACTGGGCTAAACAACAGAAAATGCAACTACTTTAAAGTATAATAAAAGAAATAAATATATGGAAGTATATATTAGCAAAAATATAAGAAATTTTATTTTTATTTTTTCAGTTTTGCAATTACAAATTACCATTAACACTATGAAAAGCTTGTTATTTTTAAAATCAGTTTACAAGTTAACTCGAACCAGAGGAATATGAAAAATGCTTCTAAAATAAGTATTGATATTAACTTTTTACTAACTTATGCATTATAAACATTTAAGCCTTCAAAATTCAGCAGACAAATAAACACTATAACAAATGTACAGTTAAAGTCAGAATTATTAGCCCCCCCCCCCCCTGTTTATTTTCCCCCCAATTTCTGCTTTAATGGAGAGAAGATTTTTTTTCAGCACATTTCTAAACATAATAGTTTTAATAACTCATTTCTAATAACAGATTTATTTTATCTTTGCCATGATGACAGTAAATAATATTTTACTAGATATTTTTCAAGACACTTCTATACAGCTTAAAGTGACATTTAAAGGCTTAACTTGGTAAATTAGGTTAACTAGGCAGGTTAGGGGTAATTTGGCAAGTTATTGTAGAACGATGGTTTATTCTGTAGATTATAAAGAAATAGCTTAAAGGGGCTGATAATTTTGTCCTTAAAATGTTTTTAAAAAATTAAAAGCTGCTTTTATTCTAGCCGAAATAAACCAAATAAGACTTTCTCCAGAAGAAAAAAATATTATCAGACATACTGTGAGCATTGCCTTGCTCTGTTAAACATCATTTGGGAAATAAAAAAAATAAAAATAAAAAAACTCAAAGGGGGGCAAATAATTCTGACTTTAACTGTATTTCTCATTAGTTAATTTAAATGAATCCATTGACTAACTGATAGGATAGCATAGTATTATGTATTGCCAATATTTTATATCATATACAAGCTATTTGAGTAAAAAATTTCTGAGTTGAAAATGAGTGTGACTATGTTCTGAGGAACCATGCAGAGCTGTCAAATCCTCATGCATGAGCGCTAGAACAAATCAAATCGTATTGTTTTTATTGGACCACTAAAATGATGTTAGATAAATCTTACAGGAAAATTATTTCAGTCTTTTGGGATTAAAATGTCACTTTTAATTCAGTGTGTCACCTGCCACATCTCTATAACTACGTGCTGAATGTACAACTCGCAAAGACTTTACACAAGACTAAGAAGCTCTGCACAGAGTTCACATGATCAGTCTCTGTAATTTGCTTCGATTTGCTTGTTTGGAGAGTTATAAAAGTGTATCATCTGAAACATTTCTTCTCGATTTTACTTTATATATCTTTAATGCCTATTTTAAATACAGTCTTTGTACAGAAAATTATAAGCGAACACAGAAATGTTACATTATTCCATGCATGTAGAAACATTAAAGAGATTAAAGAGCGACTTCACCAACTCACATCTTTTTCGGATGACTTTGATCGTGGGGCGACTGAACTGAATCAAAATGAAAACCAGGATGAAGATCAATATGCCAGTTACTGCTTTATAAGCGACCAACTCATTTCCAAGCGAATCTGAAAAAATGGGAAAGAAAATAATGTTATTTATAATGCACATTTTATATACTAAGGTTTACAGGTATTTTGTCTAATAAAGCTTGTAAGTACACTGTCAAAATATCTGATTATTAACAGTTTCTGTATTTTGTGTTTCACTTTCCGTTTATTTACAGTTGTAATTTGTATTATGGGATGTTGATCTCTGCTCTGTCGACAATTATTATAAAAAATTAAACTCTATAGATTAACAAAGTAACTTTTATTGACATTTTAGTCAGTAGTTGAACTAATACACATATTGAACATATTCATCACACTACGTTGCACTAATTCATCTTGACTTGTTGATACCCACTGTACACATACAGTTGTAATTATCTATCTGCGTACCTCTGATTACTGTTACCTTACAACCTGTACATATATTCATCTAGTCTCTGTTCATGGCTAATACAATCTGTGTATAATGTTCATAGTACATCCTTCTGTAAATATCACCATACACTGTAAAAAAATCCATAGTTTTACTGTTTATGTCCGGCAGCTTGGGTGGCGTAAAAAAAGAAGAAGAAAAAAATGTAAAATAATCGCTGTTAAACTACAGAATTATACCGTAAAATAACGGATATCAAATTACAGAAATGTCCTTGAATTTTAATTTCTGGTAAATTTCTGTAAATTAATATCCATTATTTCACTGTAAATTTCTGTAGTTTAACAGCGGTTATTTTACATTTTCCCCCAAGCTGCCGGAAATAAACTGTAAAATTACAGATTTTGTTTTACAGTGTAGTTTTTCTATTACTGTACTTTATAACTTATACCTGTATCCTGCACTTGCTGCTATTGAACTCCTGGTTAGACCTCAACTGCATTTCATTGCCTTGTACTTCTAAATGTGTAATGACAATAAAGTTGAATCTAATATAATATAATATAATATAATATAATATAATATAATATAATATAATATAATATAATATAATATAATATAATATAATATAATATAATATAATATAATATAATATAATATAAAATAATATAATATAATATAATATAATATAATAGTCTAATATAATACGATGTATAAGAAGTAATATAGGGAGAAATAAGTCTGTAAAATGAAAGAAAATGTACTGGTAGTTTATTACAAGATTTTTGTGCCATAATATACAACCCCTACCCAGACAATATATGACTTTAAACTATTAAAAGTTTTCATAAAAGTCACTTATTTAAAATTTTTAAGGTTTAAAGTTAATGAAAGAAGGATCAAGCTATCATAATGCAATTGAAAAGCAGAAATAAATCAGGGAAGAAAAACATAAATCACAAACCTACGCAAAACTGCTTATTTACAGACTTCTTTTTTTTACAGTAAATATAATATCAAGAGGAACATTCCAACACAGATTCCTATTAAATGAGTATGCAGACATACCTGTGCAGCTTATACTCAGGCCTGAGCACTGAGTGATGTTCAACGTCATATTGCTTGTGAGCTCAATCCCAGAATTGTATTCATTAAAGTTAGTAACAGAGTTCAAGTCTCCACACCGCATGTCCTTACACAGTCCACGCAACAAGCTGGTTCTTTTGTGACTTGAGCAGCACAAAGGCTTTTCACCGAGAGTAGCGGAATAGACATACACCCGACCCTCACACGGACTCTTTCCTTTTACTTTCAGCCAGGCCATTACTGTCTCAGTGATCCTTTCAACAGTTTTCGGACATGTAATCTGTGGGACCATTAGTGTTGTAGGTATTGTTTTGCTTACATTAGCTGAGTTGTTTTCAGAGTTGTTGGTTGTGTTTAGATCTGTAATTCCTAGTCCTGCAAGAGGAAAACACACATGGAGATAAGTTACTTTGAGGACATGACATTGTTCATCTCTCTATGAGATGTTTAGTTTAGATATAAATACAAATCAAGGAGTTGTAAAGGTTTTATGTATAGAATACAATGAAAGCTGCACAGAGATTGCGTCTATATTTGTTTGCAGTGAGCATGGTATTCTGTGCTCTTATTTTGTCGCAGTGCATTTGAGGTGAAGTGATGGTGTCATTTTAATACAGCATGGTGTTCTCGACACATCACTTAATATTATTGAATAATTTTTCATTCAAAGAACCCCATGTTAAATGTTCGACCTTTGCCTGAAGGCATTCAGAAAATTATTGTGTGTGTGCACACACCTTCATATTTATGTTACATGTTTATAACATATGCCTATATTTGCAAACTGCAGTAAGGATTAAACCATTGTGTGTGTGAATGCTCATGATCACTGTGCAAAAAGATCACCGCGCAATCTGCTGTTACAGTATCATATTATACAGTGTGTGCACATATATACCACGCAGCTGTGGAGAAAATAAAGATTTGATTTATAGTTGTGTTCGAAAAAAACATTTAAATTAATTTTGTAAATTACTAAAGACATTTCTTTCAAATTTTAAATAAAAAAATTGTTAGAAAATTTTAGATTTTTTTTTTTTGTTGCATAAATTAAAAAAAGACACCATGGTTGTAGATCTGTTTAAATTCATCAGTCTTTAGACAAGACTTTACCAATGTCTTAACTTCTGAGAAGTTAAACCATATTTGGTGGAATAACTGCGACATTTGTAAACATTTGATATTATGACGGCTTGTCTTGTTTTGGCAAAATTTGCTTTAAATGATTTCATTCAGATATGGAAGAGATGTTATCAGACCTTTAGTATAAAATAAATATGAACATTTTAGTTAAGCCTAAATCTAGTTTCTAACTAACAAAGTTTCTAGCAAATTTTCCCATACTCTCTGTGAAGTATCTCTTATTTGTATACAGTTGAAGTCAGAATTATTAGGCCCCCTGTTTACTTTTCCCCCAATTTCTGTTTAATGGAGAGAAGATTTTTTCAGCATATTTCTAAACATAATAGTTTAAATAACTCATCTCTAATAGCGGATTTATTTTATCTTTGTCATGATGACAGTAAATAATATTTGACTAGATATTTTTCAAGACACTACTATACAGCTTAAAGTGACAGCTTAAAATGTTTTTTTAAAAATTAAAAACTGCTTTTATTCTAGCCAAAATAAAAAAAAAAAAAAAGACTTTCTCCAAAAGAAAAAATATTATCAGACATACTGTGAAAATTTCCTTGCTCAGTTAAACATCATTTGTAAATATTTAAAAAAGAACAAATAGCATATCTGGCATATACTTAAATAACATAACCAGACATAAAGTACAACCATTTGGACGTGTAAATATCACATTATAACACGATCTGCTCATGTAAAAATCAAGATTTGTAGCACACAGTTTATCCGTAAGCAACATTTTAAAAATGTAAATACATCATTCATCATATTAAAGAAATGTGCAATAAAGATATTGCAAATTTGACAAAGACTGAATTAACCATATTAGATAATCATTTATTCACCTTGTTATAAGTGCATAAGTTTTTAAATACACGTGCCAACATAACTCTGCAAAAACTGGAGAGTTCGTAAGACTACGAATTTAAATAGTTGCTTTAAATAGTGATTATAACACAAAAAATTACAACATTTTGATCAAAACAATACACGGCAAGTGCATTTCTAATGTCATTTTGCAGGCAATAAAATGCTGATATACGTGTTTACATACAAATATAATCCTCAAATGAAAACAGATACCATCAGCAAGTGGCAGGTTTTCAGCGGCAGAGCAGATCATGCAAAATGTGTCTCTAAATTCATCGACAACAAGGAATAAGCAAAGAATGAATCATGTACTCACCAGCATCAATGAGCAGAAGCGCCGTAAGACTCATCAGCAGACGGTTTTCCATCTGGCAGAAGGTTGTGCCAAACATTTAACATCATTTGACTTAACAAAGAATCAACACACTCAAACTTAAACCAGGCCCAGAGGTCAAATCAGTGACCTTTGGTGCACAACAGTTTAGAAAAAGGCAATTATAAGGTTTGTCGTCTATTTCAGGGGTTCAGCACGTAAGCAGACTACATTCAATGATCTGGCCTGTATGATGACGTGACTTTAAAAAGAACAAATGCTTCACCAAATTAACAATTGTAGAGTTATTTAGCTGCCACAAACCTTAATCTATTAAAGTATTACTTATGTTTATTGTTACTTTATAAATATGACACTACGTCTCGTCTTTTCTCCTCCGCTTCAACAGCGTTTGAAGATTGTCTTTCCCAAAGAGAGTCAAACATCAAAACATCAATGCTACACCACGACTTCTAACCAGCTTTTTTTATACAAGATTTATCAGATCTTACCTTGCTTGTGACTGACAAGAACAAACGTGTGCAACAAATGACAAGAAAAAATTAAGTGAAAGGAAATAGGCAGAGGTGTGGAGCTACAATCTTCATTCCCCGCCCCCATTCTCTCTCTCCATATACAGCGTGTTTTTTAATGTCGAGCATTGTTTGATTGCACATTGCACTGCTTCCTCTCTTCAAAGAGAGCGGCACACACACAAAAAATGAAGAAAACTTGAAAAAAAAAATGGGTAAGTGGGAGGAGAACAAGTATTTAGTGATGTGATATTGTCTCATCTTGATATGAAAAGGGATTTTACCAAATTCAAAACATTATGGTACACTCAAATAAATGAGTTAAGTTCAAACTACCTATTTAAAATGAGCTGAAACAACACAATTCCTACTTTTTTGTGGGGCGGGAAAACTTAATTGTTTTATGTTCAATCCACACTGAAAAAAATTATTCAGAGATGATTTCTTGGATTTACTCAATTTGTTTACGTTAAGTGGTTGTAAAAAATGTATTTGTGTTGAGTTAAAACAAACAAATTAAGTTGAACATTATTAAACTTAATTTGTTTGTTTAAATTGAACACAATTAATTTGTTTGCAACAGTTCTGCATGCAACACTTAAATTTGTACACAATTAACTTATTCGATTTGTGTTGGGACAAAATGAAGGAATTGTGTGCAGCATCTTTACAGTGTGGTTGACATGAAAAATCTGCATATTCAAAACTGAAAATGTGTTTGCATACAGGAACTGAGCATCCTGTGGTGTACGGCCCTCGAAAAATTGCACGAAAGATGATTAATGGCGCTTGTAGGAATCATTTGCGATCATCGTGGCAAATCAGTAAAGCTATAAAACCACCGATATATCCACCCCAATCCTTTGATTTCAGGGTTACTCATATCTTCTTTTCATTCACAATCTTTCCCAGCCGTCTTTGTGCCCTCCCTCACTCTTTCAGTCTCTCTCAGGTGTCGCCGGGCTTGGTTTACCATATCGTACAGTGGGAGAGAGACCCGTAACGACTGGTTTTTGTATGTGAAGAAAAAAAATTCCCCAACACCCTCTTGAAACTCTCATCTATGATTCAATACGGGACCGAATTCAAGCAGCCGTCGAATGTGAGTCAGTGAGTTCAAGTATAATTTATCTTCCTGTAAATTTGGCAACAAAAGGTGTAATCCTCAGTTTAAAAAAATGATTTAATAAAACAATTTGGGATTGGGGTTGCTAAGCAGTGGCAGTTCTAGACTAGAGTAACTGGGGGGAAGGCAGGGGCCACTTGTACTTTTAGGGGGCACACTTTAACATACATCACAAACTACTTAAACAATTATTCAGAGATTTTTTTCATGCATCAATCTGCAGTCTTCATGAACAGGCTAATTTAATAAACTCAAAATAGTCTTACATGTTAGTTTATTTGACAAGTAACTTTGTATTGTAGTAGGATAACGCGTTTTTAACATTCAAGTACAGTTGAAGTCAGAATTATTAGCCCCCTTTTGAATTTTTTCCTTTTTTAAATATTTCCCAAATGATGTTTAACAGAGCAATGAAATCTTCACAGTATGTCTGATAATATTTTTTTCTTCTGGAGAAAGTCTTATTTGTTTTATTTCGGCTAGAATAAAAGAAGTTTTATATATTTTAAAAAACATTTTTGGGACAAAATTATTAGCCCCTTTAACCTAATTTTTGATAGTCTACAGAACAAACCATCGTTCTACAATAACTTGCCTTATTACCCTAACCTGCCTAGTTAACCTAATTAACCTAGTTAAACCTTTAAATGTCGCTTTAAGCTGTATAGAAGTGTCTTTAAAAGATCTAGTTACATATTATTTAATATCATCATGGCAAAGATAAAAAAAATCAGTTATTAGAAATGAGTTATTATAACTATTATGCTTAGAAATGTGCTGAAAAAATCTTCTCTCCATTAAACAGAAATTGGGGAAAAAATGAACAGGGGCATTAATAATTCAGGAGGGCTAATAATTATGACTTCAACTGTACATCAAGGCACACCTGTAAACTTTAACAGATGCAGGTGAAGTCAATTTTGTTTTGTCCTCCCATTAATTTAAAATAATGTTTCCAAGTGATTTTTAATAAATCAAGGAAATCGACACAGTATTTCCTATAAAACAAAAATAATTCTTCTGGAGTCATAATAAGTCTTATTTCTTATAGTTTGTCTTAAATAAACAATTTTTAAAAAAACAATTTTAAGGTCAGTGATATTAGCCTCCTTAAGAAATATTTACTGTATATTGTATTGATTGTCTACACAACAAATCAGTTGTACAAGAACTTGACTAATTATTTAAACTTTCCTAGTTGACATAACTTAGTTAAGTCTATAAATTACACTTTAATCTGAATCAAAGACTACAGAATACTTAAACGGACTTTGTCTGAATACAAAATAACTAGTAAAATATTATGCACTTACTGTCACCATGGCAAAGACAAAAAAAAAAGTAGTTATTAGAAATTAGTCCGTTAAACTATTATGTTTAAAACATGTAGAAGAAAATCATGTGTTTGAAGACTCGTGCTTTATGTCACGACTGAAAACAAAAATGAATGAAGGCAAAACTAAACGAGTTGAATATTACTTTTACATGAGCGAGACTGAAAACTACTGGATCAATGAGTTTCATCTGTTCTCCTGCACTTGCCGACTGTTGCATTTTCCTAATGTAAAACTATGCACACTCAATTTCTGATTAATAATAGTTTCTGCATAGCCGAGGACTTGTTAAAATCACTATTGAAAAGAGAAGTCTAATATAATCAGCAGTGGACGTTTTGATGGTGTTTCACAACATGAACATGACTGTAGTTGAATCTTTTTGATTACCTGTGTCAATTTGGGGCTTAACTTCTAAAAAAAAATGTGGTAAACTGATTCGAGCAGCACCGTCAGTGACAAAAGTCAACAGAAAGCAGATAGAGGGAGTGCGCGCAACACTGAGAGCGGCCTCAGTCATATCTCCGTCTGCCACCGATGGCTGATCTCGCTTCTCTGTGGCGTTTTAGTTGTGACACAAAAATAAGCATCCTAATTTAGGGGGGCCAGAGAGGGGGCCAAGCTTGTTGACATGCTTTTTGTTAAATTACAAAAATTAAATACAGTCTTTAAGGTTCAGTGATTAAGCTTTTTAACATTTTGTTGTCATTCTTGGAGCAGGTTAAATCTCTGACAGGCCTGTAGCCAGAGAGAGCTCTGGTGGTTCATGAAACCCACACTCCACTGACAAAGTCCAGAATTTGACCCCTATATGAGCCCATTTGTCCAATTTTTGACTACTTCACCATCATAAATTGTGAAAATAACCGAAAGAAGAAAGCTTTAAGATAATGTTTCATTATTCAAATGGACAAATTCTGACTGAGGAGGGTTGAATGCGGCGGCCAGTTTGTTATTTTCCTACAGGCTACAGTTTTTAATTTAAAACAAGTTTTAACAGATTCTTCATTGCTATTTTTAATGGATCATAATATATTTAATTTTTTTATATTTCTTTTTTTTTACATTTAAAATGCTAATCTCATAACAATATTTATAAATTGTTATTGTGCATTGTTATATACATATTGCTTTGATAAAATTGTAGAAAATATTTTTGGTACAATAAAGAGTGTGGCTACTCTAATCCAGCAAAGTTTATTGCTTAAAATATCACTAAAATGCAATAGTTAAAGCTCATGATTTATGAAAAAATTTAAAATGAATCCACTTTTTTTTAGAAAACAGAACCACCCCTTTCAACAGGCTGGCTACAGTCCTGTCTGAAACCTGAAGCAGTTACCGTAGAATGAACGGTTCCCCATATTGCACTTTTAGTCTGTACCTGCAGTTGAATACTATAGCATACAACTCCTTGACATGAAACCACAAGTTGGAAGAACACCACTCCTCGGCCTATTCAGTTTAATTGTCTCTCTTTTTTTAAATATATTTATTTTCTTTAATTATCATTATTTATTTTATTTAAAGCACCAAGCTGCCAACTTCAACTTTCAGTACTGACCTGTCTATATGCTTAATTTGTACAATGAATGCACATCATATATTGTTTATGCACATCATACACTGTTTGTCGCACAATATTATGTTATAATATTATAGTGTGGTTTATTTTTTAATTTTTAATAAATTTAGTACAAGATTTAAATTATATACACACACACACACGCAGTTGAAGTCAGAATTATTAGCCCCCCTGAGTTATTAGTCCTAGTCCTGCTTTTCCCCACTTTCTGTTAACTCTAGTTATATAGCAATTTCTATAACAATTCTAGTTATTTTTCAACACATTTCTAAACATAATAGTTTTAATAACTAATTTCTGATAACTGATTTATTTTATCTTTGCCTTGATGACAGTAAATAATATTTGATTTGATTTAATTTTAATTTAAAGTCTTTAAAACATTTAAAGGCTTAACCTAAAGGGTATTTCCTTGCTCTGTTAAACATACTTTGGGAAATATTTAAAAGAAATAAACAATTAAATGGGGGCTAATAATTCTGACTTCAGCTGTGTGTTTGTGTGTGTGTGTGTATATTTGAACTGATATTTTCTCTTATAATTTTGTTTGTTAACTGTCACAAAAATCTAATAAATCCGTCTTATTAAAAAAAGGGTTTATTTAAAATATAAATCTTTGTAACACAAATATTAAATATATTAATGCTGAATAAAAATATTTATTATCCTTACTGACCCCAGACTATTGAACAGGACCAGTGAATGAATTCATAAATGAAATTAATAATTTATACAAATATAGGTCAGACCAGTATCCTCAGCAGTAAATAAATGGAGAACTTTTAAACAAATATTACTGTAAGGAAAGTAATTAAAACATGATTGTAAATAGAGTTAAAAAAAAAATTTTAAATAAAAAACATATTGAGATTGGGATTGTTGGTGATTTTATCAGTATTAATGGTAAAACTGGGAAGCTATACATGAACGGAGGAAAACTAAGACCTGTTAAAAATATATTTAAGACCTACAACACAACATTTTAGTAGATTTAAGACTTTTTAAGGCTTAAATTTAGTTTTTAGGACATTTAAGACCCCGCAGTTTCCCTGTATATGATGGACTTGCTTTGTTTTTAAATAAGTGGATGTAACTGGATTTGCATAGTTAGCATTAAATAAGTTTAAAACTTATTATTTAGTATTTCATATAATATGTTTATATTCATACAAGTTTGGCGTTACGATACTTTCAAAATACAAAATTATGTGCAGAAATAGTTAAAATTGTCTGTAGATTCTGTCTGGTCCAAGTTATGATTAACAAAAGCGCATGTTGTCATGACTAATTGATCATATAATCAGCACTAAAGTACTAGCAATTTTTAAACAGCATTCATCTAATAATAATAATAATAATAGAGAATGTTATATTTTAAATGTATTAAATAAAGGAGATATTGCAATCAACACAGAAATCATAGATCAACTTCAGATTTTAATATCCACACCCGAATAAAAGGACAATAAAAATAAAAATACACTTTTAACAGGCTACAGTCATCACAACCAATGCAATAGAATCTCTTTCCTCTAATGCTGCAAATCAATGTGCTAATAACATTTTCATCCCATTTTTCCCCCTTGTTATTTATTTTATTTTCTCTCTCATCCTCGTGTCGTGTCACCCCTCTCCCTCGCTCCAGGTGCTGGGGAGGGAACCTAAACGTGGGGGTTTTGCTACAAACCTGAGTCTTAATTACTGAGTTCATGAATTAGATAAAGCCACCCGAGGCTTGATTGAGGACGCCTCTGGTTTTGAATTGCTTTAAAGTACAAAAATAAAGAGAGACCCCGCACACACGCTTATGCTAAAGCTGATGGTTTGAAGGCCCCGCTCCAGCTCCTGTTGCCGAAAAAAAAGTTCAGGGCTCTTAGTGTGGAGTGATAGTGTGATTTACAGGAGACTTCGGTGGGGCTTTTACACAACTACATAACAGCTCATAATGACCGTTTCATTGAGTAGGCCTACATCTTTGTGTTTTGGAGGCTAGCATGAAGTGAAGTTGGGTTCAAATCAAACCACAACACAAAAAGTATTCGTTTGGTGAAGAATAAACGCTCCAGACTCCCCCTTTTTATTTTCATTCTGACGGGACATAGATATATACACTAGATACCACATACGGACCCAGAGCATGCGTCAGTAGCGCCACCATATTTGTACAGTGCTTCCAGGACAAATGTCATTCAACTGCACTAGTCAAGACGAAAGCCAATGTGAAGATGCTAGACTTTAGCGCTGTGTACGAGTGTAGTAATGAGTGAACAAAGAAAACAAAGCACAAAGGCTGAACATTTCATAGGTGAGATTTCCTTTTTATGTTACAAACTTTTGTGCTAAACAAGTATTGATGATAATATAGTCCCTTAGTGCACTGATCATGAGGAAAGTAGCACCAACTCGCACTAAATTCTAGGCTTATGCTAGTTTGGTTGAATAAAATCAGCAAACAATGTAAAAGAATTATGACAACAAAATGCTGAGATGCTAGAAACTTATATTATTGTAAAATCGTTCATAGCGGAAATTCATTTACAAAGTATTCCCTCCCTCTGTTAGCATTAGAAGTGAACGCAGGAGGGTTTCAGGAAACAGATTAGACCAAATTCAACAGGGAGGGCGGATAATACATTTATGCACACAAACACACGCTCTTTGTTGGCAATGCCCGTGCGATCACTCATCCATCGGTGTAGAAATGTGATATAATTTTCGTAACTTAAAAAAATATTTGCATACTGACCACCGGGAAAACTCCCGATAATAGATATAGGTATTTAATGTGTATATATATATCTCTGGCTCTGGATGGCCAGTCCTCCACTGCACCTTGTTTCCTCATTCATTTCAAACGAGCACTCCCCTGTACTAAAACGGCGGCTCTATTGACGCATTTCTCCAATATACACCAATAGCAAAGGCGACATCTAATGCAAATATCTATGTTGACTTGAGGGCTGGATATGCAAAACGGCTCATCTTTATCTGAATTCAGTGTGTAAAATATGCAGCCAGGTATTCATCTGCATAGTTTTACCAACAGAAAGGTTTCTCTACCTTACTGGTAGATTCTCAAGGCTATATCTACTAACCTAAGCGTATTATGCAGCGCCTATTTTCTTTGCATATGCTCTGTGCTATGTTACATCTCACCTGCCCCACCAAATCCTGTGCTATAACTGATACAGCGCTCAGCATATACGAGTACACCCCTCACCAATCTTTTTAAACAGGAAGCTCTGCAATATTATATTTGTGCATATATATTAGATTAGTCAGTACTGAAGCCAAATCTGAAGCTTATCTAACAAAATAGCTTGAAATAACGCACCAATAAATAGCACACCCAAATTAATGTTATAGAAAAATATTAAATACAAATTTTAAAAAAAGGAAAGATCAAAAATTTTGTTGATTTTTGTAGTTTTAATTTTATTTGCAATATTTTGCTTGAATTTTATTGTATTATCTTTCAATTTCTGAATATGTTTGGTGACTAAAACCTTATTTTAATAAATATACCCGTTCAATAAATATGTTTTGTTTAAATGCACCAAAAACATTCCCTATATTTACTGAGAAACGGACAAAAATATTCATTTTCAGAATGGGGTGTACTCAATTATGCTGAGCACTGTAGATATGTCTATATTATTATCCCTAGTTCTCCAGTTTCCCTTCAATATTAGGTTGATTTAAGTACACCATTCCCACTAGAAAACATGATAATAGTCTACTCCTTCTGATCAAGCGGTATTACAAATAAAAGGAAGTGTGTGAAGGAAAAAAAGAGGGAGCAAACAGAAGATTAGGAGCAACTGTTACACAAAGCATCCGTAACAGCGTCCGGTGACATTTTAAATCTGCACACATGGAAGTCATCTAAATGTATGATAAAGATAATCTTGGCTTTATTTAAGGAGTTTTTAATCTGTGATAGAATGGAGAATGATGCTGTGCTTTCTGGATCGACTCTGTCAACAAGGGTCCATACAGACAAGAGATCCGCCTAACGCTAATGTAACCCTTCCGTGTAGTGTGGCGTGTTTTTCTCAGTAGATTAAACTAAATCATTGAGGAAACAAAGAAACAGCCTGATACGGCTGAGCTGTAACACAAAAAAAGCATCTTGTCGTTTGAATATAATCAGAGATTTTGAAAACATGCTTCAGAATGGACAGGAACCGAGCCGTTTTAGCTCATCTCGAGTCTCTGACTGAGGTTGGGTCGGGGAAACAAGCACACGCTCAATCTCAAGTGTCTTTATAAGCCTCAGACAGGAACAGGATGTGACATGTGTACGCAAACCACAAATCTGAGAGGGCAGAGCAGGAGGGGAAAGGTGGGAGAGACAAGAGGGAGGATTATGAGAAAAAGAGAACAGACAGACAGACAGACAGACAGAGTGGCTCAGGAGTATGGCTGTGGTACCCCAAAACCTGCCCTATAAAGCGGTCTACCTGGGGGTGACTGGGTTGATGGTGCATGGGGGCCTGTGGGGTAGTTGTATACTCCATATTGCGGGTATGGAGCAGGATACTGGGCAGGCGTGGGACCAAACTGCCCAAACGGAGGGGCAGGAAACTGGGGCTGAGTGGGATATGGGCATGCTGGGGGACCAAACGCAGGCCTGGGAGCTGGAAAGCCTGTTGCCTGAGGGAATGGGGCGCCCTGGCTGGGGTAGGGCTGAAACGCTGTGCTGGGGTTAGTGCTGCCTGCTGTGGAGGCTGATGGAGGAGCGACGGGATAGGGGGAATAAGGGAGAGCAGAACTAGAGGCGTTGGAGGGTGCATTGATTTTGGAGCTCTGCTGCGGCTGCTGTTGTTGCCACGGCGATGATGATCCAGCATCCTGACTGGCACAGGGCTGTGATGCAATTGTAGCATCTCCGATCCCTTTGCTTTTTTGGCTGAGAATTTCTTGCAGCTTTTCGATGCGCACTCGTCTCGTGTGTGCGAGGGAGCGCAGGGAAAGGAAGCGTTCGAGGAAAGAGTCCAGCGATATTGAACCTTCCAGAAACTCATCTGCTAGAGCCTGAGAGAAAGACATTGAGTGGTTTTTAAATCCTCACACTTTGGGTTTGGTAATACAAGATCAAACCTTTATAACATTATGCAATGAAAAATGTTAGCTCGAAACTACAGTTCAAAACATATGTAGCATTCAATGCTTTTGATTTTTCACTTTTGCTGATTTCAAATGTGTTTAAAGGTGCAGATGGTGATTGTCTTCAGAAACGTTTTGTTGTGCTGGTTGAAAGTCTCTTCACAGTCCAATAGTAATGATTAAAATAAATTATCTAAATGTGTTTATATGTACTTTTTATATTCTGGGTAAGGTATAAAAAAATGTTCATCCAATTAAAATTTGTCGGGCTGATGATTCCCATAATTCTGATAAGTAGTCCAAACCGTCTGTCAATAAATGTAGATTTGTACATCTGTGCACCCCTGCTTACGCAGACAGATTCGCCAGCGGTGACAGCAGTAAAAACAAACGCTCAATCAAAACTTTTTAAAATCTCGAACTAGTATTGTAGTTACTTTTGCACGCTGGAGGAAGGATGACAGCATGGATGAAGTATTTGTTTTAGACAATGTATATTTAAAAAGCATTTTAGTTCTGCAAAGCTTATGTAGATTGGGTTGTTATGAATAGGTTATATGCACAGAAGTGTTGTTTACCCACTGAAAATCTTCTGGTGATAGCTTGATGTGACTATTTTCAGTTTCATAAGGGTCCTTTTACAGCATCGATAATGTAGATTTTTATTTAGTTTAACAACAAAACACAAGCAAACAGCACTATTCCTCCTAGCCTACTTTACTGAGCTGAAGTTGCTTTTATATTCACATTGGTTCATTTTTGAACAATGACACCTGTGACCCACTCCCCATATTGTTTACAATGCTACTCTGAAAATTGGGTCTGAAATAGCATGTAAGTACGGCTTAGTAACAAGTGCAATTTCTGCCAACCACTAAGCATACAGTAGTTGCTTTAGGACAAAGCACAGGAGAGAGTGAGGCCAGCAATCCTTGTATGCATGAAATATTGCACATTATGACAGGTTTGCTTGCTACACAACATAAAATGTGCTAGATATAATTCATTTTATTCTTTGGCAGTTGTAGAATTATAAAGTACAATAATGTTTTTTAACTGTCACATAACATGATCTAGTGGGATGTCCACTGTCATCTTTAACCTCCTAGGGCTTATTGGCTACATACGTAGACAGAACACTATAGCTATAAAGTTGGTATTTAAAATACTTTGAATGTTTTATATTTTGATACAGACATAGTGTCATCCTGCAACTGTTTTGCAGCTCAAGAAATGTCCCACATACTATTTTAACCATTCAAAATGGGCAAAAAAGTTTGTGTTTACTCTCTGATAGTCAAAACATGTTCAAAAAAATTATATGTTATACATGTATTAAAAAAAACTGTCAGGAAAAAGTGTTTATGTAAACTCACACCTGGAGTCCACATATATGAACATAATTTTTCTCTAAAAGTACATCATATCAAAAGATAATTAGATAATTAGAAAAAGATCATTTTAATTAGGTTCCAATAAGCCCAAATAGCAAACAGAAATGAAAAATGCATGCAAAAAACACTTTGGGCCTTTAGAGGTTAAGATGCGCCTTCAGGATTTCAGGCGGCGTGGCTTTAGGTGAGGACAGGGGGTGGACTGTGTTTTCAAAGATATTATGGTAACAGATTATTTTGGCAGATCACCTACGGCAGCTTTAAGTAATATAAACGTTGTATAACATTCTTAATAATATAAAAGCAGTTATTCAACATCTCCGCTCAAAGAATCATTATAAGGATTACATCAGATTTTCTTAGTAAACTGGAGTAATGACTGATGCATAATATTCGTAAATTGTTATATTAGTATCATTAAAATATTGTTCATATTTATTTTTTTGTTACATTTTAGTTATAATACATTACAAATGTTTACTATATTTTAAATGGAATTAAATAATAAGTTGCTGATGCAAACTATGAAGTTTATTTATGAAACACGTGTCCAAACATTTTAATTGTACATCATATGAAATATAGGTTAGGACTACATTAAAATGTATAGGTGTTAACCATCTGAATGTACAAGAATTACTCATTACCCAAGTAAATTCACAGATCAGATAAATGAAAAGCCAAGGATCAACAAAGAAGAAAGAATATTTTAAGTAGATTATAAAAGGGATGGTAACCCACCTCTGACTCTGCCTCTGTGCTGGCGCCCTCTGCCTGCAGACGAGACAACAGACCCTCCGGAGACACCTGTCCCATGATGCTGTCTGCGCAGAGGGAAAGAGAGAGACAGAAGTGAGACAGCGTTGATGCATAAATAGGTCTGTAAGAAACTGAGGATTGAAAACGGTTCTGCAAACACACAAGTTGGCCAGAAATGTGTTGTAATTATAAAAAAAAAAAAAAGGTCTAAAGGACTGAGAGGAAGTAGAATAGGGCTACAGTGAAGAAACAAGCCAGACACATAGCAATCCTGTGATGTCATGTCACAAGAGGAGGAGAAACAGTGGCAGAACAAAACAAGCTCTTAGAACAGCTCTATACCACAGACCTACGCACAGATAGAAGATTTTCTGGCCGAACAACATGCTCCGTTCAGAAATCGAGTTTAAATTCTTTTCAGAGCTTCATTCTTTCAGAGTCTTTGAAACTACAGTGACATTTGCCATTGCAGATTAACTACAGAGTGAACAGAAGCTGAAAGAGCACTGTCATTTTAATCTTATGTAATCACTATTTTAATAGAATATTTGGATGGTTTATTTTTACTTCGATAAATTTCATTTGATGCAGACACCAAAGTTTTGTGTCTCCTATTTGACTAAAAAGTAAACAAAACCCAAGATGTTTTAATAAGAGAATTACAATTACAGTCATGCCATAAAAAGATCTGAAAATGTTGGTCGGTTTAGATGAATGTAGATTTCTCGTATATTCATTCATTCATTTTCCTTCGGCTGGTCCTTTATTTATCAGGGGTCACACCACAGTGGAATGAACCACTAACTATTCTGGCATATGTTTTATGCTTTTTTATGCCTTTCTAGCTGCAACCCTTTACTGGGAAACAACCATACACTCTTGCATTCACACACTACAGCCAATTTGTTTTACTCAATTCACCTTTAGCGAATGTTTTTGAATTGTGGGGGAAACTGGAGCACTCGGAGAAAACCTACGCCAACACGGGGAGAACATGCAACCCCCACACAGAAATGTCAACTAGCCCAGCTGGGACTCGAACCAGCAACCTTCATGCTGTGTAGTGACAGTGCCAACCACTGACCCACCGTGCCACCCTTTATCCTATATTTTATTTCTTTATTACCCATGGATGAACCTATATTGTTCCTGTTGTAATAAGGAAAAAAGTAAGCACATCATTACTATCAAAAGTAGTTTCAGCTCCGAACAAAACTACTCGCTTCTCGTTTTCCAGAAAAGCTGCACTGACAATAATTAATCTCATTTCACATCCGTTTACCCAGAATGCATTCACAATCTTTTATATTTCACAGTAAGTATGTCCCTTACCTCTCAGGACACAGTGCTGTTTGTATTTCTCCCTCACTGCCTCCAGTTCAGTGTATTTCTCCACCAGCCGTGCTCTGTCATTTTCAATACGGGGCTTCATGTCTAGGTTCTGCTCAGCCAGACTGCGGTTTGCAGCCAGAGCCATCTCTCTCTCCAGCTGAATGTTCTGGATCTGAAAGAAAAATATAGACAATGTCAAATGACCAAAGACATAACTCTACGGCCATTTCTAAAGCATTAACTGCAACAAAAAATGAGGTTGTGAGAGATAACCTTTTTGCATTTACAATGGCAAGCAACTTTCAAAATTGTTTTATGTCATTTTTGTATACAGTGGTCCCTCGCTATAATGCAGTTCAGTTTTCGCAGCTTCCAGAATGTTTTCTCGTGCAATTTGAAATTGCGCATTGTTTTCTGTGTCCTGATTAGTGAATTGTGTTGTGCATCCTGATTGGCTGTAGAGCATTGTCAATCAATCTCCTGTGCCATGTCTCCTGTACAGTACAGAATGCGTTCAACTTGCCAAATTGACCTTAATCTTTTAATAGCAATCAGTGTGAGCCTGAAGTGCTGTACTACAAGTTTTCTCCCCACAATGTCGACGAAACATTCTGCACTGTCAAAAGCCATTGCACAAAAAGTTGGCTTTCTGGACATGCTAAAGGCATTATTCCATTATGGAATAAATAAATAAATGAAGATCAAATGGTATCGATCTTTGGTTTCATTCTATAATACTGGACTTATTTTTATATGAAGGTTTGAACTTTGAGAGTGTTTTTGCAGCTTTAAAACATCTATAATAAAAAATAAAGCTGACTACATTGTGGATTTCACCAATTGTGGGTTATTTTTTAAAACATAACTTCTGTGAATAGCAAGGGACCAATGTATTGAAGTTTTTTCTTCAGAACCCTAGTATGTTGTTAAAAAACAGAACAATAAACACACTGAGCTCCTCATACATGTTAAAAATTAAACTCATGGTTGCACTGTAAGCCCATAAACAGGAAGACTACAATTATCATCAATGAGCTCTATATACACTAATCTGAATCAATTTAAAATAGCATTTTGTGCCTAAAAACTCTTCCTGTCCACACTATTGTTTTCTTTAGTTTCCCAAAATCCACACTGAAATACTGAAAATGCTTTTGTCCTTGTACTGCACAAGGATGGTGGTATGCTTTGAGCTTTTGGCTCTTTAAATCATTGTGGCAATAATTCAAGAAAAGGCACCAAGTTTTTTGTCAATGGACCAACAGTGTAGTCTTGGAGTTGTTGTTGCAAGTAACACAGGAGTATAAAGTTTCAAAAGCAAGCCAGAATATAGATTGAGATGCCAATACAGCTCTGAGTGAACAGCAATTTAGAGCATGCACAAACTGACAGGAATCTTTAACAACACTGTCCAAATGGAGAGCATCCAAAGCAACCGCTGTACAAAGTCCTCTCCATTTTAGCTCAATTGGTCACATTACTGACAATGGGTCATCGTTTCCAAAAGCCTCCATTTTCACAGTCCACACTGTGACACAAAACCTGCAATTGCACATGTATCCAATTTGGTAGAGCTTTTTCAATAATAGTTCAATAATCATCTTAAGTAGGCAAGGGCCAGTATAAGATTCTAATGATATGATAACCTTAAATATCACTGTTTCACAGTACTGTGATTAAAATATATTCTTTTTAAATGTCCGGGTAAACAACTAGATGTTTTTTTCCACTTTGAAAACAATGGCTGCATCCCAAATAACATACTGCCAAACTATATAGTTCGCTAAAACAGTATGTGAGCCAATTAGTATGTCAGAATGTTTGAAAAACAGTATGTGAGAAGTACCCGGATGACCTACTACTTCTGACGAGATTCTGAAGTGAGCATAAGATATGCTACGCTATGCCATGATGCACAACGAGAGAATTCATGAATGGGAGTGAAGCAGATAGGTCATGTAATGATGACAAAATGGCATCCGTAGTACGTCAGAGCTCATTCATACGACTCGCATTCATGCTGTATAGAACATATTTTTCTATCAGTCAGGTGGTACATTAAATTTTAAATGCAGTATCTACTGAGTAGTACGCGATTTCAGATGCAGCCAATACATTTTATTTTCAGAAACTTTTAAAATATTTTGTTACAGTAAACATGTCAAGCTAAATATTTCAAATATATCATTGACTTTCGCTGTCTTAATTCATTTCAAAAACACAGATTTCTTTACAATTTCAAATGGCTACTTTGGATCTCTTTTCTGCTGGAGATACTGTTGTCCTAAAAAAGTAAAAATAAAATTAGAAACAGTTTAACAGAAAATTTTCCTAGTGTTGGGTTGCGGCTGGAAGGACACCTGCTGCGTAAAACATGTGCTGGATAGGTTGGCGGTTCATTCCGCTGTGGTGACCCCAGATTAATAAAGCGACTAAGCCGAAAAGAAATTGAATGAACATTGATGAACAACAGAATATTTTGGCTGTTTTAAAACCTTGACTTTCACAAACCACGGTATACCTTGAAAACGGTTTTGTCCCTTGCCTAATCTTAAATGTGGACAGAAGGCCAAAACTGAGAGAAAACAAGCATTTTTAAACAAAATCATATTAGTGTGGAAATGGCCTTAGGTTTGCACTGCTTTTTGTAAGCAGAGTTTTGCAATCTGAACAAGTGAAAATTCTACAGTGCAGTGTTTTTTAGCATCCTTAAAACGGCCAAAACGACAAGCTAAGGTATGTGCCACTTTATTATTTAATAGTGTGACAAAACCCCAGCTCCACAGAAGATCAACAATGACTTTTACATCACTGCAGAAGCCAAACGGTAAAGAGTAACTGTTTTTAAAACACAGTCAGAATTGCTGTGTGAGATTATTTTATAAGTACTTGTTATCAATGACGTTTTCAACTTAAATCACATTTATAGATATATACATTAGATGTCGCCTACCCTGTTGTTGTCTATTAGAAAGAATGTGTCAATAGAGCCGCCATTTCAGTACAGGGTAGCGCTCCTTTGAAATGAATGTGGGACCAAGCTGCAGTGGAGCACTGTGGCCATTCAGAGCGAGACAATTACACACATACAAAACTTAAATTTGACATCACTTTTCTACATTGATGGATATAAGTGATCGCACAGGCATTCCTGACAAACAGCTTGTGTTTGTGTGTATGGAAATGTACTATCCACCCTCGCTGTTAAATTTGATCTAATCCGTGTCCCGAAACACACCTCCTCTCTTACTTTCACTTATCATTCTGACGGAGAGAGCGATTCCTTTGTGAATAAATCTCCGTTATGAACGACTTCTTCAGTAGCCGACAGTAATACAAGTTTCTAGCAGCGCAGCATCTCGTTGTCATATTTCTTTTGCATTGTTTGCAGATTTTACTTAACTAAACTAGCATAAGCCGACTGTTTAGTGTGAGTTGGTGCTACTTTGCCTTATGGTGAATGCAGCAAGTGACTGTATCATCAATAACGTTACCTGTTAAGCACAAAAGTTCATAACATACAAAAAACGTAAAAAACTAAATCTTACCTATGAAATGTTCTGCCTTTGTGCTTTGTTTTTTCGTTACTACAACCATAGTGAGCGCTAAAGTCCCGCATCTTCATGTAATAACACTGTCTTGACTAATGCAGTTGAATGACACTTGTCCTGGGAGCACTGTACAAATATGGCGGCACTATTGACGCATGCTCAGGGTCCCTATGCGATATCTAGTGAATATATCTATGAATCACATTTATGAAGAATGTTTCCTGTTTTACAGGAGGACAGTGATTCGGGTATGGAACAACATGACTGGATATATACAGTTAAAGTCAGAATTATTAGCCCCCCTTTGAATTTTTTATTTATTTTTTTTTATATTTCTGAAATGCTGTTTAACAGAGCAAGGAAATTTTCACAGTATGTCTGATGTTTTTTGTTTTATTTCTGCTAGAATAAAAGCAGTTTTTAATTTTTTAAACACCATTAAGGACAAAATTATAAGCCCCTTTGAGCTATTTTTTTTTCTCGATAGGACTACAGAACAAACCATCATTATACAATAACTTGCCTAATTACCCTAACCTGCCTATTTAACCTAATTACCCTAGTTAAGCCTTTAAATGTCACTTTAAGCTGTATAGTAGTATCTTAAAAATATCTAGTAAAATATTATTTACAGTCATCATGGCAAAGATAAAATAAAAAAGTTATTAGAAATTAGTTATTAAAACTATTGTGTTTAGAAATGTGTTGAAAAAATATTCTCTCTGGTAAACAGAAATTTTAGAAAAAAATAAACAGGGGGGCAAATAATTCTCACTTCAACTGCATGTCAAATCTATTTCCTTTAAAGGAGAACTTCACCCAAAAATGTTTTAGATGAAACCTGAGAGCTCCCTCATCCTTCATCTGAAATATTACGAGACATTCAAAGTCCAGAAAATGAACCAAAAACATTTAATGTGACTTCAGTGATTCAACAAACGTCTCTAGGGCTTGAAACACCATGATACGAATTAATAACATTATAAAACATATTTTTGGGTGAACTAATGCTTTAGCAGTTATCCATCATCGTGATGATGATCTTACCTCATCAGACTCCAGTGCCATAGACTCCACCCGCTCCAAGTTGTCCAGCAAATCCTGCAACTCGGACTGGCTGAGGTCTTGAAGCTTCTCCATTGATTTGCTAGGACAGCTAATAAACAACAGTAACGTTTACTTATACTATATGTAATAACATTTACTGCTCATCATAAGCTAGCCTGCTGTTGACATCTCTTATTGAGTTCCACCACAAATAAATACAGGTTTGAATAGGAGTAAATCATGAGATTTTAATTTTAGGTTGATACATGCTTTCAGGTTGAAACTAGACTAACAGTGTGTACTTAAGTATAATGTTTGATATCAAACCACAACTAGAAGACTGGTCAACAGTTAAGCGATCTGCATCACTTATGCCAGTTCTGTTATCCAGACAGTGAGTATGAGGAAAAATATGCTAATGAAGTTAGGGTTAACCCTAACTGCCAAGACATCTCAAGAAATGTCCAAATACTTACAAAGCACAAGCAAATCAAAGTCCTCTCCACACGGTGCTCATGGAAAAACATCAAACTTGACTGGAAGCGAGTGACGTGAAGATGTAGACGGAAGCGCGAGCGTCTTCAGCATTAAAACCCTCTTCCTGTTGGAAACATCTACGAGATATAATCTGTACCAGGTCTCGGGTGTTATTTAACCCGGCGGAAAGTGGAAATAAATGTGAGAAATGATTCCCGGAGACAGGAATCTCTCCGCGGTTAGCTGGACGGCTAGCTTACTTAAAAGACAGCAGTTGGACAAGGCGGTTTGCTATTCAAAATAAAACGTCGCCAGGCGAAATAATAACTCAGAAAGGCATACTTAAGTGTGTCCGTAAAAGCAGCATCGATGACAATTCGAGCAAAACAGTCCAAATGAAGGTTATTTCACGGGGTATGTTCCTATTCTTAAGGGAAAGTTTCACTTCTGGTTGACAGATATCACGGCCATCTTTGATGAAACCATTGTCAGTTTGATTAGGGGAGTAAGATGTGTTTCAAGTAACCTTCTTATAAAATTTACGTTTATTGTTAAGTATATGTTATTCGCATTAGATTATGGATTGTATGTCTATGTAAAAATTTACAATACAGACAATTAAAAGCCGTTCTTGTACGTATTTAATGAAAAGAACATCATCCTCCCCTATTTTTGGTATTACATGGTATGGTCTTACGTTCAGCTGACTGAAAGGGAAACCCCGATGTGACGGGAATATTCCATATGTGACATGGCAATAGGGTTGGTCCTAATATTTCACCACACGGACAAGGATGTAGTTTTAGCATTTAAAAGTTTAATACTGTAGAGAATCTGTGAGTTTAAACATTGGTTTTATACATTTACACATGACACTAACGAAATTACATAATACAAAACAAAGGTAGCTTATTTACATGCCGTTTTTATCATTATTTTTTATATTACATCCATTTGTCTTTTTTTCCATTAGTAATTGTATCCCAAATGGTAGAAATGATCATCAATGCAGGTTGTAATTACCTTCACTAAAGGTGAGACACTGCAAGCATCTGTCAAGATTTTTTCTGTAGCGTTTTTTTTTCTATCGGAAAGTAAATTTTAAATGTTTCTTTTATCACATTTTAATAACAAATCATAGTTTTAAAGGCTCGAAATTAGACATTTTTAGTTAGCTTCACAAGACGTAAATACACTAAACGTTTTATTTTTTACTGAGGTATTTGTTCATAGTTTACCTGATTGTATTGTATTGTGAGATTTTGTGATAAAAACAAATTTAAACTATCCTTAACATTTTTAAAAAATTGGCTTTATCCAATATTAAAGGTCTTATGCAAAAAATAAATGCAAACTTCCTGATTTGCCTGCTCAAACAACATTTAAAGGTGCTGTATGTAAGTTTGACACCCAGTGGTTTAACCAGGTATTGCACGCCTGGTTCAAAACACACGCAAGCGCGGGTTGCCAGATTGAGAACATCAACAAGAGCGTGCCCTACTAAATTTAAGGCTGATTTAAAATTGATTTCTGAAAAAACTAAGGCACGTGAATTTTACATGATATTTAGTGCGATACTACTGAAAGCAGCAGCAGATAGTTCCCCTCAGATCTGGAAAATAAGATGAACTGTTTGAAATTAAACTTTAGAGTTGTGACTCAGTGCAAACCAACACATATCAGTGATTCAGCATGTACATTTAATAATGGTAAACAGGGGCGCCCCCAAGGGGTGGCCAGGGGTGGCCACGGCCACCCCTCGGTAAACTCTGGCCACCCCTGTGGCCACCCCAATATAATTTTGCCGTTGACATTATTGATTTAAATGTACTTATAAATCCCCAATGTTTAAATAAATAAAATGCAGCCACTAAATTATTGTTGGTGTTACTGACGTAGCTGATTGATTGTCTCTCCCCCTTGGCGCTGGTTCAATGCTGAATGCTGGTGAAAGCAAACTGACGCATGCGCGCAGAAAACCATTCCCGCGCGCCTCACGCACTCCTGTGTGAATCCCGGTTGGTTGTTTGCATGCACGCCGACAAAATACGCGCCGCTCATGCGCCGTGAAACGGAGTAACAGAATTTTGTGCAGAGGTGAAAGTCGACTAAAGTTTATATAATATGATGATGATGATGATGATGATGTTACTTTCACTATGCATGCCTTTAAAGCAGAAAGGAGGGATAATGAGTCAGGGAGGTAAGACTTCATAACATGAGTTATCAGCCATGATCTGGTCTAAGACCACAGATAATTCTATAATACATTTTTTTGTATTCTTTAGAATTGTCATAATTCATTTCCATGCAAAAGGTTTCTTAAGTGACCTTGGCATATCACTCCAGTTGTTGTTTTCCAGTAATATTTAGGATTGATTTCTGTTATTTATTCAGAATAATAATTGTATATAAATAATAATAAAATAAATATAAATAAATTGCTATATTTATTGAATAACAAATCTAACAATTCAAGGGAGGTGGGGTGTATAGGGTGGTTCGCCCAGGGTGTCATTTAAACTAGAACCGCCACTACCCTTCCCGATCGTCGTTGACAGCACGCACACACCTTCAATAGACAGCAATGGCAATTTAATATTTACCTTAGGGTACAGTATATCAATTGAAGAAGCTGCATTAATAAAATGGCTCAAAAAGTAATATGGATAAATGATATTATTAGGTATAGTGAGTGTGTATAGTAATCCCTTTTGTTCAGTTTGTTTATTTGTTTGGGTTATTAATAAACTCATTATTCTTTCATTCATTTTCTTTTCGGCTTAGTCCCTTTATTAATCCAGGGTCGCCACAGTGGAATGAACCGCCAACTTATCCAGCACATTTTTACACAGTGGATGCCCTGCCAGCTGCAACCCATCACTGGGAATAATAAACTCATTAATCTTCATTAATTTTAGACATGGCATATACCGTATGATGTACAATAAAAGCACGTAAAAAGTTAATTATACAGTATATATATATATGAAAAGTGTTTTTAAACTAAACATAGATTTTTATTTGGTTTGCACATGTACTTCCTGAATTACTTTAAGGAATAAATAACAATATTTCAAGGAGAATTAATTAAATGTATAAAAACTACATTATTAAATTTACCAAAAACAAAAATATAACATTACACTGAATTCATAATTTTTTTTTTTTTGTGTGCCACCCCAAGATTTGGTGCGGCCTCTTCTGGCCACCCCTAAGAAAATTTTCTGGGGGCGCCACTGATGGTAAAGTGGTTTTATATGTATTAATTAGATTGTAAACCTTACCATTCTCTATAGAGTGCAGTGAGTGCACTATTCTGTGCTTATGAATGGCTGTATTTAAATGTCTTTCATGTATCTTTGGGTGCAAACTGCCAACTTGCTCATCATGCAAATCTCCTTATGCAGCGTGTTGTTAGGACACAGGCTTACAATGTAACCTCCTTACCAAATGTTTACATTCATAATGTTTATATTATTTGCTAATTAAAAACCTCATGTGGAACTCTGAATCTGCGTCTCATTTCAGAGGCAGTTACTGTCCACCAGAGGTCGGATTTAGGTTGCGGACATACACTTTGAAAGCCTTCCTCACTACATGAATAAAACAAAGACATTCTCATTTTTACATTTTCAAAGCAGAATATCTGACTTCAGCATTGTTTTACAGATAAACAAGAATGTTCAATTAGCAAGTTTCTTAAATATCTGCAAACATATTATGGCGTTCTTATGCTTTAGAAGAGTTTAAAACGTACATACAGCACCTTTAAGAAAACATGTGATACAAAAATCTTAATGGAATCACTCAATTGGAAAAGCATGGCGATGAACATTAGTTTTCACCTGCAGTGTCTTCCCTTTAAAAGCAATTCAACCTAGTTTGATTTATAGTGGGTAAATTATTTACAGTGTGTAACAGGTTACTTTCTATAAATTCACAAACACAAATAGTATATTCACATTTTAAGACACAATACTATTTTTATAGACCATTTTTAGGGATGTATACAATAACAACTAAAGTATTTCTTGTTTCACATATTTAATTTCTATAGCTCCCGAGAATCCAAAAAGAGCCACATATTGATAATGATAGATGTTTTAGCATTAAGTTATGATTGAATTGCCTCTTATTACAGTTATAAAGTTTGATAACAAGCAGGAAACATTCATGGTCCAATGATATTACCACAATGAAATGGTCTATAGCAAATCCTCATAGAAGCTTCTAAAAAATATTGTCTCTAAAATGACCAAAGATAAGTGTATAGTGTATGAAAAGTCATCTCAGTGACCTCTCAATCCTTTAAATGCGGAGAGTGATAGAAAACTAAGAGCAACCACAGCTGCAATATCGTAAAGCAATAGCTGTCCGGACACTGCTTTGTAAAAGCCCTGTCAAAAAAAAGGAGATTGAATGAGTTTATTAGAATATGCTGTTTGAAAAAAAAAGTGCTTTGTAAAGAGTTTTACAGTTAAAATTTGAAAATAAAATGATTATTAGTGATGGAAAAATCAAAGTAATGTTTAATATAAGTGTATACAGAGAAAACAATAGAGAATATAGTGGTCATATTACATTTTTTACACAAAAAGTACATTGTATTAAATAGTTTTAGACGACCAAAGCTATTCAATTTTCATACAGACAGAAAATAGAGAGGAGTTTTGACAAAATTTCTCATAATTAATCAAAATCAACAAAAGATCAATAGTTTTAAAGGGCACCTGTGGTGAAAATGAACTTTTGTAAGCTGTTTGGACAGAACTGTCAAATTGTGTGTGATATAAACCAAACTAATCTCTTTTTTAAAGTCTCCTGACGTTAAAATAGGACCCAAATCCCAGTGATTTTGAAGCCCACCGCAATGTGACGTAGGAGTGCGTTTTCCCCAACCACCGAATTGATTGACAGGTGCCATGTTTCTATAATAACATGTATACACATGTCCACAGAACATTTGTTTTTGCAAATAAACCTGGATTAAATTATTTGTTCCAACTCTCTGTATTTTTATAAGTGTAAAACGTTTTTAAAACAGAGCATGTTTGCAGTAAAACCCCTATTTGATTCTTAACTGCTATAATCACCCTGGCTGCAAGGTGTCAGTAATCGTGCATGTGTGTGTGTGCATGTGTACTGCAAATGGCATTTGTGTGAGACTCATCATTTCAGAGAGGCTTGAATAGACTCCATCACAAATACATCAATTAATGCACTTGGTATTTTTGACTTAAGAACTCTATTTCAGCACCATCCGGGTCTGTTTCTGTCCTTGTTGCCAACTATTTTTAATGAAAAGGGGGCTAGCTCTGCCTGAAAAGTCGCAAAAAGTCGCTAGATTATGTCATATATTAATTTGCATTTTACTGACGTCATCACGTTCTACCATTTCTGTTTGTTTAACAGTCTATGGTTAATAAAGGGGTATTTATATTTGCACTACGCTTTATGTAAGCATGTCAATTTAACTAAATTTATTGCTGTTTGAATACAGTATATCAGTATAGATGTGTAGTGAATTTGCAGCAATCTCCCAGACGTAATAAACTCAGACAAGTTCTGAAATTGTCACTAAAATATTGGTGATTGTGAACAAGAAAAGAGTAAACGGTCAAATTAAACTGTTAAAATAAAGAAGAAGCAGATCAGTTTGACTGTGCAGGGGAAATACATTCACACTGCTGGTGCTAAATCATTTGCCATCGGTATGCAGAGGAGAGATCTGCTTTCGGGCTGCAGGTGGGAGAGGCTGCTGTACGAGGATTGACTGGGTCGCCTGTCAGTGCTCTGAGGCAGGGGAGGGGCTTGCAGCATCAGCCACAGCTCGTAGGTACAGCAAGCACGGTACGGTACAGTGTGGACAAATGACAGTCTATAAAAATCTCCAGTAACACACAAAAAAAGTTGCTAGATTTGTCGCTAGTCGCTTTTTTGAAAATTTGTCGCTAAGGGGGTCTGAAAAGTCGCTAAATCTAGCGCCAAAGTTGCTAATTTGGCAACACTGCTCTCTCACTGTTCTGTTTAACTGACGTAATGCATGATGAAAAGCAGACATGGACATGGTAACAGTGGGCGGGGAGAAGCAGCCCATTTGCATTTAAAGCCACAGGCTACAAAAACAGCTACACTTTACACAAAAATTGGCATATTCTGGAGGCTATAATAAATAATCTGACGGGTATTTTGAGCTGAAATTTTATAGATACATTCTGGAGACAGCAAAGGATTATCTTACATCTTGTAAAAGGGGTAAAATAGGTGCCATTTAAAAACAATATAATCCTTTAAAAACAAATTTGCACTTACTTGAAAGAGTTTTTCTGCACACGGTTCATTGGGTGAACAAGGAGGGAGGTCCAGAGAGGTACTGGTAGCATAAATGTACAGAAAAAGACCAATCAGTGTCGCCACCAGTCCAGCAAGACCAGAGATGAGAGTGTTCTTCAGCTTGAAGGAAGAAAAACACACCAATGTCAGGACAATGTTTAACAATACACATCCAATAAGAAGCTCTGATGACGGTGCCTTTACCAGGTCTCTCCTAGGAGTTCTTTCAGATGCCAAACCAAATGATCCAGCAATTATAGTCTATTTAGAGGAGAAAAATCTGAATTAGGAAAAAAGTTTGGATCTGTCAGAAGAAAATGTGCAATTGTGCAACATCTTATCACTGCTGCAATACACTTAAAGGTCAATAGGATGCTTCTGTCACTATTTCCTCCATTTATTAGGGCAAATCTATTATTTCAGGATCCTCATGTCAATGTGTGCATCCGCAATAGTCCCATCACAGGATGTGCAGTGTCTACAGTTATGAACACGTGTGTGAAATGTTGATTAAAGTATACTTTAATAACAATTTATGCATATTAAAAGGATTTAGACATATGGTGAGATAACATTGGTATCTTTAATAATGAAGATTGACTGCACTGTATTTACACAGTAAAAACTATACCATGTAATTCTATTCAGCCGGCAACTAGCTCTCTGAAACTCTCACATGGTTGCCCACTGAGGCTAAGCAGGGCTGCACCTGGTCAGTATCTGGATGGGAGACCACATGGGAAAGCTAGGTTGCTGCCGGAAGTGGTGTTAGTGAGACCAGCAGGGGGCACTCAACCTGTGGTATAGGTGGGTCCTAACACCCCAATATATGATAGGGACTCTAATCTGCTCAGTGAGCGCTGTCTTTCGGATGAGACATTTAACCGAGGTCTTGACTCTTTGTGGTCTTTAAAATCCCAGGAGTTAGCGGTTTAATGGCGACATTTGCCCACTGGCCTCTGTCCATCATGGCCTCCTAACCATCCCCATATGATAATTGGCTTCATCACTGTGACACCCTATTTTAGTTCTCTATTTTATTATACTTAAACATTTAATTTATTAGTTGTTAACTGTAATAATTTCTTAATTTATTTGTGGTGGTAAAGCACTATTGCTCCAATCTTCTGTCACAGGAGTCATGACCCTTCAAAATGTATTCTTATGTTGATTTAATTTTTCATTTCTGATTAAAAGAAAATCATATTTTATATAGATAGTTATTTAAAAAAGGAGCAGCAGTGGGTAGTGCCGTCGGCTCACAGCAAGAAGGTCGCTGGTTCAAGCCCTGGCTGGGTCAGTTGGCATTTCAGCGTGGAGTTTGCATGTTCTCCCCATGTCCGTGTGGATTTTCTCTGGTTTCCTCCACAGTCCAAAGACATGCACCATAGGTGAATTGGGTAAGCTAAATTGTCTGTAGTGTATGTGTGTATGCCCTGGTCCTCCAGGTGGGGGGTTGAGCGTTGGGCTAACGACCTACCTTGTTAAAAAATTAGATGTTACGAAACACCAAAATGGTCCTGCTAAGTACCAACTTCGATATAAACAACCTTGGGGGTAAGTTATTTAAAAAAAAAAACAATAAAACCACAACTAATTAATCATTAACCAACAACTAATCATTTAATCCAAAACAACTACATGTGTTTAGTAGTAATGAAATAAACCTACCACAGAACCAACACAAAGGGGGCACACGAACATATACTTCATGTCAAGGCTGACGGTGTGAGTTAATAAAGTCAGGAGCAGCTGGAACAGACCTAGCAGTATTGCCATAACCTAGAAAAATGCACACATTAAACAACAGCAACATTAAGCAAAACATCTCTACACTGTTCATTTCCTGTAGACTCTGTAGTAACTTACTGTAAATCAATTACAGCACACATACTGTATTTACATTTACAGCACCATTTATCTTGCTCGATATCATAGGTCTCAAACTCAATTCCTGGAGGGCCGCAGCTCTGTAGTTTTGCTCCAACCCCAATCAAACACGAGGCCTATATGCTCTATTTGTATTTACAGTATTGTATATTATTACTGTAAAATATACAGTCATTTTCTTATTGCAACTTTAAAATACAGTAACACACTGCAAAACTGTCTTACTGTAAAATACAGTTCATGTTACAGTTAAATACTGTATAATTTATTTATCTATTACTGTTTTCTTTATCTGTTATCGTCTTTACTTACTGCCACCACTTCAGGGTCATGGAACCTAAAGAGACGGTGGAATTTGGGAGGATCCGTGTCAGCAGAATGAGCTTGTGTGCTGGGCATTTTCAAGTCAGCAGAAAGGCAACTGATGTCCTGAAAAACAGGAACATTCGAAAGTTCAGATCAGTGGTTATAATAGCTCCTCACAATCAGACATAATGGTGAGAGAGTCCGACTGAAACATGATCTGATCCCCCCGGATTGATGGAACGTTTTGCGGGAATACAGATGCTGGAGGAGAAAAACATCTTTGTGAGGAGAGGAAGTGGGCGGATATAAAACAGAGAAAATGTGGCTGGAGAGAGGAGTAGCGCAGCTTGAGACAATCCCGATTGCTCAACAGCACTGCAGGGAAAAGGGTTAGGGTTATGAGAGAGAAAAAACCTTTGGTACACATCATTCATCTCCTTAAGTAGGCTGGACTGACCAGTTGTCTAAAACAGATCTTATTTGTTAAAAACACAAAGACACATAACAGCCACTGGAAATAAACAACTGCCCGCATCAGCCGCGCGATTTTTAAGATACCATTATAAAACACACACACCCACACACTCGGGTATATAAACATATATAACATAACATAGGATTCATGTAGGAATTTATTAAACATATTTCCAAGTAAAACAACACGCGACAGGCTCACCTCGATGTGTTGTTCAGGAGAATCCTAGAACGAAAGAGCGAGGCTTTACGAAGTGGTCGAAAAAACACTTATTAAAAGTTACTGTGAGGGAGAAAAGGGGGCCGGGCAGACCCCCATTTCTCCTCAATCCATGGGTGTGTCTAAAGTCTTTTTCTGAGAAGGAAAGTCTGATATTTTTTGTGGAATTATTGCTCATTATTAACGAGTTTTCTAATCAGGAGAAGGCGCTAGTGCTGGTTTTACATTACGGACATCTTGAAGCTCGCGCGGAATCCTTGCAGATAGTTTTTTTTAGGCCAGACTGGTCCCATTCATGCAGAATTTCACTCTGGGTGTTACGTATTACAAACTCGACTTACTTGAAGACGAAAAATGGCCTTGACGGTGTCGACTGACCTGTCCGTGAATACTGGTCCAACATACGTAGATGAAAAACTTGAGGACAAACAAAAAGCGTTGCGGGAGAGCATCGAGAAGGGGGAGCCCAAAATATTTGGGGTGAGTGAACTTCATGTTGTGACTTCAAGCAGATTCTCACAGAAAGTAGCCTAATTTCATGTTTTAAAGGGAACAAAAGAAATTTGTTTTCTGGTGTCTTCATAAATAAAGTAGTCATATTTAACGTGTTAAAGAAATGTGTGCAAATCAGAATAAATATCAAAGTCCTCAACATCTCAAGGGAAAATACTGAGAACACAAACAGAGGAAAGCAGAAGTAGAATCTTCTAAAAATTTCATTATCTATCTTCATTTCTTGGTCTTTTTGTCTGTTGTACAATTTTAAATAGCTCAAAAAGTTTAAGTCATATTTCATTATTTTGCAAGGCTACTATTTTATTAGAAAACAGATAAGGATTGGATAACAGTGATCCAGTTTTTCTGTTTTTATTTTATTTTCTTTTTGTGTGTGTGTAGTAATAAGATACTGTTATAAATCAGTGTGCTTGTGATTTTGCTAAGTAGGATGCAACTCTGGATTAATATATGTTTTTTTTTTTTTTTTAAATGTAACCCATACTCCTAAACCTTACCCTAACTAAATTATTGATAGTTGGAGCACATAAACCTAACTGTAAACTTGTCCCTTAAATCTGATCGGCTGATTATAATGTTGGTAGCACGTCCTATAGGGGAATCGTTTAGGGGTTGGTTTAGGGGTAGGGATTAGGTATGGATTACATATTTGAACAGGAATGTTTCAGGATAAACATAGATTATGGAGAAATGACACTAACCTTGTTGTAAACCTTGTAAGTCTGGACTATATTAACATTAGACAAGTGACTCATTTTTTTGGCATGTTATTTGCTGAATCTTTGGTCACTGTGTGACATTGTCCACTCAGGCTATTAATCTAGTGAAACAGGATTTTTTTTTTAATAGCAAGTTACATGCTGTCACATAAAAAAATGATGTCTGCAAAACTGTTGCAAACTATTTATATGGGTTAAATTTAAACAAACAAATTAAAATTAGTAATGTTTAACTTAATGTTTTTGTTTAAATTCAGCCATTGTTTACAACCACTTAATTTAAAAATCTTTTAGTAAATTCAAGGAATCATCTTTGAATATTTTTAGTGTCATACATTTCCTTAGTAAGGTGAGCTACAAAGTCTTTAAAATCTCTTCAGGGAAAATACTGAGAAAACAAACAGAGCACAGTCTTAAAAGTAGAATTTTCTCAAAATTTAATTCTCAATATCTTCATTTTTTGGTATTTTTGTCTGTTGTCCAGTTTTAAATAGCTCAAAGTGTTTATCCTAACGTAAGTCATATTTCATTATTTTACTAGAAAACAGATGATGATTGGATTACAGTGATTCGGTTTTCCCTTTTCTTTTCTTTTCTTTCATGTGTGTAGTCAGTTGTCAGTGTTGTAGCGGTTGTGATTTTGCTAAATATAGTGCAATCCTGGTTTAAATTTTTGTTAATCCTTGAACATAATTCCTGTTTAAAAAATGTAACCCATACTCCTACCCTAAACCTTATCCCAACTAACTTATTCCCAAAAGGGGATTGATAGTTGGAGCACATAACCCTTACTGTATGCTTAACATAAACGGCAAACTTGTCCCTTAAAACTGATCGGCTGATTATAATGTTGGTCTAGCACGTCCTATAGGGGAGTTGTTATGGTTAGGGGTAGTGATTAGGTATGGATTACATTTTTTTTTGACTTAAACTTTATTGTGTTTTTAATAAACATGGTTATCAACAATAGTAATAAACAGAATTTCTCAACATTGACTTGGTTCAATGTGTATAGCATAGTTGATAACAATATGAAACAAAAAAAAAATGACAAATTATATATGTACACAAACAAACACACATATTTATGAATATATACATGTATGCATACAGAAACCTGTAAATAAATATGAGGAAAGAAAAAAAACTATTCACAGAATGTCAGAGAAGTATATAAATGAAGAAAGTGTCTACTAAGATTATTGTAAAACATTAAACAGAAAAAAAAATAGTTTGTTGTCACCTATATCCTGAAACATTTTAAATGTTTCTCCTATGTTGTTGAATTAAATCACTTAAGTTTTAATAATGGAGATCAAATTGTTATGTATTTGGTTCCAATGAAGGATTGTTGAAATCTTTGCTTTGTTAATTAAGGCAGTGGACTGTTCTAGTCGAACAATGTCTACAAAATAGTGTAATGGATTACATCTTTGAACAGGAATGTTTCAGGATAAACATAGATGTTGGTGAAATCACACTTGTTGTGATTGAAGTCTGGACTACATTAACATTAGACAAGTGATTCACTTTTCTGCCATGCTAACTGTTTAATCTTTGGTCACTGTGTGACACTGCCCACTCAAAAGGTCAACCATTTCCTTCCTAAGGTATGCTACAAAAATAAACAAAAACTGTAATTCACAGTAATTAGAAGCATCCACATTAACAAAAATTTGCATATGCATTACCATATTAAATTGTATTATTGAATGCTGATATTTGTAGCACAGTTACTTATCTCTGTTGTTTAAAAGAGAATTTTAGATTTAAATCAAGTGTTAAAAAAAGATGATGTCACACAACACAAACACTGAAATTTTCATTTTACAACTGATTTAAATATTTATGTCAACTCAACCTTTCTTTAAACAGCATCTCTCTCTCTTGAATTGCTTTTCAGGTCTCTCAGATAGTAATAGGTCTGCTGATCATTTCCTATGCTATACCTCTGCTCTTTGGCGATGCGACAGTGATCCTTAACAGCGGTGTGCCATGGTGGAGTGGTATTATGGTAATGTTATTTCAGGAAATAATCATTAAATAACAAATTAGGGTCACGGCAGAGTATTCAGGGTAATTGGCCAAAACTAAACTAGTGATAAAATAAACAGAAATAAATGACTACACATATAAAGTCTGTCTTTGACCACTAGACTAGTTTTGGCATATTCTTAAATGTCTTTTAGATTTTCTCTAACAGCCCAAGCTTAGCCTTGTTTTAGCCAAGGTGTCTATGTTTAGATGTCTATCAGACCTCTACTAAACACACAATTGTTTGCTGAGATTCGTAACTTAACTTCTATTTTCTTTTCCCCCAACAGTCAGTCATTTCTGGCGCAGCCGCAATAACATTGGAGAAAAAGCCCACCTTGAAGACAGTGAGTTTGAACTTTGAAACATCATTAGAGTGTTTTCCAGACAATAGCATATACAGATTTCATGCATAATTTAATTCAGTCATGGTCAATCAATCAGCAATGACTCTAAATCACTTACAGGTACAGTTGGATATGAAATTAATTTAAATTAGTTTTAAAATATTTCCAGTTTAATGAAGAGAAGGTTTTTTCAACACATTTTCAAACTAAATAATTTCAATTGCTAATTTTCTTTGTCTTTGCCATATTAACACTACATATTATTTTACTAGTTATTTGGCAAGATACTAAAATTTAGCCTAAAGTGCAATTTAAAGCTTAACTAGGCTAATCACTGTAGGTTAATAACGTTTGAACAGCAGTGATTAGTTCTGTAGCCACTTGAAAATATTTACTTCCTAAAGGGGCTAATAATGTTGACCTCCAAAATAAAAAGGAAATGCCTTTACTCCAGCTAAACTATCAAACATCAGATATTTTCCAAAAAAAAAATAATGTTATTGGAAATACTCTCTAATTTTCCTTGCTCATTTAAATATCACTCGGGAAATATTTGAGAAGAATCAAAAAAACTGATAATGAATTTGACTGTATGCGTTTCAAAAGACAAAATTGATTAAAGTTGCTCTTGTGTTTAGGTCTCTGTTTGTTTGGCAATTTCTGGTGCGGCCATAGTCATCTCAGTTATTGCACTTATCCTGTACTATGTTGACATGGCCGTCAATCCGGCGACTGAATGCCGCAAAGGACCAGATGGCTTGTGTGACTATCGCTATTTTGCCACTGTATGTGCATTTATCTCTTATTTGAGTGTCTAATGTATTATATTAAAGGTGTAAAGACATGTAAACAGAAATATATGCTCATGTTTGGGTTCTTTTTCCTAAACAGCATTTCAACACAGGTGTGAAGGCAACCATCTCCGTGGTTGGTTTGGTTCAGACAGGATTATCCACAGCTTTTACAGTCATACTGTATAACCAGAGGAAGTCCTTTACAGGTTATGTGGTAAGAGAAATAATATGTTGTTTTTAAAAAATACTTAATTATCGTTATAGTAGGGGCGACACAGTGGCTCAGTGGTTAGCACTGTCTCCTCACAGCAAGAAGGTCACTGGTTCAAGCCCCAGCTGGGTCAGTTGGCATTTCTGTGTGGAGTTTGCATCTTCTCCCCGTGTTCGTGTGGGTTTCCTCTATTTTCCCCCTCAGTCCAAAGACATGCGGTATAAGTGAATTGAGCAAGCTAAACTGGCTATAGTGTATGTTTGTGGATGAGTAAGTATGGATGTTATCTTTGTACAGGGTTACAGCTGGGAGGGTATCCGCTTTGTAAACAAATGTTGGATAAGTTGTCAGTTCATTCTGCTGTGGCGACCCCTGATGAATAAAGGGACTAAGTGAAGGAAAATAAATGAATCATTATAGTAGAATTGTATTATTTTTATTATTATTATTATTATGTGAGATCTGTACTTTTATTGATGATGTATTTTCTGTTTAGGGAAAAAACTATGGATTTATTAGATTCGTTGTCTCAATTTTTACATATTAGTGTCCAATTTAGCATAAAAATCAAAGTTAACTCCATTATGCTTTTATTTTCAAGCATTTATGGTTTATCTTTAAGAAATAAACCTTTAAAAAACACTGAAATGGGTTGCATTTTTAGAACATTTAGGATCTTGTTTAAACTGTATCTCAGAAATGGTTTTCTACTTTACGCATTTTTTTCCTCTTTTTCAGATCGTGAACGAATGACATTTGGCTTGATTTCCATGTGTAAGATTTTTGGATTTTAATCAGATGTCCTTTGACTATCCACTTCATATACATATATGTGGTTTTGCTTGTAACCAAATGTAATGCTTGTATGTGTAAGACTGTAAAGCACTGATGTACTGTTAAATGTCATGTGAAATAAATATAAATGTGAATGGTTTGATTTTATAAAATATCAAAATAAACCTTTAAAGATCGTTTTTCTATTAATAAAGATATATTTCAAGTTTATATGTAGCCTTTTGTGGTTTTATTTTACCATTGTTCTGATAATTACAGCCCTAAAAGAAAAAAGAAAAAAAATCACAGCGTCGGTCACGTGACAGGGTCCAGCGGATGATAGGGCTTGGTTCATGAATATTAATCGTGTGTAATGCAATATTTTAAAAGCGTTTAAATACTTCTTTGTAAACTGGCAAATTAATCATATCTACAGAAGATTGGTGAAATAATATTAGTTAAAGTGAAATATATAAATAAATTTACCCTAAAAACTGTGACTATGAAACATTCATAACTTATTAATATTCATAAGCTATGCGTTACCGATAGCAACACAGGCAACAGACCTCACAGAGACAGTCTATTCGCTAATATACACCAAGATTTAAGGTTTGTTTCTAGGGACAGCGATGATACTTCGTTAGAAAACTGAACAAAAATGAAGAACAATCATTACACAACGCTCTTTGCTTGTTTTGGGCGTGGTTTCGTATGATTTGAATCAGATGCAAATTACGGATGTGTTGATAAAAGGGAGGAGGTATAGAAAATCGGCTTATAACACACGTGTTAAAGTTTTAGGATTGTAAATATATGTTTCAGTGTTGGTTTTCAAAAACGAATAGTATATCACGCCCTTACATCCTGTTAGGTATGTTAAATACATAAAAATGATGTAACAAATAGGCCTACTACTGAGAGTTTTGAGTTAATATGTTTTCTTAGGATTACTCTGTCTATATTTAAAGGTCAGTAGCCTATATATGGGGTTTATTTCAAATTGAAACGCACTTACACTCACCGGCCACTTTATTGGGTACACCTTACTAGTAGGCTACTACCAGGTTGGACCCCTTTTACCTTTAGAACTGCCTTAATCCTTCAACAGAGTAGGTAAATAGATTCAACAAGGTACTGGAAATATTCCTCAGAGATTTTGACTCATATTGACATGATAGCATCACACAGTTGCTGCAGATTTGTCGGCTGCACATCCATGATGCAAATATCTCATCCTACCACATCTCATAGGTGCTCTATTGGATTGAGTTCTGGTAACTGTGGAGGCCATTTGAGTACAGTGAACTCATTGTCATGTTCAAGAAACCAGTCTAAGATGATTCACGCTTTATGACATGGCGTGCTATCCATTTAAAAGTAGCCATCAGAAGATGGGGGATGGACATAGTCAGCAACAATATTCAGGCAGACTGGTGTTGACACAATGTTCAGTTAATAATAATGGGCCCAAAAGTGTGCCAAGAATATATCCCCCACATCATTACACCACCACCACCAGCATGAACCATTGATACAAGGCAGGATGGATCCATGCTTTTATATTGTTGATGTCAAATTCTGACCCTACCATCCAAATGTTGCAGCAGAAATCGAGTCTCATCAGACCAGGCAATGTTTTTCCAATCTTCCATTCTCCTCTTTTGGTGAGCCTGTGCCAATTGTAGCCTTAGTTTTCTGTTTTTAGCTGACAGGATTGGGACCCTGTGTGGTCTTCTGCTGACCTCGGTTGTAACGAGTGGTTATTTGAGTTACTGTTGCCTTTCTATCAGCTCAAACCAGTCTGGCCATTCTCTTCTGACATTACAAAACATTTGCACCCACAGAACTGCCACTCACTGGATATCTTCTCTATTTTAGACCATTCTCTGTAAACCATAGATATGGTTGTGCATGAAAATCCCAGTAGATCAGCAGTTTCTGAAATAATCAGACCAGCCCGTCTGGCAACCATGCCACGTTCAAAGTCACTTAAATCACCTTTCTTCTCCATTCTGATGCTCGGTTTGAACTGCAGCAGATCATCTTGACCATGTCTACATGCCTAAATGTGTTGCGTTGCTGCCATATGATTAACTGAGTAGAAGTTTGCATTGACGAGCAGTTGGACAGGTGTACCTAATAAAAATAGCCGGTGAGTGTATATTTAAGTAACAAACACGTGTAGACTATGCGCATACAAGCTGCGGTCACACTAGAGTTTGTGTGTGCAAAATACTGTCGTACGGCACTGTGAAAAGGGGCGGGATTAAACAAGATGATTAGACATTTAAAAAGCGAGCGATTTGCTCCGTGTTTTAAACTTCTGTCCAGAGAGGTCATGTTTTGATCCTCGATTGGTCTCACGCAGTCAAGTGATACAATTTCGCAGGTCAGAGTTCACCAAGCTTGAACTTTGCACTGCAGCAACCTGCGAAATTTTCCGGTCTAACGCATTCGCGTCCTTATGAATGGAAAGCTATGGGAGGAAAAGCCCAGTGTGACCGCAGCTTTATAGTCCATTGAACTTGTAGATTTAATTTTAAATACAAATCACCTTCAGTTCTGTCTCTCTCTTAGTTTGTGTGATGCAGAGCCAAGAGGACATCTTTAATCCTCTCATCATCAATGGAGTGGTGACCCGAGACAAAGACTTCCTACACAAACTCGGCAAAGTGCTGAAACTTGACTGGATAGTCGGCAAAAGCTTCAAGGCATGAACAGACTCACTTGCAAGCAGCGTCAGGACAACAATAATTGCCATTTTAATTGCTTTGTAGGCTAGATGATTTATTCAAAACCTTAACATTAATTATATGTCTCATCGTTATAGGTTTGAATTCAAACTAATGTAGCGTAACTTATTCATTTTCATTGGGCTTGAGTTTACCTTGCTATATTTCTCAGATGAGGAGATCGCTCATTAACAGAATCATCCCATCTTTTGCTTGCCTCGCTGTGAAAAACAATGATTTCATTGCACTTAGTGGACTTCTGGAGAAGGTTATTAAACGTATAGTTTCCTAAGTTAAACATATGTACAGGATTCAAGCCTATATATTACCCAAAGGGATTTATTTATTGATTTATTTTTAAAACCTCTTAAGACGGAAGTCAGTCATCGTACCTACGATGATTCCACGGCCCTTCATACAGCCTGTGAGCTGGGGAACATAGACATGATCAAGTTCTTGTTATCAAAGGGGGCATCGCATCATCTGGACCACCGAGGAAACTGCCCCTTATACATGGCTGTTAAGAACAGGTATGTCTAAAAAAATTTATGATTAGTTGGTTTAGCAGACATTTTTTTTGTCTTGTATATGTCAATGACTGTTTCATCTATTGCCACTTGTTTATAGACTACATACACTCACTGGCCACTTTATTAGGTACACCTGTTGCTCGTAAAACAAATTTCTAATCCATCCTGCCTTGTATCAATAGTTCTGGTGGTGGTGGTGTAATGGTGTGGGGGATGTTTTCTTGGCACAATTTGAGCCATTTAGTACTAATTAAGCATTGTGTCCACGCCACAGCCACCTGAGTATTGTTGCTGACCATGTCAGTTCATTTATGACCACTGTGTACCCATCTTCTAATGGCTACTTCCAGCAGGATAACCTGCCATGTCATAAAGCGTTAATCATCTCAGACTGGTTTCTTGAACATGACAGTGAGTTCACTGTACTCAAATGGCCTCCACAGTCACCAGAACTCAATCCAGTATAGCACCTTTTGGATGTGGTGGAAGATTCGCATTATGGACGTGCAGCCGACAAAACTGCAGCAACTGTGTGATGCTATCGTGTCAATGTGGACTAAAATCTCTGGCATAGATTCAACAAGATACTGGAAATATACAATCAACCACAAAGCCAAAAGGTACTAGTAAGGTGTACCTAAAAAAGTGGCCGGTGAGTGTATGTTACCTTAAACAAATTGATGAAGGAATGATGTGTATTTATTGGCCAAAGTCCAGAAACAAGTTGGCATTTTATCATTTAGGTCTCCATTGTTCTGAAATCAGGACCTCAACTACTTCTGTGCTCATCACAACCTCTGTATTTTCTTTTATTCTATATAATAAATATTAGTAATATCACTTTATGTTTGAAGTTTTTACCCATCTTAAAAAATGTGATCGCTAGCATGACTAAATGGCACATTAAATGTGGCATTTTAAGAGAATTCAGACAGTACTCTTCAATACAGACGGTGCTCTTGTATTCTGTCATCATTTATCTACCAATCATTGTTCCAATCCTGTCTGAATTTCTTCCAGAAAAGAACATATTTTAAAGAAAGCTTACAACTAGTAACCATTGACATCCATAGTAGAAAAAAGAAATGCTATCGAGGTAAATAGTTACTGTATATTAGTTTCTCTCTCTCTCTCTCTCTCTTATACCCCCTCTGTAAACATTGTGCTAAAAATTGGCAGTATTCCCTAATAAAAAAGGGAATGAGCCAAAGCAAAGTGAGTGATGACTGCATTTGTGCTCAATTTCTTTCAAGCTTACATTAGAGTAGTAATGCATCATTTGTACATTCTCAGCTCGACATGGCAGTGATGCCAGTTCATACATGTGCTTCTTTTTAGGCATCATCATGCTGTCAGCCTCCTGCACTTTAATGGAGCCACTGTTACTAAACCCCCTGTGACAATCGCTATGGAAATGATCCAGTAATATCTCACTCATAAAACTCACACAGAGCATTTTACCTACAATGTAATATTATAAGCCTATGAGCCTATTCTTTGGTTTAACTCATCACTGAACAGAGTGATACAGATCAAAGACCACCGTCTTCTGCTTGCTTGGGCTATAGCAGGCGTCGACATGGACGCTCAAGACTATAATGGACGCACAGCAATGCATGAGGCGGTTTATTTGGGAGATGTGTTCATGATCAGAAAACTACTGGAATATGGAGCCACACCACTGGTATGATTAGACGATGGTCTTTTAGTGTCTCATGTGTGAATCAATGAATTAAGTACAATGACAGTAAATGAACCATTTTCTCTCTCTCTCTTTTTTAAATCCAATCCAGATGAAAGATGTGTGGGGTCAGACAGCAGTGGATGATGCTCAGAATAAGGCAGCCATCATGGCTCTTTTTGAGCCTATTTTTACAGTTCATTGCCCCACCAAAGAGGCCTATTTACTATGTGAGCCTAAACTTTCAGTCAGATACTAAAATGTTTTTTGTAATTATATGTGTCTCACTGTTCTGTTGTACTGCATTTGTCTTAAATAATACCTTTTTATTTAAAAATGCTTTGTTTCCTCTGAGATTTTGGTCCATATTGACATGATAGCATCACGCAGTTGCCGCAGATTTGACGGCTGCACATCTATGATGCGAAAAATCCCGTTCCACCACATCCCAAAGGTGCTATACTGGATTGAGTTCTGGTGACTGTGGAGGCCATTTGAGTACAGTGAACTCATTGTCATGTTCAAGAAACCAGTCTGAGATGATTCACGCTTTATGACATGGCGGGTTATCCTGCTGGAAGTAGTCATCAGAAGAAGTCCCTTTAAGACAAGTCTATTAACTCAGCGGCCATCTTTGAAATGCCTCTCGGGCATTATACTTAGGCATTCTGTTTGAAAGGAAACATCAAATTGTACAAAACTGTTTTCCAAGCTTATGATTACATTAGATACTTGGAACCACCAATAAAATTCTAAATCTAAATTTTAATTTCTAAACGTTCGAAGCCAACAAAGTCTTCATATTTTCATGTTGCCCAAGCTAATTAAAAGGAACAAGATCACGACACCAACCTCATTTATGGCCATTCTACATATTACTATCCTCTGGATTAATACAGTTTTTCCAATTCAAAACTATAAGAGTGACATGTCCCTGCTGTAAAATCCAGCTTAAACCAGCCTAGGCTGGTTTAAGCTGGATTTTTCAGCAGGGGTTGTGTGTATTCTATAGTCTTTGACTACGGTCATAAAGGAATGGACATGGTCTGCAACAATTGGTTCTAATGGGTAACACAATTACACCACCACCATCAGCCTAAACCGTTGATACAGAGAACGTAAGATGGAACCATGCTTTCATGTTGTTGGCGCCAGATTCTGACTCTAGAAGTGGACGTTGATTATATATATATCAACATTTGTAAGGATCTTAGTGATGATAACCTCCGGATGGACTACTCCTTTGTGCCTGCTGGAGGCTCTTGGCTTTTGCAAGGTCACATTCCTATTGTTACAATAAACAACCCTTGCAAACACAGAATAAACATGGTCAATATCTTACCCTCCAAGATTGAGCAAGCTCATCTCTAGAAGAGAACAAGACATTCACACAGAGTGAAACATGGATTTAGAGTAAACCAAAAAAGGACAAAACATCATACTGTGGAAATCCTAATAAAATGAAGCCGTTAAAAACAACATGTTTGTCCTCCGGAAGTCAGACTTTAACGAATAAACACTGTTACTGCAGATCCTGACACGGCTGTGTCAGATAAATACAGACATCAGTCATGACAAAGCAGAGGACGGGATTACACATCTATATAACCACTGTAAATTTTGGAACAAAACCACCACATTTGTACAAGCGTGTTTAAGAAAATAATGTTTCCGCAATTCTCATATGGAATCACTTTATGTGAGTTTCCCTCCTGTTAATCCGCAGTCTCCATAGTCATCAGCAGGCGGCAGAATTGCTCTTTGCAGGAAGAGGAGAGGAAGCGGGCGTTGCTCAGGGAAATGAAATATTTTATGGATCACTAAACGTCCAGTTTATTTGAGTTTTGGTAAACACCGAGCTTATTTGCGAATAGTACATCTGGCATTCTTTGTAGGATAGTTTCTATATAATATAACGTGTTAAGAGCAGTTTTCTAATCCCCAAGTAAAGAAGCCTGAATGCAGCGTTTTCACTCCTTCCATGTTGTCCGTGCGGTTGTTTTGGATTAGCTTGTTTAACTCACGAACACAGGTTTAACTTCTCTACCGACGCGATATACGCCTTGTGAAAATTAAAATGGTACAATGTTTCTATTTCACCACACTTCTACTTTCAGTATCACTTCAGTTTATACCATTGTGTCAGTCGGTCGAATGGAAAAACCACTCTGGTCCACTTCAAAATGCGCGGTCCATTATCACCAGTTTGTCCGAGGAAGCCCACAGTTTCCTTGTCTCTACTATCGGTGAAAAAAGAGTCGACCTGTCTCTCAAGGTGAGTTCTGTCTGTTTAACCGGGTCTGTCTGATATCTGAAATGAAACTTTGTCTATCTGATACTATGTGATATGTATCTGATCTGTGTTGATCTGATACAAAACACAATGACAAGTTTGTTAAGGTTTATATCGGGGAAACTTTATTTTGCTAATGCAGTAGAATTCAAACAATTCTACACTATTTAGTTAATTGGATACAAATGACAATGGCACTTTAAGTACTTTGTCTGAAAAGTAACTGGATTAGTCAGTAAGTCATTTAATTTCTTGACTAAATACTGCTTAAAATGCAGATAAATTTCAACATGTAGACCAGGGATGCCCAAACTTTTTCTTATGAAGGGCCAACAACCAAACTTGTTTGAGGCTAGTGGGCCAAGGTAAATATAGTTGCAATGGGTAATTTCCTTATTTATTTAATAGTATTTAAAATGACTAGGAAACATTGCCTTATATTAACTAATACAGCATACATTACATTTTAACTTGTTACAGTAAAACAATCTCATTTATAACAGAATTAAACTAGTTTTTGCCTTGATTTGCCCACTGATGTCTACTGCATAGTTCTCTATTTGTCGAGTGACATTATTTGCTGTACATTTTTAAAAATCTGGTTCATTTACAACATTTAATTGAAACATTTCATTTCAGTTTGCTTTTTTGTAGCTCAGCAATTAAATTAATAAACAAAACAATTACATCAAATTAAAAATGATCTGCTTTAACTACTCCATCACGAAAAAATGTTTGGATTGCATTTCCTAACTCCTAATATCGCTAGTTAACACACTCAATGCACTTTTTTTTCCAAAACATCCCATAATTTCTAAAATATCAATCTTTATCAAATCTCACTCTCTTCTCAGATGGGATGGTGGGCCAAATCCAAGGTTACAATGGGCCAACTTTGGCCTGCGGGCCCTACTTTAGGCATTTTCAGTGTAGACAAAGAAATAAACTGGTTTACTTCCTTAAATTCAAGTCAAACCAGATCTTTTAGATTTTTTTAATACACTATAAAAATGCTAAACACTAAATGTAAATGCTTTAAATGTATTAAAGCACCAAGTGTTTCAAGTAAATGATACACACACACACACACACACACACACATATATATATATATATATATATATATATATATATATATATATATATATGTGTGTGTATATATCTTTCTCAATTTATGGTTAAGCATGTGCATTTACTTTGCTCCTCAGAATTAGCTTATATCATTTTTTCTCACTCACTTTTTTCTCACTAATTTTTCTTAAGCATATGCAATCATCTTGTAAAATGTAACCTTTAGAATTATTCTGCAAAATATGTGTATGACAAGAATACACTTACTCTGTTTCTCTGAATTGATTTATCTAGAACAGTTTCATTTATTAACAGTATTTAAGGCAAGTATATTATAAAGTAACTGTAGCTAAATCACCTAAAAATGAAAAGTAGTCCTGGGGTAGCATGATAGCTCAGTGGTTAGCACTGTCGCCTCACAGCAAGAAGATTGCTGGTTTAAGTCCCGGCGGGGTCAGTTGGCATTTCTTTGTGGAGTTTGGATGTTCTCCCCCATGGCGTGGGTGTCCTCTGGTTTCCCCCACAGTCCAAAGACATGCAGTATAGGTGAAGTAAGCTAAATTGACCGTAGTGTGTAAATGAGAGTGTATGAGTGTTTCCTTGTACTGGGTTGCAGCTGGAAGGGTATTGACTGCATAAAACATATGCTGGAATAGTTGGCGGTTCATTCAACTGTGGTGACTCCTGAAATAAAGACTCAGCCAATAGAAAATGAATGAATGAATGAATGAAAAGTAATCCGTTACTATACTTTTTTTAGTGTTAAAGTAATTTGATTACATTAACTCGTCACTTCATAACTAATTACACCCAACAATGCAGTTCTAAGTTACTCAAGTGTTTTTAAAGGATTATTTTATGTGTTTAAAATTACTATCGGATGCTTTTGACCATAAATTACTTGCGCATGATAACTGTATTTATTTTACGGGCATCAGTTTCTCCAGAGCGGTGTGAAGTGGCTGTCAGATGCAGTGGCATCAGCTCTAAACGTGGCCATCCGGTATATTACGGAAATCTTGGAATCGGCAGGAATTGATGGTAAATTCTTTTCTCACACAAATTCACTTGTGAATTATTTACTTTACATTTTAAATTAATTTCACTCAAAGCACATGCTCACATGTATGTTTCTCAATATGTTCATCTAGCCAAGTTACCTTTCCAAAAAGTGACTCCGGAGGGGGTGATTTTTGTGACTCAGTGGGCCATCCTGGCTGTTTTGGCCTACTGGATCTTGTCCTTCATCCTGCGTTTGGTTGTGGGAGCTGTGAGGCAGGCGCTGTGGCTGCTCAAGCTCTCCTTTGCTGTTGGCACGTTTGGATTGATTCTCAGCGACTCTGGAGCCTCAGCAGAAACCACAGCACTGAGATTAGCAGGCCTGGCGTGCGTCTGTGTCCTGCTGGGAATCGGTACAGCATCTGCAAAGTCAGACGCACACCTGGAGAACAAAGTCAAGATGCTGGAGAGGAGATTGAAAGAGATGGAGAAAAGCAAAATGGAGTGAGATGATGGAAAGCAGATCTGAAATAACACCATTGCGAATGCGAGATGTTAAACTTGAAAATAGAAGCACAATTTTTTTGCCAAAACTTAAATTGTTGTTCAGTAATTGTTTGTTAAAGGATCAGTTGATTAGCAAAGTTGACTTTACTTATAAAATTGAGCTAATCCATTGTAACTTGGAACTGTTAAGTTGACTTTATTTTTTATAATTATGCATACAGCTCATTTACTTAATCATTTTAAGGAAACAGGTTTACTCATTTTTTCTAAGTTAAGTCAACTATTTGCGATTGACAGTATAGGGTCCCATAGCAAAGCTCTTTGTGGCATTTGAGATACTGAATTTTAAACCAAAATACTAAATCAAATGTACAAGCATTTGTCATTCGGGGAAATGTATTTAACGAGTTCATTATAATAAATTTGTTGAAAAAATCCTTGTCTGAAAAGTGATGTCTGTGACATGAATCCTTAAAGGGCACCTATAATGAGAATCATCTTTTGTAAGCTGTTTTGTCAGAACTGTGTGTAGGTATAGTGTATCCACTGTCACACTGGAGTGATAGAGGCCCACCACAACGTGACATAGGAGTGCGGTTTTCCCGCCTATCAAATTGATTGACAGATGCATATTAACATGTCTCGGTAGTAATGCATATAATCATATCAACAAGACAGGACGAGCGCAAATCAACTGGGATTAATAGATCTGTTCAGCAGGTGAAGGCTACACCCATCAGAGAGATCTCTATGGCTGTTTCTCAATATGCGTCCTTGTGTTCTCGTCCTCATCATCCGACAAAGTTCAGTTCCAGAACCCAAGAACCATGTTAAAGTTCCCAGATGTGTTCTTGATATCAAGGATGCATACTTGAGCACCTAACTCGCTCTAAAAGTAATTGTGGCTGAATAAAGGTGGTGGGAAGCGCAGCATTTTATTTAGATTTATTATTAAAGTTCAGAGATAAAACTTGTTTATCTCAGTAGTTGCCTAAATGAGACGGTAAGAGTAAACATTAACATGATAATCTTAATAAAGGAGTGAATGTTTATGTGCTGAGATTTTGTATTAAAATTGTGTTATTTGTATTGTGCAAAGTATAATTATAAGTGTTTTGTGCATGTTATATTGAAAATGAAAACAAAAACGTGTAAATGCTGTAATGTTTACATAATTTACCATTAAAAATGTGTGAAGGTCATGTGACCATTAGGAAGAACACAGCATCTCATTTCTCACAGGACGTGTTCAGTGTTCTCGCGCTCTCCCGAGTTAGTTCTTCCAAGGTGATCTGACAAGAACGGTCTTTACAAGAACGCAAGTCTGTTCTCTGCTTTCTTGTAATTGAGGAACAGCCTATGGCTCTGACACGCAGGGTGAGCGGGGGAACCAACTCATTTGCATTAAAGGCACAGTCAACAAAAACGGCTACAATAGCCTAACAGCTCAAATTTCCCTCATTTAAAATGCTATAATGAATAATCTGATGGGTGTTTTGAGTTGAAACTTTACAGACACATTCTGGAGACACAAAACACTCATCTTAAATCTTGAAAAAGGGGTAAAAAATGTGCCCTTTAAAGTCAAAAATCACAAAATTCCAGCTTCTCCACCGTTTTATTTTTATTTATTTTTTTGTATCATGACTACTGAATCTGCAGCATTTGCACACATTTGCACAGTCGGTTTACAAAACGCTTGAGGTGTTCGAGTTATAATGACAGTCATGCTGATTGTCATCTTATTACAGTTCAAGTTGTTAAACCAAATTACATTCAGTTTGTTCGTATAGTGCAGCATGGAACGAGGAGTATTACAACACAAGTTGGCACTATTAAAAAACAAAAGACGAATCAAAAATACAGAGAACATGATGACCACAATAAAACATTAGGCAATACAGCACTGCACTGTACAGTAGGCTGAAACTAAAAGCATTTCTTTCATTGAGAACAGTAGTAGACCTTTTATATTACTGTGATATGCAGCTTAGTTTAAAGTAAGGCATTGATGTTGTCTGTTACAAGTTAAAAATGTCACTATACTACTTATACACATTGACATTGTAGCTGTTTGCACCATTTTAAATGTTTTCAAGCAAAATGTAATAAAATGCCCTAATGCAGCTACTGGTATGCTATCTGTGGTAGTTAGGAAAATTCCCTGAAAGCCTACATTTTATTTACTTCCATGCATTAACAATCACACTCACCGGCCACTTTATTAGGTACACCTTACTAGTACCAGGTTGGACCCCATTTTGCCTTCAGAACTGCCTTAATCCTACATGGCATAGATTCAACAAGGCACAGGAAATATTCCTCAGATATTTTGGTCCATATTGACATGATAGCATCAAGCAGTTGCTGCAGATTTGTCGGCTACACATCCATGATGCGAATCTCCCGTTCAACCACATCCCAAAAGTGCTCTATTGGATTGAGATCTGGTGACTGTGGAGGCCATTTGAGTACAGTGAACTCATTGTCATGTCCAAGAAACCAGTCTGAGATGATTCACACTTCATAAATTGGCGCATTATCCTGCTGGAAGTAGCCATCAGAAGATGGGTACACTGTGGTCATAAAGGGATGGACATGATCATGTTTAAACAGCAGCAGATCGTCTTGACCATGTCTACATGCCTAAATGCACTGAGTTGCTGCCATGTGATTGGCTGATTAGAAATTTGCGTCAACAAGCAGTTGGACAGGTGTACCTAATAAAGTGGCCAGTGAGTGAATGTCTATCCTGTGTGTTAATTTAATGGCTGAAGATACATGTAAGTGCGTTTGTATACAGGAAGGGTGTATATGCAATGTCTACCAACTAATAAACATTAATAAACAAGGAGTTACCTGTGTTTGCAAATATATATTTTAAATGTGGAACTGCCTTTCTTTATAATATATAACAATTTGTTTCAGACACTACTTTAACAGCAAACACAACGATAAGTACTTATTTTCCTTGCCTCTCAAGAGACGAGAGGTTATTTAATAATATACAGCGCTGTTAAAAGAACTAAAAAACTACCTGCACAACAACATCCTAAATTAAAGTTTTAATACTATTAAGCCTTTTTTATATATGTTTTATTATACATAGTTCTACACAAAGTCCCGTTAACCCCTTAATAGGTCCCTCTGATAAAGGGTTAGGACTGACCCATGGGGAAATTAAAAAAATAGCAGCTCAGTGTTACTTTAAAGGGATAGTTAAGTCCTAAAATAATAGGTGTGACAGTTATCATATTTTAATCAAACGTGCATGCATTTTGTTAGTCTGTTAATAGCAGAAGAACTAATTTTAAAGGATATTGTTAACCAGACAGTACTGCGATCTCCATTGTATGGACAAAAACACAATTCCCAAGATGTCTTCTATTATTTTCTACAGACGAGCTTTAATTTTATTATTGGAGTTTGTGAATGTCCCTGTTGAAAGTGAGCTTCTCTGTCTATGGATATTGCTTTGTTGTCCACTATACACACAAACACACAAACACAGCTATCAGCTATGAGTGTCACTGGAAGCCCATTCACAACTTCTTGTGGTATGTGATTATAATATAAAGATGTTTCACCTGCAAATATGGAGGTAGGAGGTTGTAAAGATGATCTTTCCATCTTTGGTATTATTTAACTTCTGCTTTCCTACTATTAAAATGAGCCAAAAGAGAGTGACGTTAAAAGGTTATGTTTTGTTTTCTGCTTCCCTTACGAGGATAATCCAGCATTTTGGAGAAACTACAGGAAGTTGTTGCTTGTAGACTTTCCTTTGTTGATGTCAAACTGGACCCCAGAGTCGCTAGTGCTGAGCATATTCATTGAAAGGCTGTCCAGAGCAGACCTGTAACCCTATTAAAAAAAGACAGGTCAACTTGTGAGATACATGTGTGAGACAGTGGAAGTATTTATAAATTTAACAATAATTACACTATTACTTATAGACCGTAAACAAACATTAGTACTGGAGACTGTACTGCAACTTTTACACATCAAAAATGATATCATGTTTTATAAAACTGTGATAAAAGGATAGGTGTTACCTCAGGCTGGGGTGCAAGCAGGGGCGCAGTTTGAGGTGGATCATTCGTAGTCATCCCTGTGGTTTCAGGCCCAGGAGAAGAATAGTTCTGAGGACACACATGACATCACATTAGAAAAACATACACAAGCAGGCACACCAAGAGTTCATAAACTACTTATCATATTTTATATTCTGTGTAGATCGAAATTAAAGTACAATTTATGAACACATCTTCATTTTTCAGAAAGTTTTTCCTGACATACTGTAATCATGATCAAAATTAGAGAACACCAGTGTTTCTCAACCATGTTCCTGGAGGACCACCAGCTCTGCACATTTTCCATGTCATGTAAGCAAACACACCCGATTCAGATGTTTAGCTCGTTAGCAGAGGCTGAAAGATCTGTGATGGGTGTGACAAAAGAGACATCCAAAACATGCAGTGTTGGTGGTCCTCCAGGAACGTGGTTGAGAAACACTGCTCTACACTGTAAAAAAAAAAAAAACATTGTTAAATGTTACACCTAAATAAATAAGGTTTTTCAAACTTTATAACATTTTTTCAGTAAAAACGTAACTTTTTAAATGTTTTTTTTGTGTGTGTGTGTGTGCTGAATGAAGAAAGATTACTAAAATTGAAACTAACATGTCTAAAATTTACAGAAGTCAAAAATAAGTAGGAAGTGTAATTGCGTTAATTCAGCACATCTGCGGCCACAGGACTATCACTAGATTAACCAGTGTTTCACACTGCTCTGCTGTGACCGTGATCAGATCTTCCTCTGTCTCCTTCACAGTTTGGAGGAGTTCAGGTTTAGGTCAGGACACTGGGCTGCCATTTCATTTTTTCAGTGTTTTCAGCTTCAATAGAGCTTAGATCGAGCCCAAAAAATTGAACGCAAGCCTAAAGCCTGTTTCACACCGCAAGCGTGAGCAGCGCGTGTTTTTTTGGCGTCCATGTTAACAAATTAGAGCTTTCATACCGCACGCAGCAGCAGCGCGTCAGAGCGAGGAATGAGTGTCACTGAAGCTGCAGTGCTGCGACAGTTTCGGCGCTGGGTCTATTTTTCCACACTGCTCACGCTCAATTAAAGTGACAGCATTGATAATGATCAAAACACATTGAATGACAGTAAAAAGTAGCAATTTTACCCAATAAATGCATCGATAAGATCCACTGGAGCTAGAGCGTTGCTATGCATGACACGCATTGCGAATTGTGCAACTTTGTAGTCCCAAATATTTGCTTAGGCTGACTTTACTAAAATATTTGTTTAATATTTCTAATTATGGCATAGCTTTCCACCCAATTAGGCTAACTAAGTAAAGACAAAAAAACACTCACAACTCCTTGATCAAGGCCTGGCCCACTGATTATGGCATGAAATACTGCCCTAACCTGGCATGCGAGTCAGGTTGAGTCTGGCCTCGGGCAGAGAATCTAAACTCTAAGCTTTAACGCACTACTTGACGTGTTTTGCTGTAAAACAGGCCTCATTCTCATTTACTCCTATCAGGATTACTTGACAAGAGACTAAGCAACCAATCAAAAATGTAGAAAGTTGTAAGTTTTTCTCTCATTTTGATCAGGTCACTAAATAACAGTGCAAAACAAAATAACAATTGCAGAACTTTTGAACATTTTGCAAAGAATCTGAATGTACCATAGCAGGAGACGGGTTGTATTGGGAGGCAGGTTCAGTATATGTGGGTCCAGACTGAGGTGGATAGAGCGGGTTTTGAGGCACATTCCCAGGATTAAAGCCCTTAAATGATGGAAAAATGCAGAAATGATTAGTAATACTCTTTACAGTGAGAACACAAGGCTTCTGTAGGAATCTACTTTAAATTAATAGTACTAATATACAATACAATATTAAAGAATATAGTATATTACAGTACTGCAGTTGTGCTCTCCAAACAATGAACCACATGTTACTACCTTCAGGATCAATAATGCATTAAGAGTTGTTTTTAACTTGTACGTATTCGCTTGCTGTTTTAACATTTAAAATAAATCAATAAAACTAAAAGCAAAAGAGCTTGGATGTACCTGATTTGGAAATGGGTTGTTCTGGGAGGCAGGGTCATTCCACTGGGGAGGATGAGTGGGTGCAGATTGAGGTGGATAGACAGGGTTTTGAGGCACATTCACAGGATTATAACCCTAAAATGATGGGAGAAATAATTAGTAATACTCTTTACAGTGATAATGACCAAACACATTGTTAAAAGAATCTAATCTAAGTGGTTGTCTGTATAATAGGGATAATTAAACATTTTGGAGGAACGAGAGAAAGTTGCTGCCTGAAGAAATAGTAGATACACACTAAAATATAATACATTCTGGAATACAGTGTGTAATAGTACGCCAAGCCGACCCCGCAACTAAGGCCAAAGAAAAAGAAGAAGAGGAGGAGTGTGTAATAGTATGCCAATAGTATTGTTACTCCTTTCAGGACCAATAATGCATTAGTAGGAGTTGTTTTTACCTTTTACGTATTTGCTTGCTGTCTTAATATTAAAAATAAACATATAAAGTGAAAAGCAAAAGTGTTTGGATGTACCTCATGAGTATATGGGTGGTAGGGTGGAGCAGGTTGATTCCAATTGGAAGGATGACCTGGGGAAACTCCGGGTTGAGGTACAGCAGGATAGAGAGGGCTTTGAGGCATACCTCCAGGATTAATGCTCTTAATAGAAACAAGCACAAGCACATCCTTTTTACTTCTTTTTTAGTAAGAGGATAAGTACACCTGAAATGCTATCCTGTCTATACTAGTCACCAGAAAGACCTACAGCAAACTGCAAACCAGCATTAACAGCGTGATGAGCATGGTATTCACACAAGCCTCAAGGTGGATTTTAATAACCGGTGTGTGTCCTCTACAAAGGTGCCTGAGAGAGCTCAAACACTAACAAATTGTAAAAACATATGAATCAAAGAGACACATGCAAATTCTTACAACATGCAAATGCAGTATATTGCTGCAAATAGCGCAGACCGCAACAGAAGAGTGTAAGGGCTCCCCAAAAATTATGAGCCTGGCTGCTTCTGGTTTAGAGTTAGCTGTGTTGTCGGAGACATGAGAGTTGAGTTTTTTCTTTATCTTAATTCCCTGGTTATATGGTTATATTATGATATAGATCAGTGTTTCTCAACTGGTGGGTCGCGACCCAAAAGTGGGTCGTAGAAACATTTTCAGTGGGTCGCAGAGTGTGTGGTCAAAAAAAATACAAAAGTTAAATTTTTTACTTATTTTGACTTTTATTTTGAAATGCATGCACGACCATTTGACAAATGAAATTTTATTTAATTATAGCAACAGATAAGTCAAAGCGCAAGTAGGACCCCGAAAATGTAAAGTATGGATTTACATATATTGACGACAAAAAAAAAAAACGTAAAGCATCAGTGTGTCATAAGCAGTGAGGTGCTCTCAAGAGAGCACGAAACCTTCTAAATTAAAACGACATTTAGAAACTAGACAACATGTTTTATTAACAGTTTAGTTCATGGTAACTGAACCTTTCGTTACTCTAACCACTGTTTACAGTATTTGTCGCTTTTACTCTGTAATTTGATACATTTTGTTAAATGACAGCAATTAAATATAGTTTATTTGTAAGTCTTGGGGATTTTCTTAGGATTTATCTGTCACTACTTGTGTATGTTAACAAATAAATACAAATAATTATAATTCCTAAAATTGTATTATAGTTCCTAAAAATTTTGGTGGCGGCTTGATGACCATGTAAAAATGTGGGTCCCATATCCAAACCAGTTGAGAACCACTGATATAGATTATTAGGGCTAAACATATACAAACTACAACTCCCCTCTCAGATCTCCAACAGAACCGCTGACTCTAAACAGAAAGCAGCCGTGTTTGTCACTTTTTCGGGATTCGATTATAGTGAGAATTTGCTTGCATGTGTGTTGGCAAATTGATAAAAGTGTTTTCTCAATTTGTAAGTTGTTTTCTATTTGGGTATTTCCTTTTAAAGGGACAGTGCACCCAAAAAAAGAAAATTCTCTCATCATTTACTTTGTTATTTCTTTATTTTATTTACTCATATTACTTAATTTATTTCACACCTTTATGAGATTCTTTTTTACTGTTGAACACAAAAGAAGATATTTTGAAGAAAGCTGCAAACATGTAACCATCGTATTTGTTTTCCCTACTATGGAAGTCAATGGTTACAGGTTTTCAGCTTTTTTCTGAATATCTTATTTTGTGTTAAACAGACATAAGAAACATAAAGAGGTTAGCAATCACTTGAGGGTAAGTACATTTCCAGTTTTGGGTGAACTCTCTCTTTAACTTACAGTGTGCTTGAGCTCTTTCAGCCATCATGCTTCACTACTTTGTAACAAATTCTTAGCAAGCCTTTTTTGGTTCAATATAATTCTGAGACAGCCAGGCTGTACTCTAACATCAATGCAATTGGCAAAGAAAACAAATTTATTAAGCTCACATATTCAATTATTTTATAATTAAACTATCAAATGCTACCTAACACTACTATTTTAACAACCTTATCTGCCAATAAGATGCAACAGATGCTTACTTAACTGCTGTTTTTTCACTTTTGTTGTGTTCTTTAGTTAGCACCTATTTACACTCTCAAAAGCATGGCTGCATCTGAAATCACATACTTCCATAATATATAGTATGTTAAAAACAGTATACGAGCAGAGTAGTATGTCCAAATACACAGAATTTACCAAGCAGTATACGGGAAGGACCCTGATGACCTACTACTTCCAATGAGATTATAAAGTGCGCATCTGATGGACACTGCACTATGCCATGATGCACTGCGAGACCATTCATGAATGAGAGTGAAGCAACTGACGCAGGTGGGTCATGTGATCATGACAAAATGGCGAATGCAGTACGTTAGATTTCCATTCATGCTACTGACATTCATACTGTACAAAACCTACTTTTCTAACGGTCCAGTAGTACATTCAAATGCAGTACCTACTGAGTAGTAGGCAATTTCGTATGCAGCCCATGGTCATTGCCAGGATGTTTGTTATCTATATACCACTTATTAGAATGATCTAAGAAAGAGGGAAATAACCTTCATGTTTATTTTACCAGGTCAGAGCCTTCGGGACTTACTGGATCAATCACATTGCAAGGTATAGACACTGGTTCAGAATTAGGGGAGGTGGCGCTGTGAGTGTTTGATTTGGAGGTCCGGCAACATTTGCACAATCTTCTTCGGCAGCAATAGCAGATTCCACCAGGAACGCCAACCAGCAGAATGGCTAATAGACCCAAATTAGGAGTAAACGGATGATGATCTATAGTCAGATTTGAAGAGATGAGACAAGGAAAAACATTGAGAGATGGTGAATACTGATTCATACAACACAAATCTTGAAAATAATCCAGATAATTAAAGGTGGTTTCAGCACAGGCTCTGTTGCAGCACTAGTTTGTAACACTAGACTAGTTCACTAGAGTTAAGCCATTCATTGAGGTAGCCCAGGCACACATAGTCTAGTACAGGGGTGGCCAACCCTGTTCCTGGAGAACCACCTACCTGCAGATTTCAGTTGCAACCCATACCAAACACACCTGAACCAATTAATTAGGACCTGAACACCACGTGATAATAACAGGCAGGTGTGTTTGATATGGATTGCAACTGAAATCTGCAGGAAGGTGGCTCTCCAGGAACAGGGTTGGCCACCCCTTGTCTAGTTCATTATAGTTAAGTCATTTAGCGAGGTAGCCCAGGCACACATAGTTTAGTTCACTTGAGTTAAGCCATTTGGCGAGGCAGCCCAGCCACACAGTCTAGTTCACTAGAATTAAGCTATTTAACAAGGTAGCCCAGGCACATATAGTTTAGTTCCCTTGAGTTAAGGCATTTGGTGAGGTATCCCAGGCATACATAGTCTAGTTCACTACAGTTAAGCAATTTAGCGAGGTAACCCAGGCACATATAGTCTAGTAGTTCACTAGAGTTAAGCCATTCTGCGAGGTAGCCCAGTCACATATAATCTAATTCACTTAAGTTAAGCCATTTAGTGAGGTAGACCAGGCACACATAGTCTAGTTCACTAGAGTTAAGCCATTCTGCGAGGTAGCCCAGTCACATATAGTCTAGTTCACTAAAGTTAAGCCATTTAGTGAGGTAGCCCAGGCACATATAGTCTAGTTCACTAAAGTTAAGCCATTTAGTGAGGTAGCCCAGGCACATATAGTCTAGTTCACTAAAGTTAAGCCATTTAGTGAGGTAGCCCAGGCACATATAGTCTAGTTCACTAAAGATAAGCCATTTAGTGAGGTAGCCCAGGCACATATAGTCTAGTTCACTAAAGTTAAGCCATTTAGTGAGGTAGCCCAGGCACATATAGTCTAGTTCACTAAAGTTAAGCCATTTAGTGAGGTAGCCCAGGCACATATAGTCTAGTTCACTAAAGTTAAGCCATTTAGTGAGGTAGCCCAGGCACATATAGTCTAGTTCACTAAAGTTAAGCCATTTAGTGAGGTAGCCCAGGCACATATAGTCTAGTTCACTAAAGTTAAGCCATTCAGCAAGGTAGCCCAGGAACATATAGTTTAGCTCCCTAGAGTTAAGCCATTTAGTGAGGTAGCCCAGGCACATAGTCTAGTTTCCTAGAGTTAAGCTATTCAGCGAGGTAGCCCAGGCACATATAGTTTAGTTCTCTGGAGTTAAGCCATTTGGCGAGGTAGCCCAGGCATACATAGTCTAGTTCACTAGAGTTAAGCCATTCTGCGAGTTAGCCCAGTCACATATATTTTAGTTCACTAAAGGTAAGCCATATAGTGAGGTAGCCCAGGCACATATAGTCTAGTTCCCTAGAGTTAAGCCATTAGGCGAGGTAGCCCAGGTGCACATAGATAGTAAAACATGCAGTCCTTTAACGGCAAGAAAAGAAATAGACACATTTCGCCAATAGATCAGCCTGTTCTGGGGGAGTGTTTAACTTGTTAAAGTTAGTTAACTTCTGTTGTAAAATGCATGTTCCTAATTGATAATTTGTAAACACACAACACAGCTTCAGTTTTCATGGGTCTGTTTGCCTTGTTTGGTGGGTTCCATACATGTTGTGTTTGCAGAAACAGCTTGTTATGTTCTCAGACAAAAATTAAATTGTCTGTGACTATACTGGCAGTAGCAAATCTCAATACTTGCTCTGCACCAATAATCAAAGCAGCAGCAGCAGAGCAAATCTATCCTGCCAAGACCAAGCAGATCAACATTGTTATAATGCATGCTTGTAAATAACTCCAAAATTTTAAGAGTTGTTGTTCTTACCAACTAGTATCATTGTATTGCTTGAGATCAGTCTGCCTTTCTTATCGGTGAGCTCGTATCTACCCAAGTCTGATGTGTTGACATTGACAACCTCAATTGAATTCAAGTACACTTTAAGTCGGTTATAGTAGTCCCGGTAGTTTTTGCCTACAGGAACTCCATTCTCTACCAGGGTGATGGCTGAATCATTATCGTAAAAGCGAAGCGTGACATTAGACATTTTGAGTCCTCTCAGTGGTATTTTCAGAGTTTCTCCAGCGATACGCGGAATGGTATCAGTGTTGGCTGTAAGAGAGGAAAGACAGTAAAAACGTGAAGGAAGAGTAAGAATATGTGGACAGTCATTAAAGATTTTAATCACTTAAAATGCTACTTACTCTGGACCTTCACTGTATAACTGGAGATGGCTGAGCCAAAGATGTTGCGCACGAGATAGGTCCCCTCATCGTCAAACGTAGCCTGTTGGATTTTGAATGTCCAGCCATTATTGGTAGAGGTCACGTGTCCTTTTTTGGTTCTACTGTACCAAGCTGTCAATCTGTTTTCCCAGATGATATAATGTTCAGTTTCATCAGCAGAAGCAAACTCCAGTTTATCTGTCCTTTCTGGAAGCTCCAGAATCAGCTGATTGCCATGGTCTATAGCTTTGCGATAGGTAGAGACTGCAGAGACTGACACTAAAGGGAGAAATGGTGGTGGTTTGTAAGATGAGTAAAAGTTTATTACAAATGACAGCAATTAGAACCATGTAAAAATCCATTTGTTTTGCTGTTTGTCTTTCTTTTTTTGTCATTATAACCAATGATTCAACTGTCAACGTCTAAATCCTTCTTCATTAATGGCAATTATCTGTTCACTAAAATGCTGGGTAAAGCATGTGTTGGCTGAATTTGTGTATGTGTGTAGTGCAGTTTTTGTTCAAATGCAGGTCAAAGGCATCTCTCCCACCCATTGATGTAATAACCCAGTGATTATATTCCTGAGAGAACACGCCTCAATTGCAGCTGTTTCAATAGGCCTCTATACAAAAGTGGTTTGCCAAAAGCCAATCTATCAACACTCGAGTCTGCAACACTAGCTGTATGTATGAATATATCTATATCTGCAATAAGGTCAGCAGTTGACTTTGCTTAACTAACACAATAAAACAAGACTGTAGCTATTAACAATACATTAAAAAGTGCACAGTGCTTAAGACCCTTAAAGGGATAGTTCACCCAAACATGAAGGTATATGTTTGGAAGAATGTCAGTAACCGAACAGCTCTCACCTATTCAACTGAAATATTAGTCTTTTTTCCAACTATAGCATTAAATGAATGGTGAGATCTGTTTGGTTGAGTAGGGTCTGTCTGCAGATTGCAAGACAGGGGCATAACATGAAGTAATGAGTAACTTGTAGTTATGGAGACCTACATGTCAAAACAGTGTTGTCGGTAGATGGGACTGTACATTAGTCATTAACCTCTACACCAACTCCACAGCTTAACCCAACCATTAACATCTATACCTACTACAACCCTAAACCCAACCATCATCATTAATACCGTCTACACCTTCCCCAAACCTAAACCTAACTATCACAGCTATTAACGTCTACAATCTCCAAACCCTAAACCCAACCATTATCATTATTAACATCTACACCTTCTCCAACCCTAAACCCAACCATCATCCTTAATAAAGTCTACACCTTCCCCAAACCTAAACCCAACCATTATCATTATTAACATCTACACCTTCCCCAACCCTAAACCCAACTATCACAGTTATTAAGGTCTACACCTTCCCCAACCTTAAACTCAACCATCAGTTATTAAAGTCTACACCCTCCCAACCCTAAACCCAACCATCATCCTTAATAAAGTCTACCCCTTCCCCAAACCTAAACCCAACCATCACCGTTATTGACATCTACACTCTCCCAACCCTAAACCCAACAATCATCATCATCATTAACGTCTACACCTTGCCCAACCATCACAGTAATAACGTATACATCCTCCCAACCCTAAACCCAACCATTATCAATATTACCGTCCCCACCTTTCCAAAACACAAACCCAACCATCACAGTTATTAAAATCTACACCTTCCCTAACCCTAATCCCAACAATCACCGTTTTTGAGATCGACAACTTTTCCAAACCGAAACCCAACCATAACAGCCGCGAGTTGCAGAGGCTTTAATACTTGACACGCTTCCCATTGTACTGTTATTTGCAAGCACACAGGGCAATGTAGAGAAGGTTGAATGTCAACTGACAAAATGGATGAAGTCAGCAAGTGGAGTTGCTAAATAATTTGAATATAACAATATATCAAATGAATTGACAAGTGGAGCAGTGGCTAGCGCTGTCGCCTCATAGCAAGAAGGTCGCTGGTTCGAGCCTCGGCTTGGTCAGTTGGCATTTCTGTGTGGAGTTTGCATGTTCTCCCCGTGTTCCTGTGGGTTTCCTCTGGGTGCTCCGGTTTCCCCCACAAGTCCAAAAACATGTGGTACAGGTGAATTGGGTAGGCTAAATTGTCTGAAGTGTATGTTTGTGAATGAGTGTGTATGGATGTTTCCCAGTACAGCAGCTGGAAGGGCATCTGCCGTGTAAAATATATGCTGGATAAGTTGGCGGTTCATTCAGCTGTGGTGACCCTTGATAAAGGGACTAAGCCGAAAAGAAACTGAATGAATAAATGAATGAATTCGTTGTGGATAAATTTGGAGAACACTCATTGGTGAAAATGTTCTCTGGTAAGTATTTTTGGCAACAACATCTCGTTGACATCTTGCATGGTACAATGGCATCTTGATAACTACAAGTTACACCCATTCATGTTACATCAGCAGACAGATTCACTTGGTTTGATTACTGATATTTTTCCAAATATCTCCCTTTGTGTTGATCAGAACATTAAAATTTCTATAGGTTTCAAACAACCTGAAGTTGAGTAAATCCTGACAGAATTTTTATGTTTTCCTAATACATTCTGTCCTGTATTATTTAGCTACTTAGCTGCCATTGGGCTGCTTTTAAGCCAGTGGATTTTAAAAGTGTAAGCAGCAAATTTTTTTACCTGCACAAAAAGCAGCAGCAAGGAAGGGCCAAACAATCTGCATCTGTTTGAAAAAACAAAACAAAATATTTCACTATACAGCCATTTGAAAACAGTTAGGACATCCTTTGAACTCCGTGATTTTCTGCGACAGGACATCATAAAAAATGATCTTAGTAGGACTTACAATTTGAAAAATAAAACCTCAGACGAACAACATGACATACTGCACCGTGACATTTTTACTTACCAAAAATAAAGCCAACATGGAAAAGTCTTGAGTAACTGACACACTGGGACACCCTAACTGTTAACTACGTAATTAAAGGAGTAGTTCACACAAAAAACAAAATTACCTCCTAATTAAGTTTCTTTCTTCTGTTGAACATAATAAAATATGTTTTTTAAATGCTCATTGCTGGGACCCATTCACTATAGGAAACAAAATCCTATGGATGTCAATGGGTACCAGCAACCAGTATTTTTCAAAACATCTCAAATAGGTATTCAACAATTGAAGGGTGAGTAAATAATGGCAAAACATTTTTATTTTAGGGTAACGTATCCCTTTAAAAGGGTAAGTACCACTCAGACACTGTTAAACAAATGCCTTTGATTAACTGATCAATAAAGTCATTAATCTAGCAGGAGTAAAACAGTCCACAGTTAGGAAGTTTATTCACAAATGGAGGACATTCAAAGCAAGACAGAACTGCAAATTCCCAGAACTGCAAATTCACCCTGAAATCAGACTGTGTAAAGTTCAGAGAGATGGCAGAACTTCACCACAGACTCTACAGGCTTCATTTAACGAGTGAAGTAGGGCTGCATGATATTGGAAAAATCTAACATTGATATTTTGCGATTATTTTATGATATAATTTCACGAAATTAGTTGCATAACTATTTGCAAAAACTGATTGGGACAATTCTGTAGGAGAGTGCATATGCATAAAAAATAAAAAATGATCTACAATCTAAAACTGAATAAACAGCATTTAATTACTTTCCAAGGAGTTGAACTGGACTCAGATGTACAGTAACTGAATAAACAAATGTAGAAATAACACTGCATAGTCTTCGTTTATGAACAATTAAATACAATTTATATATTTTAAATTCATCAAAGTTACAGTACAGTACAGTTTCTTAAGCCTAAACGCTTTTAAAACCCTCACACAGTCACAAGCCTCAAAAATACTTGTAAGACGATCATTTATAATCCAGACTAAACATTGCATAAACTCACGATATTACTATTGAATGATCACAATGCGCTATCAATGCTGAAACTATATATTGTGCAGCCCTAAAGTGAAATAAAAAAGTTCATGACAGTACAATTAGAAAAAGACAGGACAAGTATAGAATGTCTGGAATGGTTGACAGAGGAAAGCCTCTACTTGCTAAAAATAAACCCCGAAAGAACAGCACGTATGCAAAGCTGCATGCAAAGCTGCATCTTCTGAACAAAGCATACGACAGGCTTCATCAAGTCAAAGAATTTTTAAGACCATTATGAATGAAATTTTAGACTTATACAAGTCTAAACACTAATGATTATTTCTAATGGCTCAACAAAATAAAAGTTAATGTAATTACAATTTTAGCGACATACTTTAACGTGTCACAACAAAAAAGTAGTTGTATACACTTGTTTCAACATATTATTCCTTTCTGTTTTTATGACAAGTTTTAAAATGGTAAAAGTATATTTATTGTGGAGGCAATTACATAAATAACCAAATAATAATAATAATATATATATATATATATATATATATATTGCATAATATTATTTGGTTATTTATGTAATTGGAGCCAACAAATATAAAAAAATTTATATATATATATATAATTTTTTTAATATTTGTTAGCTTTTAGTCCAAATCGAGTATAAATTTTATTCAATCAATTGCATTTCTTTTATAAAACCTTAAGTTTGATGCTCATTTATAAATATTATGTCTACTCTCCTTACTTCTGTAAATAGTTTTTGTATGAATGGAAGATAACGTAAAGCGATATGTTGCTCTGTTATTATCATGAGGAACTGTGTAATTGTTTTTAGTTTTCTTTCCCTGATTTTATTTAGATGGGTTGGTGGTGATTGGATGAATTTCGGCCCAATTGAGTAGCTCTACTTGGACAGAGGAAAATTAAGATTTGTTTAATATTATTTAAGACACAACAAAATATTTCAGTCCTTAAAACTTAAAACTTTTTAAGGTCTAAAATTTTGTTTTTGAAATTTAGGACTTTTCTTAAGACTTCACGGATACAAAGATAAAAGAAAACATCTAATCAAGCTTTGGCAGGAGTCCAGTCAAAGTCCAGACCTTTTCCTGAAAACCATAGAATTCAAGTGTCCTAATGTTTGTGCATGACAGTATATTACTGAATGAATTAAATATAATACATGAACTTATTGAGAATGAAAAGATTATTTGTCTAAGCTATAGAGCCAGATCTGTCTCAAAAATAATACATTTGTATTCTTAAAATTCATACGTCCTCCGATTCATAAATTCAAAACACAATTCCTCAATTCAAAAGCAATAATTAAACATTTTCCCCAAATGCTCACACATATGCATCTTACATAAACACATTTGAAATGTTTACACAATTATGTACAGTATATATGAAGGTCTTGGATTACTTTCCTCATACGTTTATGAAATATGTTAGATGTACTTATGACCAGCTGAATGTGCATTTGAAAATGCTCACACGATCATGGAGTCCTTTAAATTTGCGTGTGGTATATTTGAGACCTTCCTAGCAGGACATGATTTGTGCACGTCTTTTTTTAGAGGATATTCTGTTTAGCCAATAGCCACTGATCTAAACTCACTGAACAAACTCAGGAAGATCCACCATTTAATTATTATTTTATATAAAGTAAAATAAGCTCTTAGCACTATTATTAGACATTTGTCATTAAAATAGCATCATAATAAAGCAATTTTATCTTGACACACTGGCACAAATATTCAGACCCTCATCATACTCTAAGGTTGGGCGATGTACACCAATTTGAATTATTTATTTTTTAATAATAAATTAATTCATAACAAATTAATTATTTGTAGCCTACAGTTTCAATTACCTGACCCGCATGGTTTTCATTTTACCCAAAACCAAATCATAAGTAAATAAAGATGTTACACACAAATTACCATCTGTCAATCACTTTTTCCGTGGGACTTTTGCATGAATAGGCAGAGTGATCTGTGTTGACATGTCGTTGACAAACTTAGTCCACACGTGAAAGCAAAAGATTGAAGCGGTGTACAGACACTATGACACGTTACCTGATGGATTCAAAACACCGAAGAGTTTTTATATAAAGACAAGATTAACTAAGTATCACGTTTAACAACTATAGTGAGATGCGATCCAGCGGTACATCCGTGATAAACTGTCCGACGTGCACTGCTCTCTGGGGTGAGTGCTGGAGCACACATAGCCTAGAGTGTTTGTGTGTGTGTGTGGTCACGTGATGTGCGTTTTCAGTGGTGTAGTGTGGAAGAAGGGCTTTTCAGAATTGCTAGGTGAAACGCCAGTGTGGATCGTTTTCCTTCTAAAATGCCAATTTAAAACGGAGACATATTAGTGTAAACAGAACCTAAGCATGTGTTTTTCGCAAGCTGGTTTGCGACGGGGGGCGAGGCGGAGGATCACGATGGCATCGTCTATCGACCCAACCCTATCATACTCGGGCATCTTAGCATGTCCTCTTTTATTTTGCTGACCAGCTCTCATAATCCGTGCTAAAACTGTCGCATTGCACAGCATGAAGCGAATTAATTTGTAGTGACCAGCAGACTCGACTTCAGTGTAGATATAATATATATGCAACAGTCATCAACTGAGTACGCTGAGTAGCGTTATATATAAGTGATATTGAGTATGATGACCTTATGTCTTTGGCGAATAGCTGGATTCAATGCATTCAGTAGCTAAATTTACCGAATGAATCTCTGATTCAAATAAATCGGTAAGTAATACAATGCATTTATGAATTTTGTGAATGCAAATGAATTATTTTTGAGACTGATCTGGCTCCATAGTGGGCATCTCATAAAAGCTACACTCATGCTCCAAGAGTAGATGTTTCCCCTGCGCCCACACACACACACACTCAAGAAAATTGCAAAACTTGTGGTTAAACAGCATTCTTTTGTTTGAGAGATGTTCACGACACGTCCGCCACATTATGAATAACATACATACACAGTGAGTGTATTTTCATTAATACACTAGTAGTGAACAGTTTAGCCACGCCCACATGAATGGCGTCTGATGATCTGCTTCTTTGAGATGCATTAGATGAATTGATTGGGTCAGACTCTCAATGACATCATGAAGTAACGCGGGAATCCACGAAATAATTAGATTTAGATATCTGCAGTGACCTAATGAATGGCAAAAATCAAACAATTATCTCAAACTCAAAGAGACTCAAATGTATACGCAACTTTTCTGTGTTTTGGTTACATTCGTCGAATAAACACACCCAACAAGAGCAAACCCGACAGGCTCGAATAACACAGGGTTGGGTAAAGAACGTGTTTGTAAACATAAATGTTCAAAAACTCACGCGCATTGTTGAATGAATTAAAATGAAGTTTGTTTATAACTGAAAGGAGAAAACGGATTCATGAACAACACCGGAGAAAAGGAAGGACGCAAGAAAATGAGCGGACTGTCTTTACTCTGCGTGCGTTTATTTGCGCAATTCTAACAAAGGATAATACTCTATCCATCGGAAAAAACATAGGGTACTTACAGTTTATTAAATCTGTAGGCTGTTCCAGTTGTAAATTTAGGATTTAACCGTGTCCGACTGCTGCAAATTGTGTTCGGCTGTAGGAGTGTCCAGTAGTCAAACTCAACCCCTCTGCTACAGAGCTCTGCTATCGTGCGAGCGACTGCTATTGCAATCTGCACACCGCCCAGGGCACATTCCGTGTGTTTTGTCTTGATTATCTGGGAGGTTATGGACGATTAGTGCTTTTGTGTGGACCGAGTATGCGAGGAAATATCGCAACAAACGTGGAAAGTGTCGTCTTCTTACCTTTATGCACGATTTAGAAACATCTAATGTGAGCTTTAATATTTTTATTTATTTTTTATCATAAAATACTTATTAAAAATAGAGAATACGAACAGTTAGTATATTAACAACAATTATTTTTATTAAACGCTAAATAAATGCAGTAGTAGGTTAATTATCCACACCTTATTTATTCTCCCGAATTTGGAGTGTCTAAATATATTACTGCTCTTGACTTCAGCTGTTCCTTCTAAAAAGCTTTGAGCTTCCATAGAGAGGCTAACTACTCGGGTTGGCAAGGCTGCATAAACAAACGCAACAGGATACATATGTTAAGGCGTGGCAGCAAGACCCCTTCGCTTATCCCAGCATGCATCACTCTTCGCTTCGCATGCAACGCTAATGAGTAACGTTAGTTGTGGAAGGAATATGATAATCCCAAAATGTAGATTCCACTGATGACTTACAGAGGAACGAAATGTAAACACAAACACAACACTGGACTTACGAGCTATTAAAAAAACTATGCATAACTAACATTTACAAGATACTTCACTTAATACTGAGGCAGGCTATATATAACTACTTTTACATGAGACTTAACAATGCGCAGGATATTGTGCGAGAGAGGTATTAAAGGTAAATATTGTGCAAAAGAGGTATTCAAGGTTTAATATTGTGCAAGAGTTATTTAAGGTTGAAGCTAAATGAATTTGTGGTAAACATTGTTTTCATTATTAAGTTCTTGTAAAATGGAGATTAGATCAAACTTGGGGTTTGGATGAGATTTCAGGGGGTAAATTGTAAATTGACTGAAGTTTGACTTGTTTCAAACCAGTTTGAGTTGTGGCGGGGGGGGTTCTTTCTGTTAAGTACAAAATAAGATATATTAAGGAATGTTTGGAACCTGTAACCACTGACTTGCATAGAAGGAAAACAAATAGAAGGTTTTAACATCCTTCAATATATATTTTGTGTTTAACACCACAGAAAAAAAAAGTCAAGGGTGTGTAAATGCTGACAGAGTTTTAATATTTGGCTGAACTGTCCCTTAAGATGCTGCTTCCAATTCTATTACTCTATTAAAGAGTGTCTTTTTGGTGCAACATTATACACTCACATACTCTTTTAAACAAATACTTCTTGACCATTGCAAATAATGATTTATACAGTATTAATGTACATTGCATGAATGTATTCACTGCAATGTTGCTACTATCACATGACCTATTTCATATTCAGTTACTTTCATTTTAAAGAATTGGCAAATTTTCAGAGTTATTAAAAAAATATTATGTCTAATACTAAAAAATATTAAGTCTACCCGGATCACTTCCAATATCTGACAAGATTCTAATGTGTGTATCTGATGGACCTTTAACTATCCCATGCGGCCACAGGAGTGGATTAATAAATGCTGGTGAAGTGACACTAGTATAGGTCAGGTTACTGTATTAACATGGTGAATTTCATTCATACCGGAGACATTTAAAGATATAGGACACACATATGCCTGCTTGACATGGAGTTCCTCAGGGTTCGGTATTGGGTCCATTTTGCTTTTGTTTTACTGTACAATAACTCTGTGGCAGAAGAGTGCATTTTAAAATCTTTTTTTTTTAAGTAGATCAACCAGGTACTTTTTACATGCTCTACTGCAGGGCTTCCATCATATCAAATGGAAAAAAATTGAAAGGCTGTTTTTTTTAAAATGATATTTTTATCTTCTGTAGGTTATGGATAAAATATGGTAATACCAATAGTTTAATAAAATATATGAGATTTTTGGAAATCACCAAGCAACAGCCCTTTGGGAACCACTACTACTGTGTTATAAAAAGTATATCTGATACCTGATAATATGATGATTAAAACTTACTTTGTTGTTGACCATTGGAACTATAAACATATTCTTTGAGTAATATATGGGCTTTGGTTCAATAGGATTTAATGGATAGCGGGGGAAATATGTACTGAACACGTCACCATTTTTCTCAAAAAAAAATATTTCTAAAGGTGCCGTTGACTTGAATTTTTCTCCCGAATGTTGGTTCAATCAAAGAAATCCATGTATGCAAAGAAGACAAATCTAATTAGTTTACCAATGAAGTTATGCGTAATAAAATGAAATGACAAAGAAAAAGTATTGAACACATGAAAAAGGGAGGTGTAGAAAGACAGTGAAAGCCCAGACTGCAGCTGAAATCTCTCTTTTCAGCAACCCTCTGCCCTTAGTAGTTTTAAATTAATTGCTGCTTCAGTCCAACATCTACATTGTCAGGATGATGAGGATGAAACCAGGGTGGACATTTCAGCAAGACAATGATCCAAAACACAGCCAAGTAAGCTCTCAAATGGTTTCAGAAAAAAAAGCTGTAGAATGGCCCAGCCAATCCCCTACTTGAATCCAACAGAAAATACAAATTAAACCTCTGATTAGATAGACGAGACCCACAGAACCATCAAGATTTTTACACTCTGTTGAAGTCTGTGGAAAAACTCACACCTGAGCAGTGCATCTGGCTTGAATCTCCATATGAGAGGCGTCTTAAAGCTGCCAAAAATCAACATAATCACTAAAAAAGCCTTTTATATAAAGTATTACATATATTTCAAATCTGGTTCAATTCTATATCAGCAGCTACTACGATGCAGGAAAAAAGACGGTGTGTTCAATAATACTTATTTTCCCCATTGTATTATTTTGCCCCCATTGGGGTTGGGATCATGGCCCAATGAATTATTCCTAATTTTGTTTTCAATTGCATTATGGTTTTTGCTCTTTGTCCTGCAACTTTAGAAATTTTAGCAAAGTGACTATTGTAATTTTTAGTAGGGTAAAATGGTCTGGATCGGTTATTTAAATGACAGTACAAGTACTAGTGCTTCTGTTCGATTTTCAAAATCAAAATTTCAAGTACATAGAATTCGAAAGAATAAATAAACTATGAACACATGTGAATCATAAGCTTTGGCCGTTAATTACGGTTATTTTTACAGTGTAAGTTTTCAGAAAAAAACATTAAGTTGTTCTACATGATATGTTAAAACTGGCGTAACACGTTTAATATGGACTAGAATGTTTTGAGATTGGTAAGGAAAAAAAAAGGTTGGCAAGCTGATGAAAATGACTAGGAGGTGCAGATACAAACAGTCCATTAAAGATACTATAGCCTACTTGAACACAAATTTTCTGTTCCACCCATCATGTTTTCTCCTTCTCCTTTTTTGCCCAAGACAAATTGTCCTCTCGGGGACAAATAAAGTTTATCCTTATCCTTTTATCCTTATCCTTTCTCCAGTAGTGATGTATACTCAAGTGTGGTTTGTTGTCTCTGGTAACTGAATGCAGATATTGAGAGCTCATGAGGATGCTGTGACTCTTTCTTCATGCCACAGGAGACTTTTGGTCAGCTCCTCTGAGGAACAGTAACACACACACACACATTTCCCCCATGTAATAGGAGAATCTTTATCATTCCTTCTCTAAACTGTGTTGCTTTTGAGATCTGTCTGAAAGTGGTAATCTTTGCAAGATTGATAGAAAACTAAACCTTTATTAAATTAAATATTATTTTGTGATGTTTTGGTTCTTACATTAACAATATTCACAGAGTTTTTTTCCAGAATATTTTCTCTTGGCATTCCCCACACGACAGTATTATTTAACAAGCACATAATACAGTCTAAGAACTGTTTCAAGGTTTTGTGGTTATTCATTTATTCATTCATTTTCTTTTCAGCTTAGTCCCCTTATTATTCTGGGGTCACCACAGCGGAATGAACCGCCAACTTATCCAGCAAATGTTTTATGCAGCGGATGCCCTTCCAGCCGCAACCCATCACTTGGAAACATCCACACACACCCATTAACACATACACTTTGGACAATTTAGACTACCCAATTCACCTATACCACATGTTTTTGGACTCGTGGGGGACACTGAAGCACTCGGAGGAAACCCACGCGAGTGCAGGGAAAACGTGTTTTTTCATTGTCTGCTAATTATTTGGTAAGTTTAATGAATGCTTTTTAATATTCACTGGATGAACTGTGAGGTAAAAAAAATGCCATCTCATTAGCATCTCATACCCAGTTTACACAAAAACACTTCACTCATTGTTTACAGCAGGGGTGCTCAACCCTGTTCCTGGAGATCTACCTTTCTACAAAGTTCAGCTCCAACCCTGAGCAAACGCACCTGAACCAGTTAATTAGGACCTGAACAGCACTTGATAATTACAGGCAGGTGTGTTTGATAAGGGTTGCAACTGAAATCTGCAGGAAGGTAGATCTCCAGGAACAGGGTTGAGCACCCCTGGTTTACAGTTTAACAGACGTTTATTCCCATTCATGCAAATCATCATGCGATAAAAATAAAAATAATAGCAGCTATTTAATTCAGATAAACATCCTGTAGAACCACTTCTAGAATTCCAATAAACCAAATAAGTTCACATGGAAATTCAGTGTGGCATTTGAAGAACTTTAAAGATGCAAGATACCATCCACTGAGCCACCGTGCCGCCCTATTTATTTATTTTAGTAAACACAAAGTCATTTTTAAACATCGTTTGGTTTGCTTGAACTTTCTTCAACACTGATTAAATTGATCCGCGTGTTTACAAGATTTTAATGAAAACAGCACATCTGGTGCTTATAGTTTTGTCAACACAGTAAGCTTTACATGAACATATTAACTGTAAATTTAATATGAATAAATGATTAGCCATTTAGCTGTTCAAACCATTTACAATACAGGTTTTGATGTGTACAATAGTTTTTTTATTAAACCTAAAGTACTATAATTTACAGTAAATAGCTTTTATTATTATTATTATTATTATTAATAATAATAATAATAATAATAACAAGCATATATTTTTGATCCATAAATAATCTGGTAATGCTTGCTATGGTAATACAACAATACTATAAACAAAACGACCCAGTAATTTTACATAGCACCAGGTATATTGTACTACATTTTACCACATTTTAATGTAGAAGTATTTTAGAGTTTTTAATGCAGTTTATTAGTTAGGCTTCCATGCTGTAGCATTCATTAGTTCTATAATACAGTATAATACACATTCAAAAACACTATAGGTTAGTATACTCTAAATTAGTTTACTTTAGTTTATTAATTTTTTTCATGTGGAAAAGACATTTTTCGCATATATTCATTTTATATTTTAGATTGTGCAAAAAATAGGTACACATGAACATATTACAATGTAATTACCAGATATTGTCTAAAAAACTAGCATGCGCTATACTGTTTTCAATGGGGTTTAGAGGTAGTGTGTTTTTGCGCGCTGCAGCAGGTTTACAGTCAGTGTCTGAATCACATGGCATTGACTGAGCTAAAGTAATGAGCGGCCACGAGCTCATGCTGTTTACATCGCAACACCTCAGAAGAACACTACCGACCATGAGATCAAATTGTGGATAATCTTTCTTCTATCGACTTGGATTTATCGACGATTGTCTCCAGCTAAAGGTAAGTCTGTCAGTTTAATGCGCATTTAAAATGAAATATTATATAAAACAGCTCATTTTTAAAGCCATACAGTCTGGTGTTTGTGTTACACAAACATCAAATAAAGCGATTTACAGGCATCTGAAGAGCGTTTGTTGACTGTACAGTGATGCCCTAATTCTGTCGCCGGGTTTTGTTTACGTTTTTCCGCCATGCTGCTGCAGTAACGGCACACTGACTGACGCTCACGCCAGACAGCATTACATTAAGCAAAGTGCTTTCTCGACTATTGCCACAAGCCAACCACATATATTTAAAGAATTTATGATGATAACTGAAAATGCTTTTTAGCAGCACGGGTTTATTACACTAAAGACACAATGACGGGGTTTCTGTAACGTTACAGCTAACGTTAACGTGCTTGACCTGTAAACACGAGAAAATGCACTTAAAATATACACCGCGGTCTTACAGTAAGCTAGCTACTTATTTATAAATTGTAATAATTTGAATATAGTGTCAATATATGTCAATATAAGGTAGTCAAATATATTATATTAGGTTAAGTTCATGGGTTTAAGGATATATCATTATTTTATACAGAACCGTTACATTACTTTAAAAAAAGTGCTACAGCAAGCTATGGTAGTTCATATATCCATGGTAGCCTATGTGACATTTTATATGACAGCGTCCTTATTACATTTGATAGAAGTACAGCAGCCAAATTGCATGAACCTAGTGACCCTGAACCAAATCCCAATCCTATAGTAATTACAGATATTTAATTAACACATTACTTAAAAGGACATAGTTAATCTAAAATTAAAATGTGCTCACTATTTACTCACCCTCAAGTGGTTTTAAACCTTTATGAGTTTCTTTATTCTTTAGAAAATAAATGTATTGTGAAGAAAGCTAAAAAACGTAATCTGTAACCTTCATAATATTAAAAAACAAACACTATGGAAGTCAATGATGACCGGTTTCCAGCTTTCTTCATAATATCTTCCTTTGGATTTAATTGAAGCTAGAAACTTAAAGAGGTTTGAAACAAGGGGGATTAAGTAATGACAGATTTTTTTTCATGTTATGTACTGTAACAAAGAGACTTAAATTGAAATGTAACATTTAAATTTAAATTTATAAGACAATCAATAGACTCGGTTTCATTTGAGCTAAAACCTATTGTATTAATATGATCTTTAGTTCCTTCCTCATAATTAATAGTTATCAATGTCATTTTATAACGTTTTATCAAGTACTGAACACAGATAATGCTTTATCTCAGATAAGTTTCAGATGACTCTAATTGAGGTTTTCTTCTCTGAAGTATTCATCATATGACCCGACCGAGTGAATCTCCTATGAAATCTCAATTAGATTACTAACTAACCACTGTCACATGCAACTGATCAGTGCACAAACCCTTTTTAATCAAAATAAAGAAAAACACACGCTGTCCAATTAGACAAGAAGCTTCTATTCATAAATACTGGCATATAAACAAGATTTAATCTAAGAAATGCAATAAATAAGGTCACACTGATCATTTGATCTTCATTTTCGTAAGAGATGTATGTCTTTTTTACTGTTCAGGTCATATTGTATATCAAACTTCTTATTTCAGGCTAACATGGGATGCCTCTTTCGAAGTGAGGAGATGTGTCTGGTCCAGATCTTTCTACAGGCTGGTTCAGCTTACAACTGCGTCAGTGAGCTTGGGGAGCTGGGTTTAGTCGAATTCAGAGATGTGAGTTTAATGCAAATACTGCTGTTTTGGTGTTTGAGGTCAGTAAGAATTACATTTTTTTAAATAAATAGTTTGACTTGGCTCAACATTTGGATTGTTGGTAAAAGGGATAGAGCTGTGGCCGGAAGTTATCAACAAATATTTTGTTTATTATATAGTAAATTGTATTTTATTCAAATCTACCCCAACAGTAATTATACAGTGTTATTCATATTATTTATTAAATAATCTATTAAATTGTATTTTATTAAAGTCTACCCCTAACCAAACTAAACCCAACCCCCACAGTAATATAAAAAAATCAATTATTGTTGTATATATACTGATGTGAGCATCAGCAGCTGTATCCCATTTACACAAAAATACATTGATGTGCAGTGAGTAATTATACATACAGTGTTTTATTATTTATTAAATAACCCATTAAATTGTATTTTCCTAATGTCTACTCCTAACCCAAGACTAAACCCAAGCTCTACAGTAATGTAAAAATATGAATAATTTCACAAACTTATATATATATATGCGAGTATCAGCAGCTGTATCCCATCTAGATAGATAAAAATAGTGATGTACAGTGAGTAATTATACAGTGTTATTCATATTATTTATTAAATAACCAATTAAATTGTATTTAATAACGTCTACCCCTAAACTAATACTAAGCCTAAGCCCTACAATAATGTAAAAATATTAGTTATTGTTATACAGTGTCACAAACATTATTGATATACACTTGAAGTCAGAATTATTAGCCCCCCTAAATTATTAACCGTCCTGTTTGTTTTTTTCCCCAATTTCTGTTTAATGGAGAGAAGATTTTTCAGCACATTTCTAAACATAATAGTTTTAAAAACTCATTTTTAATAACTGATTTATTTTATCTTTGCCATGATGACAGTAAATAATATTTAATTAGATATTTTTCAAGACTCTTCTATACAGCTTAAAGTGACATTTAAAGGCTTAACTAGGTTAATTAGGTAAACTAGGCAGGCTAGGGTAATTAGTTAAGTTATTGTATAACGATAGTTTGTTCTGTAGACTATCAAAAAACAAAATAGCTTAAAGGGGCTAATGATTTTTTCCTTAAAATGGTGTTTAAAAAATTAAAAACTGCTTTTATTCTAGATTAAATAAAACAAATAAGACTTTCTCCAGAAGAAAAAAATATTATTAGACATACTGTGAAGATTTCTTTGCTCTGTTAAACATCATTTGGGAAATACTTAAAAAAAGAACAAAAAATTCAAAGGTGGGCTAATAATTCTGACTTTAACTGTATATTGATGTGAGTATCTGCAGCTGTATCACATCTAGACAAAAAGTAATTTTTACTTAACCTAATTATTTACAACCTAAATATTAAATATAACAGCATTAAAATATAAAGGTTCAGTTGTATTAACATTCACTATATTACAGCTGCACATTTTTTTCTGAACAAATTAGTGCAACCCTGTAGCATAAAAGATCTGTTAAAAAACATTAAAAATCTTGCCAACCACAAACATTTGAACATTAGTTTGCTTGACAGATTCAAATAGCACTTTTTCAGATAAATTTTTTTACTCATATCCTTTTAATGTTCACAATTGAACTTGCTTTATTAATGTCTAATATATTCGCCTCTCCTAAACCCATTTTATTTTCAGTTGAATCCAAATGTGAACGCATTTCAGAAGAAGTTTGTGTCAGAAGTCAGAAGATGCGAAGAGCTGGAGAAAACCTTCAGTAAGTGTTAAAAACCAGCCACCTAGCTAAAACTAGCTCTATTTTAGTCACTTTTTTCTTCATAAGCACTCAGCATAATCAGTGTAGTCTGACTGTGCATATCTTCAACATGTTGTCTCCTTATCAGAATATCTGGAGCAAGAGATCAGTCGTTCTCTCTATCCTCCTCTGAAAGGAGCTCTACCCACCGCCAGCCCAATCCCATCAGCCCCACAGCCCAGAGAGCTGCTCTGCATCGAGGAGGAGAGCGAACGACTGGCCAGAGAGCTCAGAGAGGTGTGATGCTTACAAATCATCAGTCTCTGGTGTCCTGAAGAGGAGACTCTGATGTAGTCAGAGCTGGGTAGTAATGGATTATTTGACATCCAGAATACAAAAATTAAGAGCAAACGTAAAGAATTTTTAAAAACACTTGTAATCAGACTACAGTTACTTTTTATGGATTACATATTATTTACACAATGACAGTAAGTTATTTATAAAATTGATTCTTCTAATTTTTTTTAGATTTATATTATTTTCATAATATAGCAGCTGCTTTCATAGTCATCATTTTTTGTTATTCACTTTTTTGTTGCTATTGTTTTTTTCTTTGGCAAATGCAATTCTAGTGTTTTTTTCTTATGAAATACTTGATGTAGCAGTGATTTTGCTGTATTCTCTTTTGTTTTTTAATGTTTTATTATGATATTGCTGTTTTCTACATGTACTTATATTTTAAAGTCATAAGATGTGATTTTTAATCAGTGTTACTATCAGCAAACATCAACAAAAAGGTAAATTAGTGTCAGTGTTTTACAATATTAGTATCTTTTTTCTTTGTGTCTGTCAGAATTGTACAATATTATACTTCTGTCACATCAAATTGGCGAGAAGAGTATAAACCGGAGGTCGGAGCCAGCTCCAAGTGGCTGGGACTTGATCTCCAAACCTACAAACCTGGAGTTATATATTTATTTAATATCTTGTTAATGATACGGAGTCCAATATTGTGCTTTATGAATGTCTACACCTACCCCAACCCTAAACCCAACCTCACAGTAATCTGTTGTGTTTTATTAATGTCTACTCCACCTACACCTTCTTAACCCAGCCTACTTCAAACCCTTAACAAAAATAGCCTGATTTTATCTACGTAACATTGCACGGATTACACCTTTTCTATCACGGCCTGATGCAGAAAGCCTTATCTATGCCTTTATCACATCACGTCTTGATTTCTGTAACTCATTCTTCGGTGGCCTAACAACAAGCTCTCTTAGACGTTTACAGTATATTCAAAATTCCTTTGCACGGGTTTCTTTACCCCACCATATCACCCCTGTACTTCTGCAACTTCACTGGCTTCCTATTGAGTCGCTTATTGATTTTAAGATCTTTTAAGATTTTAACATATAAAGCAGTTCATGGGCTAGCACCTGACTACATTTGTGACCTGGTAACTCTCGCCACTCCCACCTGCAGTCTTCGTTCTGCATCTGGACTTACCCTGTATCAGCTATAATGTAATCTTAAGACCATCTACGTGGTAGAGCTTTTTCAAACAGTGCACCTAAGCTATGGATGGTCTACCCATCAGCATCTGGAATGCCACTTCTCTGGACTGTTTTAAGAAACTTCTCAAGACACCTTTTTACCATTGCTTTTAACTTAGAGTGATTATTTTTGTCAATTTAATCATTCAATTTTATTGTTCATATTTTATTATCTTATTGTGGTGTTTTTACAGTTTTTTTATTGTTCTGCTTTGTTACTGCATGCCTTGTAGCGCTTTGGGTTTGAGAAAAGCGCATTATAAATAAAGTATATTATTATTATTATTACTTGTGGCATAAGTCTCTCCCACTTGGAGGTCACCCAACCTCCTTTCGGTATGATCCCTCCCACTTGGAGGTCTCCGGGCTGCATCGATACCTTCTTGAAATTGGCTCAAAAGTAATTTAAATATAATCCGAACATACTACCGTAAATGTGTAATCTAAAAGATTAAATTTGTTATATAATTTGTTATGAGTATCTTATTAAAGGTGCAGTATGTAAGAGTGACAGTTTGCAGTCCAAAGTCTAAATATTGGAGAGGTTTTTATTTATTTATTTATTTTTTTACCTGGCCCCTACTCTGACGACTGAACATAGTCATGACACAAATAAAGAGAACATACCTGATGATCAAATGTCAATTAGAATTGTAAAACTCTGAATCTGCGTCTCATTTTGGGTTGCTAGTGTCCACAAATGGTCACATTTTCGGCAGCACTCACATAGATTGAAGCAGCCTTTATGACTGAAATGAAATACTCTGCATTTACCTCCAAGGCCACCAGGGGTGCTGAAATATAACTGGGTTAAACTTGTAGTGGGCTGGTTATAGAGACCAAAACAAATACAGATATTCCGTCACAGAATGCACATTTCAAAGCAGAATATCTGACTTCAGCATTGTTTTCAGATAAACAAGAATGCTCACTTAGCACATTTCGTTAATATCTGCCAACATATTATAATGTTTCTATGCTTTATGAGAGTCGAAAACTTACATGCAGCGCCTTTAAGTGTTAAGTGATGTCCTTGACCATGTGTTAATGTACTGTAGGTGTCCAGGAACAGGGACAGTCTTCGTAACCAGCTGACCCAGCTCAGCCAGTACAGAGGGGTCCTGAAGCAGAGCATTTTACTACCAACCTCACAGGTAAAAAGTAAACACAGTTTTTAGCAAGCTTACCTCCAAGAGATGTCTTTCTGATGCCCACCAAACCATCTCATAATGTCCTTCAAGGTTCCACCTCTGACTCTTGAGACATCAGCATTACTGGACAGCAGGCAAGATATGCGTTTGAGGTGAGGATGATATCTATTTAAAGTAGAAATGCCCAAAGTAGGGCCCACGGGGTAAAGTTGGCCCACCATCCCATCTACGAAGAGAGTGAGAAGGATGGAGAGAGTTGGGTAGAATGCCATTAACAGAGATCGTCACATCGAATCATATGAAACATATCGTGATAAATTTTTTTAACAACATCGTCCAGCCCTATGGAGCACCACTCACACATAAGGGAAAAGTTCACCCAGAAATGTTTATTTCCTCATTATTTACTCACATTTAAGTGATTTAAAACTAGTATGAATTTTTGTCTTTTTATGAACACAAAACAAGATATTCTGAATAATTTTAGAAGAACGCAGCCACCGACATCCATAGTAGAAACAAAAAATACTACGAATGGCTAAACATTGATGTTTTTTTCGATGGTTTAAAGTATATCTTGCTTTGTGTTTAACAGAAGAAGCTCAAACTGGTTTGGAACAAGTGGAGAATGAGTAAATAATAAGATTTAGTAGAGTAAATTACACCTGATGACATTGTTTTACTCTGAAATGACAAACACAAAAATAACGATACACGCGACAGCAGTTTTAGCTAAAAGGTGTAAATTTTATTTTCACATTACACATGACGTGTGAACTACTTTCCTGTGAAGTTTTGTTGCTGGTGTGGTCCATCCGTGGAAGGTGCCAGCGTTTGAGAGGCTGCTGTGGCGGGCCTGTCGTGGATACATCATTGTAGACTTCTGGGAGATGGAGGAAAGGCTGGAGGAGCCAGACACTGTAAGAGACATTACGGTCAATGCTATAAGACATTTCAATAGACATATCAACTTGCATGGTTAGTGATGTTTGAGTTTCATCCTGCTCACAGGGAGAGACGATTCAGTGGACTGTCTTTGTGATCTCTTTTTGGGGGGAGCAGATTGGACAAAAAGTGAAGAAGATCTGCGATTGGTAACTCATTTCAGTTATAGCTTACTGTTTTTCACTTTATGGTATCAGATTTTAGAAATCTCACCCTGTTTGATTCATTTTGAAATGAATAATACAATGCAGGTTCAGCATCTCTATTTTCGCAGTTTCCGCACACATACCTTTGTGTATCCGGAAGGATTGGAGGAGAGGGAAGGAATACTCCAGGGGCTGGAAAGCAGAATAGTGGACATCAGAACAGTACGCAGAATAATTCCTTCATCTTTTTATTTTGAAGAATTACATTCTCTCTGAAATAAGAGCATGCAGGCAATCTAGTTTAGATGATTTGGACAATTAAAATGTTAGAAAGTAGGGCTGGGTGATTTGGGTCAATGCTACCAAGCCGACCAATCACAGAGCTTGCGTTATGCGTCGTTGCAACGTGTAGTTACATTTTTTGAGAAGTCAGCATCGGCAAAGAACTGCGCCAGCCTATACGCTGTGCTCGATGCAGAAGTGTAAACAGAGCGGGGTCACGGGACTCCACATGCGGTAGGGAAAGTAATTGGAAAAAATTGACCTGGACAAATTAAATCGATTATAAGTTCTGAATGTTGATTTCGATTACTTTTCGATGAATTGCCCAGCGCTATTAGAAAGTTCACTGCTTAGCAGTTAAATACCTATATAGATTAAATTAATTTATTCATTTTATTTTCGGCTTTATTAATCCGGGGTTACCACAGCGGAATGAACCCCCTATATTTTTAGATACATCACAAATTTTCTTGCTTTTGCATATGATATTTTGGTAACACTTTACAATACAGGACACAGGTAATGTTAGGTAATGTATTTACTAACATGAAAAAACAATAAACAATACATTTATTAGAGTATTTATCCATCTTTGAACATACAGTTGTTCACTGTTAGTTCATGTTTACTCAGAGAGCATTAACTAATGCATTAATAAATTATGAGCTATAATTAATAAATGCAGTACAAACTTACAAATACATATAAATACATAAACTATTTACATAAACTACTTTTCTCATATTTTAAAGTTAAGATTTAACAGTTTAGATCTTTTAACGTGCAATAAGACGCTGAAAATGCAAAAATCAAAACATAAAACATACAGTTAAAGTCAGAATTATTAGCCCCCCTTTGGATTTTATTTTCTTTTTTAAATATTTCCTAAATGATGTTCAACAGAGCAATGAAATTTTCACTGTATGTCTGATAATATTTTTTTCTTCTGGAGAAAGTCTTATTTGCTTTATTTCGGCTAGAATAAAAGCAGTTTTAAATTAAAAAAAAAAAACATTTTAAGGACAAAATTATTAGCCCTTTTAAGCTATTTATTTTTTTTAAAAGTCAGCAGAACAAACCATCGTTATATAATAACCTGCCTAATTACCCTAACCTGCCTAGTTAACCTAATTAACCTAGTTAAGCCTTCAAATGTCACTTTAAGCTGTTTAGAAGTGTCTTAAAAATATCTAGTCAAATATTACTTACTGTCATCATGGTAAAGATAAAATAAATCATAAAAAGATAAAATTAAAACTATGATGTTTAGAAATGTGTTCAAATAGTCTTCTCTCCATTACACAGAAATTGGGGAAAAAATAAACTGGAGGGCTAATAATTCTGACTTTAACTTTAAATACTTACACAAAATGCATTGTCAAACAGCCATTTTTTTCTGTGAGCAGTTTTTAAAAATAGATATTGATCATTTTATTAAGCCAAAAATGACAGCAAATGCTATTTTATATAAATCCTGTAAAAAAGGAACAACATTTCTTAATTTCTTCGATTAAAATAGACAATAAAAGGTCAAACTTTTGTTTTTTTTATGTAACTTTGTGTCTATATGACAGTTTATTCTGCATGAACTGCATGAAAACAAACACGCATAACGTGCACTGTCTGACAGCCGTATTTCTCTGCACATCTTTTAAAATATATATTGATCATTTTATTAGGCGCAGACACATTAAATGAACCAAAAATGACTGTAAATGCTATTTTATGTAAATCCTATAAAAAGGGAAAACCATTTCTTAATTTATATAATTAAAATGTACAAAAAAGTCAAATTTGTTTGTTTTTTAATGTAACTTTGTCTATTTGACAGTTTATTCTGCAAAAAGATGCTAAAAATGCAAAAAAATAAAAAATAAAAATAATCACTCACACAATGTGCAGTCTAACAGCCATATTTCTCTGTGTGCATCTACATAATGATCATTTTATTAGGCACGGACACATAAATGAACCAAAAATGACAGTAAATACTTTTTTTAATAAATCCTGTAAAAGTAGGACAATTTCTTAAGCAAGCTCTTCAAATAAAATGAACAGTAAAGGACAGACTTTACCTATTCTGCAGGTGCTGTCTCAGACGGAGCAGTATATGCAGCAGCTGCTGTCCCGCTGTGTGTGTCAGATGCCACAGTGGAAGATACGTGTGCAGAAGTGTAAAGCTGTGCAGATGGTCCTTAATCTGTGCAGCCCTTCAGTCACAGACAAGTGTCTGATTGCTGAGGCCTGGTGTCCCGTGGCCAAACTGCTTCTGCTCCAGAGCGCTCTGATGGAGGGAACGGTAAGAAATGGCTTTTTATTCACACAGAAGTCAAATGAGTTTATTTTAGAAATGCTTTTCTTTTGAAATCCCAGACCTTTTATGTAGCGTGTAATATAGCTGCTTGTAAACATAAAAGATCTGTTTTAAAGATCTTCCAGGTCCAAACTCGGTCCTGGAGGGCCAGTGTCCTGCATATTTTAGTTTCAACCCCAATTAAACACATCTCAACCAGCTAATCAAGCTCTTCGTAGGTATACTAGAAACCTCAAGGCATGTGCGTTGAAGCTAAACTCTGCAGGATAACGGCTTTCCAGGACCGAGTTTGGACACCCCTGATCTAAGTGAATGATAGATAGAGTTGTTAGACAATTAAATTCTTGCTTCTTATTGGTAACAAATCTGTAAAATGCCCGCCTGTGGTCTTCATTGGCTGCCTATGAGCACTGTAGTTGTACTTGAGGCCTGGAAAAGTTTGGTTCTTTTGTCAAAATGTTGTTTTTTTCTGCTTTATGAAAGCAAATCTACTTTAAATTCATATCCAGGTTGATTCTGTCATTACTGTTTACATCCCTATGTTTAAATGGTATTAATAGTCTCATTTATTTATAATGTGCTGTATATGGTGGACTAATCACAACAGACTGGGCCAATCAGTTATCAGGGTGTGGGAAAATATTGATATAGCATAATATAGCCATTTCTTTTCATGAAAATACTTTATCAATACAAGGGTGACCATCTCAATATATGGCCAATATTTTTAATTGAATAACAAAACATGTTTCTTTACAGTCCTGTAGATGATGGCCTCAGAAAGGTGCATTTACCATTTATTACAGGATTTCTTTCATGTGCTGATCAGTTAGTTTGCTTGAGAGTCCCATTTTGCACTGCAGTAATAAAACTTTGCCCAAGATTTCCTTTGTGGACATAATTGGAAGTTGGAAAAAGGTTACAAGTTCATAATAAAATAGCAATAATATTGTATTGTGACATGTATTGTTCGTGGTAATATCATGTTGTGGGTTCGTATCGTATCCCCAGCCCTGATCAGAGAAGATTATCCTCTAGGTGAGTTTAGGGTCACTGAACAAAATTGAAAATTCTGAGAGAAGGTAAATGTTTTTTTATTATTTTAGATAAATGCAAACCTACAGAAAACCACCAAAACTAATTTAGAAACCTTTAGAGTAGCATAATACAGCAATATAGTTATGCAGCATACATTTTTAGATGCCCAAATAATAATTAAAACTCTTATATACTAATGTAAAGCCTTAGTTTAGTATTCGTATTTACTAATGTAAAACTAAATAAATGAATCATAATGGTGGCAACAGTGGCTCGGTTGTTAGCACTGTCACCTCACAGCAGGAAGGTTGCAGGATCGAATCCCGGGTGGCCCAGTTGGCATTTCTGTGTGGAGTTTGCAAAACAAAACTAGAGTAATTTTGTGGAGTAAACAAAATTGGTCTTAGTGTGTGTGAATGTTAGAGTTTAAGGGTGTTTCCCAATAATGGGTTGCGGCTGGAAGGGCATCCACTGCGTAAAACATGTGCCGGAATAGTTGGTGCTTCATTCCGCTGTGACGACCTCTGATAAATAAGTGACGAAGCCTAAGGAAAAATAATAAATGAATCTCATAACATCATATCCTTCTGTATTTTAGAGAAAGAGCGGTAGCAGTGTCGATTCTTTCTACAACCGTTTACCAGCACCCACATCTCCTCCAACACTCTTTGAAACCAACGCTTTCACTTCCAGCTTCCAAAACATTGTGGATGCTTACGGTGTAGCCAGTTACAGAGAAGTTAATCCGGGTAACATTCACACATTTGATGGATTATAGGTCTTTTTTTATTGTTCTGTTTAATTCTGTTTTGATAGAGAAACAGAAGCATCTGACAGTAAATGTCTTGTGTGTGTGTTTTCTTCTCAGCTGTGTACACCATTATCACTTTCCCCTTTCTGTTTGCGGTCATGTTTGGAGATGTTGGTCATGGTTTACTCATGACATTGGCTGCCCTGTGGATGATTCTAGAGGAAAGAGACCCCAAGATGAGGACTAGCACTAATGAGGTTTGTTTTAGATTATGCATATCTCAATCGTTGTAACTGATTTAAACGGATAGTTCACCCAAATATGAAAATACTTTATTTATTCTCCACCTTTTGAAGACGTGTTTGAATTGTATTGAACACAAAAGAAGCTATATTGAAGGATGTTGGAAACGGGTTACCGTTGAGTTGTTCAGAGTAGTTGTTTTTCCAACTATGGATGTCAGTTGTTAATGGTTTCAAACATTTAAAAACATTCTATCGGGTTCAACAGAAAGAATAGAAACTCATGAACGTTTTGAATAATCTGAAGATGATTAGATGGGGAGCACATTTTAGCTTTTGGGTTAGTGCCTGTACAGTTCAAAACAAAAATGACCTATTTGCCATCATTAATAGGAACATGTGTTTTAGAAAAAAGCAAATAAGAGCTTCAGAACTGAATACGAGTGTGTCTAACTCACATTGTACAGCAATTATCATGTTATGGTAAAGAGTATTGACAATTTCTGTTTATCACAGACTCATTATAAATGACTGAAAATTATTAATATCTTAAAAAAATAAATTACTACCTACTCCAAATGGTCAATCAGTAGTGTATCCATCTGCCTTTCTCTTTTTGGTCTGTACTTTAGGTTTGTAAGTTTTTGGCTACACTTTAGTTTAAGCAATTATTGCGTCAAATTTTTATGAATATAAAAAAATTATATTCAAGTTTTGCTTTAATAAATTCCTAATTTATGAATAGTTAATAAGGTAGTAGTAAGGTATTAGGTAGGATTAAGAGCACTATTACTTGGCAGCAAATGCCAGAGCTCTCCTATTCTGGCAGAGGGGCGTTCTGGAGCATGTGACATCTGAGACTTCTCCATTATGGGTTTATGCCGAGGCCATTTCTGTGCCGGAGTCCTCTCTCCCAACATTGCTTTTTACGGAGTCTAAACTAATTAAAAAATAAGGAAGTTGTAATTTTGTGGTTAGGACTTTGTTAAGGATTTTAAATCATAAATAAATTTGACAAATTAGCTACGGTTTTAGTCAGTACGCCGAGTTCACACAATCCTGTATTTAAACATTTCCTGATTGACAGTACTTTTACAGCATGGAAAACAAAAGGGCTGTTTCGCATAGGAGATCTTTACATAGACAACCAATTTGCATCCTTTGCACAGCTGAAGGATGAGTTTTCTCTCCCGCAGTCTCATTTCTTTCGCTATCTGCAGATTAGAAACTATGTAAAGGAAAATACCTCACAATTTATAAATGAACCAGAAAATCATATTAATCAGAATCTTCCATCCTCGAACCCTAATACTAGACATTTGATATCAAGCTTTAAGACATTAAGCAGATTTAAGCACATTAAGACAGCTTGAGCCATGGATTTAAATGAAGAAGTGGCTGATGAGATCTGGGAGGAAGCCCTGTCGAGAATAAAAAAAAAGCTTCAATAAATTCGAGACAAAGTAATTCAATTTAAAGTTTGAGATTGAGTAAAACCTTTCCCTCTGTATCTCCTAAATGCGACAGATGTGGTTGGGCAGAAGGGATTTTGGCACATTTATTTAGGTTTTGTCCGGTTCTTTATGAGTCAATTTTGAATTGTTTTCCAGTGCTCATGGAACCAATAACCAAAGTGACTACAATTTGGCTATTTTTGGATATTTTAATATAATGGATACCTTACCATCAACCCAACAGCAAGCCCTGATGGTTGGCATGATTACAGCTAAAAAGGTGATCTTACTCAATTGGAAATCTCCAAAGGCTCCCTGTTTTAGGAGATGGTTGAATGAGCTGCTTTATGTCATTCACGACTACATCTTGAAACTTATTAGAAAAAAGCTGAAACTACATGGGGACCTATTTTAAGACTCCTGAAAATCTAGCATTTTACCTTTGTAAATTTTCATCTCTAACCCAAACATTCATGACACTGACCTTGTAAAAACGTAAATACTGTCATCCGTTTTATATATATATATATATATATATATATATATATATATATATATATATATATAAATATATATAAATATATATATATAAATATATATATATATAAATATATATAAATATATATATAAATATAATATAATATATATATATATATATATATATATATATATATATATATATATATATATATATATATATATATATATATATATATATATATATATATATATATATATATATATATATATATATATATATATATATATATATATATATATATAAATAAATGTTTATGCTACATATGTCATGGCTAACGTCAATTATTTAGTTTTGTTTTCTTCTTTTTATTGGTATTGTACAGTTTTTGTAAAATATCTTATACAAAATGTTAAATAAAACAAAACATTACCAGGTAGGATTAAGGATGTAGAAAAAGATCATGAAGAATATGTACTTTATAACTACTAATAAACACCGAAAATCTTAATAATAGGCAGGTAATACATCACAAACTAAAGAGGTAATATTTATTTTCTGTGTGTATCTTAGATCTGGCGTATGCTGTTTGGCGGGAGGTATCTGATCCTCATGATGGGGTTGTTCTCCATCTACACTGGGGCTATTTATAATGAGTGCTTCAGTAAAGGACTCAGTCCTGTTTCCTCTGGCTGGCACCTCAAACCCATGATTCAGCATTACAACTGGAGGTACTGCACACTCTTACTTTTAACCAAAAGATTCAACTAGCATCCCAATTTTGCAGTTTCAAATAACTTGTGCACCTGCAGAGTGCAAAGTAGCTTTCTGCCAATGTAAAAGGTCTACAAAGTAGGATAAAGTCGATAAAAGGTGTTCTGTTTTGACAACTCTGAGAGAATTAGTGTGATATGTACAGTATATGGCTCTGTTGATGTGTTTGGATTGGTGTTACAGATCATAGGACATTAATTTGGACAACTATGCATTACTTTGATCATTTCAATATAACATATTAAAAGAAATCCAAAAAATTATAAACATTGAGAGTTAGTTTTAATCTCGCGGCCCACCTGCAGGGTCGCTGAGGCCCAGTGGTTGAGAATCCCTGGTGTAGAGTGTAGTGGCCAAGGCACTACATGATGCTGGTGGGGGAAAAAGGTTTTCTGGCTCGCCACTTCAAAACACCCCAAAGTGGCTTATTAATATTTAGATCTGGTGAATGTGCAGGCCATGGGAGATATTTCAGCTTCCCTTGTACATCCATGATTACAACAATAAATTTGTACATCAAACCACAAGAAGCACAACATAAATTTGCAGATATAGCCATTGCTTCTGTACAAGCATCTTAAAAGCCCCATTAAAACCTTCTGCTCAGTTAACGAATGATATGGAATAAGCACAGCACAGGATGTCCTTTAATATATAGTGTTAATGACCCCGACTGACTGTCAGGAAGTTCAGGATTTCCTTAGCTTTGTGAGGCCAAACTGATTAAAAACTTTGCCTTTTTCTAGGAATCAGCCATGAGTTTTTATTAGTCTAATTGTCATTGGTGTTCAGCAGATTTTCCATTTACACATTTTGAAACTGGATTAAGTTAGGGATGAAGATTTATAAAAAAAAAACTTCTCCAACACTTCAACTTGCCCTTGTTTTACTCTCTTGTTTTGTTTTTGTTCCTCTGGCTTGGTTTAGTGATGAAACTTTGAGGAGCAACCAGTACCTCACGTTGGATCCTAATATAACTGGAGTATTCCAGGGACCATATCCATTCGGCATTGACCCGGTAAGCACGTTTCTGATCAGATCCTCCCTGTCTTGCTCTCTGCGAGGTTCAGATTTTGATTTCACTGTTTCCTGGTTCTTAGATCTGGAGTCTTGCCAATAACCACCTCACCTTCCTCAATTCCTACAAGATGAAGATGTCTGTGATCATCGGGGTCATCCACATGACGTTCGGGGTCTGCTTATCCTTCTTTAACTACATGTAAGCCATCATATGTCTGGTTTTCTCTGGTTTTAATGATCTGCAGTGTGTTTATTTAGTATACCTATCCATGAACTCTTTTTTTTTTTTTCAGGTACTTTGGGAACGTGAGCAGTGTGTTCCTGGTGTTGATTCCTGAGTTAGTGTTCATGTTGTGTCTTTTCGGGTACCTGGTCTTCATGGTGGTGTTTAAATGGATTGCGTTTGGACCTCAGGATTCAGACCGTGCTCCCAGCATACTGATCCACTTCATTGACATGTTCCTGTTCTCCGAGAATCCAAGCAACCCACCACTTTATCCTAGACAGGTAAGAGAACCAGTCACATACTGATTAGTTTTCAACATAGTTTAGTCATACTTTTACTGCCACGACTAATATACATCTCACTTTCTTTAGATGACAGTGCAGAGGATATTAGTGTGTTTGGCTCTACTAGCGGTTCCAGTGCTGTTACTGGGAAAACCACTTCAGCTCTACTTCCAGCATAGGAACAGCAGGAGAACGGTAAACATGAGGGAAACCTCTGACTCATAGATGGGTAGATCGTGATAGTAAACAAGCAATGAAAACAGCTTGTTATGATTATCAGGGTTCATACACATTTTTACTACTAAAATTCCATGATTTTTCCATGACTATCAAGTGACCTAATGTTTCATGCAATGTTTACATATGCATGGTAAAAGAAAAACAATTCATGTTCAATTTTATTACAGCATATCGTAAAACACACAACAATTTAAATCATATTTATATCTATGTAAAATTGATTTAGATAATGCTTTCACAGCACTAATAATGTGAGAGTATGTGATTGGCCAAGTAAGTAAGTAAGTAAAGTTTATTTATAAAGCACATTTACTTCAGTTTGGCACTGACCAAAGTGCTGAACAAAACCATAGCACACACTCTAAAAGAGTAAAAGATAACAATAAAAGTAATAATAGGAATAAAAGTATTACAGCAACAACCACAATAAAGATTAAAAGCCTGGGAATGCAATAGAATAAAAATGTGTCTTAAGTCTGGACTTAAAAATAGAGAGAGAAGAAGCACTTGTAATATCCGGTGGCAGCTGGTTCCACAAACGAGGAGCAGCGACTGCAAAGGCTCTATCCCCTTTCAGTTTAAGTCGTGACCGAGGAACATGAAGTAAAATTTTATTTGAGGACCTAAGAGACCGAGGAGTTGACTGTAAGTTAATAAGCTCTGATATATAAGAAGGTGCTTGCCCATTCAGTGCTTTAAAAACAATAAGTAAAATCTTGAACTGAATTCTAAAATTAACAGGAAGCCAATGAAGGGATGCTAAAACTGGAGAGATATGAGCATGTTTTTTGGTGCCTGTTAAAAGTCTAGCTGCCGCATTTTGAACCAACTGCAACCGTGCCAATGAGGATTGGGGGAGACCAACATATAGAGAATTGCAATAGTCTAGGCGGGACGTGATAAAAGCATGTATGACCTTTTCCAGATCTTGAAAGGAAAGAATGGATTTGAGTCTGGAGATGATCCTCAGCTGATAATAACTATTCTTAACCACTGAGCTAATTTGTTTTTCTAGACAAAGCTCAGAATCAAAGATAACACCTAGATTTTTTACTTGCGATTTAACATACGGTGCAAGACTTCCCAAGCCCCCAATATACGACATTCTTGTTTTTGAGGGGCCGAAGAGAATAACTTCAGTTTTGTCATTATTAAGTTGAAGGAAGTTTTTTGCCATCCAACATTTAATATCCTCAAGACAATTAATTAGAGACTGCAGGGAGTTCTGAGATTTTAAAGGAACATACAGCTGAGAGTCATCTGCATAAAAATGAAAAGATATGTTATGTTTCCTTATAATATTACCAAGAGGAAGCATATATAAGTTGAAGAGCATTGGACCCAGAATAGAGCCCTGGGGGACACCACACAGAAGAGGGGCAGATGTTGACATAAATTGGCCAACAGAAACTGAAAAAGACCTGGATTTCAGATATGACTGAAACCATTGAAGTGCTGAACCCTTTATGCCCACCCAATGTTCCAGACGTGACAGAAGTATGGTATGATCAACTGTATCAAAAGCAGAACTCAGATCTAGTAAAACCAAAACTGCATTACTGCCTGAATCTACCGACAGCAGTAAGTCATTCCACACTTTTAACAGAGCGGTTTCAGTACTGTGGTGCATAGTGAAACCTGACTGTAAAGGTTCAAGTTTATGGGACGATTTTAAAAAAGGCTGTAGCTGTGATAAGACAGCTCTTTCTAGAACCTTTGACATAAATGGAAGTTTAGAGATAGGACGGAAGTTATTTAAGCAATTTATATCTGCATTGGGTTTTTTAAGCAATGGCTGGACAACTGCATGCTTTAAAAACGCAGGGACAGTGCCTGAAACTAAGCAGGAATTAACAATTGCTTGTATACTAGAACCTATTGTGTTGAAAGTCTCCTTTAAAAGATTAGAGGAAATAGGATCACACGGCGAAGTTGAAGTTTTTGTCTGAAACACTAAACCCCTCAACTCAGAGAGAGACACTGGTTCAAAATTACAGAAGGTAGCTGAAGAAACTGTCGAGTCCACACAGGAACTAGGGCAGAGAGGGGCAAAAGAGGATCTGATATCAGCTACCTTCTCAGTAAAGAACCTTTTAAATCTCTCACATATCTCTGATGACTGCTCAATTTTGCATGAGGTACGTGGAGAAATTATTGCGTTAATTGTGTCAAATAAAATTTTAGGGGTGTGTGAATGTTTATTAATAATGTCTGAAAAGTATGTAGCTCTAGCCTTTTTTGCTGCTTTTTGAAAGTTTACTTGTGCATCTCTAAAGATTTCAAGAGAGACAACAAGGTGATCTTTTCTCCAGCGCCGTTCTGCTTTACGACAAATCTGTCTGAGTGAGCGAGAGAGATCATCCAGCCATGGCTGTGATTTCATTTTTGGATACTTATATTTTAAAGGAGCTACACAGTCTAAGATATCTGAACAAGAAGAATTAAAAAGAGAAATTAAATCATCAGGACTTGAGGAATGCTCAGCAGCAGCTAATATTGCTGTAGACACTTTGTTACTATTAAACATAGTAGAAAACTGATTTGCAGTGAGAGAGTTTATGCAGCGAGAGTGAAAACCTTCACTTTTTGTAGTACCAGAGAAGTATGACAGAGTAGTGTTAAAAACAATAGGCTTATGATCTGAGAAGGAGGCATCTTCAATGACAATATTTTCTATGGAAAACCCGTAGGACATTATAAGGTCCAAAGTGTGGCCTAGTGCATGTGTAGCACCAACAATATGCTGAGTAAATCCAAAAGAATCCAAAACATGCATAAACTCAGTTTCCAAAGGCTTTCCAGGGCAGCACACGTGAATATTAAAATCCCCTAAGATTAATAAACGATCATAAGATGTGATTATATGAGAAACAAATTCAGAAAACTCCTTTATGAAACCTCTATCAGGCTTAGGAGGCCTGTAAACCAGAACACACAGAAAAGGAGTGGTATCCGATTCTATCAGAGCACATTGGGATTCAAATGTAGTGAAGTCCCCGACAGAGATAGTCCGACATCTGAACCAGTTTCTGAAAACCATAGCCACCCCACCTCCTTTCCCAATACATCTAGGAGTGCTGATAAAAGAACAGTTTAAAGGACAAAGTTCACCGAACACAGAGGACTCACCCGCTCCAATCCAGGTCTCAGTTAAAAAAAGGAAGTCCAAATTGTGGCTTGTAAAAAAGTCATTCAAAATAAATGTCTTATTGGACACAGATCTAGCGTTCAACAAAGCCATGTTGATGTGGGAAATGACTTGTAGATCTGACTGATGAACATAATCCAGTGATTTGATGTGTTGGAGATTTACGCCCCTACGTCGGATGCGCACCCGTGGAGGAGCTCCGAATTCGGCCAGCTGCCGTTTGTCCGGGAAGATAGGCAAGTGACAGGTGTATCTCACGTCCCACGAGCGTCGAGCCGGGTGCAAACCGCGGTGACCATACGTAGGTACAAATGAGCACGCAGTATGTAGAGCCAATGAAATAGAAATTTCCTTCCTCATCCTCACCCGGACACCTCCGCGATTTCCTCTTCTTCTGCGACGTTTTCGTTGATAGATAAGACAGCAGGGAAGCCGGCGAACAAACGCGGCCGTGGGAAAAGGAAACGATGAATAGCAGTAGTCATGTGTTATGGAGCAGTCTCTGGGTTGATTCTCCAACAAACCTCTAATGTTTAACAGTGCTTGGCGATCATATGAAATTAATGCATCAACGCAGCTCATGAATAAGAGAAGAAAAAGCACTGATAGAATGGTTGCCGAACAGACATTTAAAAATTGACGAGGCAAACGGCATGCCGACAAACACACAGGCGCCATCTTTTGCACACGTCCAAGGACAGATAAGAAGTAAATAACCTATATTCAATGAATACAGATATCCATTTTCCATGACTTTTCCAAAACTTTGTGGGGTTTTCAGATTTTCCAAAACTTTTCCAGGTTTGGAAAATGTCATATCAAAATTCCATGACTTTTCCAGGTTTTCCATGACGGGATAAACCCTGGATTATGGACGCAGTAGCACAATAGGGTCATGTTCTAGCTATAGTCACGTGAAAAAAAGCTAATACGCCCTGTGAAATTCCATTTCTTTGGCTTAGTCCCTCATTTATCTGGGGTTGCCACAGCGGAATGAACCATTAACCATTCCAGCATATGTTTTGTGCAGCGGATACCCTTCCAGCCAGTTCTGGGAAACACCCATACATATACACACTACGGCCAAATTAGTACATTCAGTTCACCTATAGTTAGGGCCAGACGGAATCTGCAACCGTTTTTTGCTATTTCTGCGGAGAATTTTGGTAAAAATCTGCGGATTTCTGCAGAATTAATTTGGGAGTATCCAGCGGAGTATAATAACTTACACCTTAATATATTAATTAAAAAGTAATAAATTACTGAAAAAAAACTGAATGAATTCAGATTTACACATTTACTCAAGTTAATAAACAGAATTAATAATGGGCTGCGGAATTCTGCGGGATATCTGCGGAAAATGTGCGGAATTCTGTGCGCGCAGATTCCGTGTGGGCCTACCTATAGTGCATGTCCTTGGACTGTGGGGGAAAACGGAGCACCCAGAGCAAACCCATGCAAACTCCACACAGAAATGTCAACTAATTAAAATTTAAATATGAAAAGTAAAACATTAGATGAACAATGTATATCGTTAAAGCTGCCATGAAATCAAAATGTACTCTACTCGTTTGAATATGTACATTGTAGTGTTTGTTTTTAAAGATGTATCAAAAATCATAACCTTCTCTCCCCCCTCGAAATGACTTCTCTTCACTTATCCACTTATCATTGAATGTGTCGTTTCTGCTCTAAATTTGTCCATTTGTCAATTATCCTTCATTTTGTTAGTAATACCCGTCTTTCAACAATCTAATCAGTTTGAGAAAAAAAGGACAGTCTTAACTTTTGTTCCATGGTGACTTTAAAATAAGTCAGGCAGTGCTCTGTCAATGTAATGCTTTAACTGAATAGCTACAGAGGTTTTGGAGCTTTCATTTGTGTTAATGTCTGTCCAACAGCTAAAGATTAGCCAAAATTGGTTGATGCAATAAGACAATAGCTATGTTTCAATCCACCTATTTTAATGTGCATTTTGGATATATGTTGATGGAAAAGCCAAGATGCACATAAAAGACATATGCACATTACTGAGCAGTAAGAACTGTTTATTTGATGAAAAAGATGCACCTAAACTACAACTGTAACACTTATTGAACAAATTGCAGTATGCGCATTTAAAAAAGGTCATGTGATTTTGTTATAAGAGGAGACGTGTGTCCATGCTTTTATTACATCACGGTTTGACTATTGCAATGCACTTTACAGTGGCATGTCAAAATCCCTAATTTCTTGCCGTCAGTTTGTCCAAAAGGCTGCTGCTAGATTCATTTGTAATAGCAGAAATTATGACCACATTACCCCTCTTCTAAGAGGCCTTCATTGGCTGCCTGTCCAATTCAGAATTGATTTTGAAGTGCTTTTACTGGTATATAAATCCCTCCATAATCTAGCTCCATCCTTTCTCTCAGAGCTGCTTCATTTTTACACTCCCGTGAGATCTCTTAGGTCAATTGATCAGATTCTGCGTTTAGTTCCTCAGTCCAGACTGAAGTGTAGAGGGGACAGAGCTTTCTCTGTGGCGGGTCCTCAATTGTGGAACACTTTGCCCCTTGAGATTAGAAAGGCTCCATCATTATCTATTTTCAAATCACTTCTTAAAACGTACCTTTTTAGCTTGGCTTTTTAATCTTATTTTAATAGTCCTTTCTACTGCTACATTTTTACAGACGTTTCTCTTGCCTTATTTCTCTGTTTTTATATTTTGTCTTTTTATTTTTACTTTGTTTTATGTACAGCACTTTGGTCAGTCTTGTGACTGCTTTTAAATGTGCTCTATAAATAAATGAACTTGATGTGATGAATGGACAAACCAGCAGGCTAAGCACATTGTAAAACATCTGAAATGTTGTTTTGGTCACTCTAAAACACCTTAACCATTTCAGTATTAGTGTTATTATATTATCAATGACCTCCAGAACTGTCAAGAGCTTCTGTGTGTCTTATGCCTTCAAACTCCACCGCGGGCTTATTGCGTGTCAGCATTGTCTTCTGAGGTGAAAGTCGTTTATTAAATAAGGAAAAGACTCTTGCAGTTTTGTCTACCGCAGAAAAGTCCATTTTAATTTTTGATTTGGCACCAGTCAATCAGGAAGTTACAGGATTTTATTCTCTGACTCGTTGGATGGAAACGCTGATTTATTCGCATGTCATTTATGCGACATTGCAGTTTTGCACACAAATTTAATTCACATCTATGTATGGAAACAGCTAATGATACCAAACACACCAGCAAAAAAAAGAACAGCGGTAAAAGTAAACTAAAAGTTTGTAATAGTTTAGTCACACTGAAATACTGTGGCAAGAGCTGTGCGAAACACTCAGAAGCCACAAGAAACAAGTATCCTCCCATAATAGGCCACACATAAAGGTCTGGGTAAATTAGTAATCAAACAAACGTGTTGTTTTAATCGTCGTGTTGGAAACAGGCGGGAACAAAGATCACAACATTGCTTTAAAAAAGGCAATCAGTCTGAATTTCTGTGAAATGGCAAGGCTTGCACTTACCGAAGAGTCATGTGGTTCTTTTAGATGAATTGCTGTGTTTAACAGTTGTCATATTGCAGTTATCAACCATACGGTGTCTGATGAAAATGGTGTCTGTTAACAGCTACATGAGGAGCAGCGTTCTCTAGTCACAGACACCAGCTCAATAAATGCACAACTAGTTGACCTAGAGGGAGGAGGAGGAATAGATGAACAGGTAAGAAACATAAAATCAGTAGATCAATAATTGTACACTCATTCTTACCGGATGACCTAAAGGGCAATTACGGATTTTTCCGGGAAAAATAACAAAACGGGAGGGTGGCGGGAGATGGGTCTGAATTACGGTAGACTCCCGAGAAAAAACGGGAGTGTTGGCAGGTATGCTACAGTAAGAACTTTCCCAATGATTATTTGATGTATGTATTGGTGAGTTAATTCAAGCCTTTCTGCAACGATGAGACACACATAATGTTGCGTAAGCACGCACGCACACTCAGTTGTTGATAAGATTATACACGTTAATAAGATTATACACACAGACTTGTTCTAAGTTCTGTCAATCAATTCACTGGGCAGGAAAACCACACTTCTATGTCACGTTGCGGTGGGCCTCAAAATAGGAGGGATTTGAATCATATGTCAGGAAATGAAAAAGAAAAAAAAAAAAAGACTTATTGACTTTATATCACCCCAATGTGACTGTGGACACTATACCTACACACAGTTCTGTCCAAACAGCTTACAAAAGTTGATTTTCATCATAGGTGCCCTTTAAATCAGTAGATCAATAACCAAAGACTCTCTCTGATGTGAAAACTTAAGTCAGTGAATCATTAACTGGAGACTCTTTGATTGGATCATTTGAATCAGGGACACATTACTAGTGGAGAACTCTAAGGTGCTGGGCTGTTGATATTGTTATAATTTTAATATTTAACAATATTGTGATATTCAAAATTTTGGAGTCAAACAGGATAACAGTGGCCACAAGTGTCTCCACCATCTTTAAAAGTCCCTGTAGCCATCTTGACAGAAATCCCACTTCTGCTTTTATTTGATCGAGTGAAATAAGGACAAATGGCAGATTTAGTTCATCTGAATTTATACTATTTGCATTCAGTCTTATAGTAAATTCAATTCAAATGCAATACCTTCTCGAGTAGTAGGTTATTTTGGACACATCCACTGATCAGTCCAGTTCCTGAATGGATTCTTCAGTGCGAGTGATGCTGATTGCTCTTTCCAGGAGTTTGAGTGGACGGAGGTGTTCATGCAGCAGGCCATCCATACTATAGAGTACTGTCTGGGCTGCATCTCTAACACTGCCTCATACCTCCGCCTTTGGGCCCTCAGCCTCGCTCATGCACGTATGCGCACAATTACAAGCATCCACAACTGCCACACATTCACTTACAGTCCAACTGTCAGATGCGTAATATGTTGTGTATTTGTGTGTGTTAGAGCTGGCGGAAGTCCTCTGGGTGATGGTAATGAGGATTTCCTTGTCGTGGCAAGGCTATGTTGGCTCTGTGGTTCTGTCAGTGGTTTTCTCCCTCTTCGCCACGCTCACCGTCTCCATCCTGCTGGTTATGGAGGGACTGTCGGCCTTCCTGCATGCACTGCGGCTGCACTGGTGAGAAAAACACACACAGGAGAAGAGTGTTTGCAAAAATCTAAGAAACATGCCAATTCAATATATTTGTTTATGTGAAAAACAATGCTGAAGTTCGTCAGTCTTCCTGGAAAATGTACATTTCATGTCAGAATTTCTGTCCTTGTTTTGGTCTCGATAATCAGCCCACTGCTAATAAGCAATTATAGTTCAGCACCCCAGGTTGCCATTGCAGAATACACTGCGTTTTCCCCATTTTAGGCATGAAGGGTACCACAATATATGCGGGCACTGACAAAAATGTGACCTTTAGAGGACAGTAGCATTTTCCAAAATGAAAATGGTGTTATTTTTAATCAGTAAATGATATAAGTATTAGCTGAGCAGCTTACAGTGCAAGGCTTGATGGTCAGGCTGGCTAGCTCCTTTTGGTGGCTTTAATCTGGCAACCTGGATTTGTGTAGTGGTCAGAGGAGGGTCCAGGTAAAATAAAAAAAATCTCCAACAATTTGAATTTGGACTGTTATACCTAGTTCAACCACTAGGTCAATCCAACATACTGCACCTTAAAAAAAATAGATGTCCACCTTTAAACATTTTTCTAGGTCAGTTGACTGAAGAGGTCCAGTGCAGCCCCAAAATACAAACAGTCATGTAAAACTGTATAAATAAGTTGCACCATTTTGTTAGCCACTAGATTTGACGTACTCTTTCTCTCCTTCGGGTTATTTCTATCATTTTTTGTTGAATCCAAATAATGATATACATGTTTTACTTCAGGGCTATTCAATTAGTTTGTTATGGGGGCCGGTTTATGAAAAGCATCCCAAACGTAGGGCCGGAGAGATGGGACTTGCTAGATGAGTGATAACACAACTGCATATAAGAGCCCATATGCTGTATTTTTGCTCCTTAAGACACCCACATTGGCTTTTTCTACATTAAAATGTTAATATGTTGTATTTTGAAACTACATAATATTACTGCATTGTAAAATAGGCTTTTTTATTTTTTTACATACATTCAAATGTATTTCAGAGAACAAAAGCAGTGCATTGCTTAAGTAGGCTTCTTCTACAATCAGACATTCATTTGTTGTTTTGAACTACATAATTAGGAATGCAACATGGTTTCCGCTACATTCATTCTTCCTAGGCGGGGCGGCACGCCAAAATTCATCCCGCCACGGCTACATTACAGCTTCTCATTCAAAACATTATTTTTTTTAATAGCGGGTGATAATCGCACCAAAACGTATAAAAAGGTAAGTGAATTATAACAGTGCAAACTTTTCTGTAACCATAGTAGTGCTGTGCGTAATTTGTTATGTGCTGACTGTCTGACTGACAGATGCATGATGCATGAGGCCAGCAAACACGACGTATAGCCGTTTCACTTTACTTCTGGAAGCATTATCGCTCTGTAGGTCTATTGGAGACATTCATAAAATGTTTCTAGCAAATCTAATAAATGCTGGAGACATAAATGCACTAAATCGCACTTCAGCAGCGTTTATTTGAGAGCACACAAGAAGATCTGCGCGCTCTTGAAGCGGCTTATATCTGATGTGGCGTGCAAAAAGTTTTGTGCACAAGCAGAGGAAATTAGCGTGCAAGCAAAGAGATGCGCATGCTGTAATCTATCAGATAAATGCGATCTCGACTTCTAATACTGCGCTTACGACATTTGTCATTGAAAAAAACGCCACAGGTAGTTGGTAGATCTGCGTGTAAAAAAAAAAGGCTTGCCGCCACAGCTGGAAAAAATCCTTAAGCAAACACTGATGCAACAATTATAGATGTTGGTTGTACGACTATATATAGTGTGAAGAATAATCATGGTTTCACGGTTATCACGTCTAATGTGAATTCAAGCTTTATATTAAGTAGCTATTTACATTAACTGTTGTTGCCATCTGCGTTCACATGTGTAGGAATTATAGTGGACATTTTAATTGCATTTAATGTTTGCGATCTATTATTACTTAATCACACAAACGTGCACCTGTATGACATTAGGCTTTGATGTTAATATGACGTTAGCTTGCTTTATTTTAGTGTGTAGCACTTGGGCCTTTAGTCTCACCAATTAAATTACCCTTACCTTAATGATTTATGGCAATCCCACCCGACCTGTCATCCATTTAATGGTTGTAAAGGATAATAGACATCTAGTCAGTTGTTTTCTCTTCATTCTTATATACATAACAGCGGATTAGCTTGTCCGGTTTTATTCTGCATGCATAACAGCCTAGGTTTATATTATCCTGATTATCACATGGCTATTTGCCACATAACTAAACAGTTGGACACAAAACAGATCTAATCTATAATGATGAAGTATCTTTTTTGTTAAATGTAAAGCTGACAGGAACACAAATGGCTAAACGCAGCTGATATACAAACCTACGTATTATTCAGTCACAAGATGGCGCCAAACGGTCACAAACAGCAGCATGACAGGAGATGAGCAGAGAAAAACGGTCAAAATGCGGTAACATGGTTATTACTTACGTTTGAACGTCCATTGACGAATCAGTATCAAGTATTCCAGAGAGACGTGTAATAATCACTGTTAAGCACCTGCTATAAACACATTTACTCCACTCCAGACAGACACAAAGTTAGTAGTAATTACAATGTAAATTAAACGATATTCAGCAAAGGAAAAAAATGGAGGCAAACTTGCCATACCCCTGCTGAAAAATCCTACTTAAACCAGCCTCCAGGTCAGGCTGGAAAATGACCAGCTAAAGCCAGCTTGACCAGCCTGGTTTAAGCTGGACATAGCTGGTTTTGGCTGGGCTCCCAGCCTGGCTAAGCTGGTTTTAGCTGGTCATCTCCCAGCCTGACCATCTAAGACCAGGCTGGAAATGGCCAAAACCCCTCTAAAACCAGCCTGGTCGACCAGCTAAAACCAGCCAACCAGCCTAGGCTGGTTTACTCTGTTTTTTTCAGCAGGGACGTGTCAAGGACAACTTTCAATATGATAAAATCCTATTAATGTAAAGATGTAATACTCTTCAGGGCTTCCACTAATTTAAAGTATCAGTCAGTTCAGTTGTGTTTTATTTTTGTCTCTTTGTGTGTGTGTGTGTGTCATATCAGGACACAAATCTGTACAATGACAAAGGTATGACAGGTATTACAAAAAGAAGGTGAAATATGAGGACATTGGTGACGTCCTCATTTCTCAAAGCTTTTAAATCACACAGGATAAGTTTAATCAGAGAGTAAAGCTGCACAAAATCTCCTGTGATGGTTTGGTTTAGGGATAGGGTGGGGTGAGGGCAATACAATATATGGTTTGGACAGTATAAAATGAATGGAAACTTATGTAATGTCCTCACTTTTCATAAAAACAGGCGTGTGTGTGTGTGTGTCAAACTGACATTTCCATTCCTCTTTCGGCGCAGGGTGGAGTTTCAGAATAAATTCTACCGCGGATCTGGATACAAGTTCAACCCTTTCTCCTTTGAATCAATCCAGCGTTTGGAGTGAATGTAAATACTACATGTAAAGATGCTTTTATACTTCATTTTGAAGCTGAATGTGTTTCTCAAGTATTAAAAAGCAATCAAATGGATAGTTCATCCTAAATTAAAAACGAAAAAGTATTCCAAACCGGTGAAGTTTGTTGTAATATAACAAAATAAGCTGTTTTGATGCTGTCCAAAGACATGCGCTGTAGGCGAATTGAATAAGCTAAATTGGCCGCAGTGTATGTGTGTGAATCAGTGTGTATGGATGTTTCCGAGTGTTGGATTGCAACTTGTAAGGCATCTGCAACATACGTTTCAAAATGAATGAATGGTGATGTTTTGAGAAATGTTCATTTAACACAGTCAATACACGTCACCACATGAGGATTTTTTTATTTTAAGTTGAACTGTCCCTTTTATTATTTATTTGGTCTCAGGGTTTGTTTTATAAGCTTCCTGAGGACTTAATGCTGAGCATATGATGTATGGATTACAAAGATAATACTAATAAAGCTTTTAACTAAGAAATTTGTGAATTATTGTATTCCTTTCAAAATAAAGACAAATGGACTCTTAGGGGCCGATCACTCCGAACGTGCTTTTACGTTTCATGAGGCGCACCACACTGCCTTTTTTGTTGGCAAAAAAATAAAAATAATAAGCGTGGTGCACTTTTTATCTTGCTGGGCAGGCAACGACTGAGCGCCCGATCACACCAAACATGCTTTTCTATCCAAAAAACTTGAGGCACACTGCAATGCCTTTTTTTTTGACAAGAAAAAAAGTGCGGTGTGATTTTTATTTCGCTAGGCAACGACTGAATCAGCTTTGTATTGTGCGCAAGTGTTGCTGATGATAATTGTGATATTTAATAATATTGTGATATTTAAGACTTGAAGTCATACAGCTCCAGATAACTCAAAACAGCAACCACTAGTCTCGGTCTTCAAAAGTCTTCATAGTCGTCTTGACAACACAAACACTGCTGTCACCTCAACGGAAACCCCGCCTCTGCTTTCGTTTAATTGGAGAATGAAAATGAGCGGTAAAAGTGTTATGTCACTTGTCAAAAAGTGCTTTCAGTGTGACCGCCCCCTTAAGGAGAGACTTGTGGTTGCGGCTTTGAGTTATCCGGTACTGTAAGAATCATATTAAAATCAACAGCAACAATCAGTGCATATTATGTGGCGCACTATGCATATTACGTTTTTGGAACGGAAAAGTGTGTCAAGTGTGATCAGAGAAGTCAGTTTTTTTTTTTGGTATTGTGATGCAGTTCCTAAAAAAAAACAGATTATTAAATGCCACAACAGTGGGCGTGGCTTGCTTTTTTCTACCGAGAGCTGATTGGATTTAGTAAAGTAGGCATTTTATTCAGAAAGATCAGGAAAATAGTTTGGGGAGAGTTATTACAACCTAACAGACTCCTCCTGGGGTCCGTTCTTCGTACGTGGATTACTCAGTTAGCTAGATTTGGATATTGACGATTTGACACGATCCAGGATCGTTTCGTTCTTCAAAGCTGATCCGAGAGTTGTTGTCATAGCAACAGCTCTGCTAGGTCAAACCTGATCGGGAGCAGGTTCAATTCATATAAACAGGATTAGATCGGCTTAGTTCAAGCAAAGATAATACAGAAAGTATGTTCCCAATTCTGATATTTTCTTACAGTAGTAGTTATACACACTTGGGAAAATGGTACATATTTTTAACCATATATATATATAAAAAGTTATAGTCATTAATAAAATAAATTAAGTTATACATATTAATAAAACGTATGCAATCTGCACCCTCGAAATGAAAGTACAAAGACTGCCACCTGGTGGTGCAAAGAGAAAACTTATTGATATGAACTTTTTAGATCGCTTTAGTACAAATTGTGTATAATAGAAATGCACAATATGTGACTTTTTAAAAGCAATAATACATTTCAGCAGTCATTAACATGTTTTGACAGTTAATATGCCGGTGATTTGATGCTTCACAAAAGTTGCAGATGCCTTTACCAATATCAAAATGCTTTTATAAACAACCAGTTATTCTTTACACCGATTAAAAAACGGCTACTATAATAAAGAAAATATTTTCTAAATGTAGAACTAAATACATTGATTTGCATTGAAATACACACTTGACACATGAAAGTGTAAAGCCTGCAGCTCACAACAAATGTGGAAGGTTATTGCGTATCATATTTAACAAGCCGTTTACTGCTAATTTGATGTAATTTTGCTCACATGGATAATTGAATATTAATTAGATGATGTCATTACGCTGCTGTGCCGTCAGCCAATCGTTGCACTGCTGATCATGATTTCAAGGATCGATAGATCTGTCCTTCACAACACACGCAGCGATCTCAGATCAGTTTATCCAGACATTCTAATCTGATTCGCGTCAAATTTGAAGAACCAAATTAGCGAGAGATCAGTTATCAAGATTAAAAGATCCAGGATCTGCCAAATCATCTTAGATCATTTAAGCGAGGTATGAAGAACGGACCCCTGCTCACTTTTTCTGTTTTTTGTCAAAACTGACAGTTAAAGGGGTGTGGTTAATTTGTTAGCCACGCCCAATTCCTATCATATACTGACTATTTAACTGAAAAAAACGGATGCATTTGCACCTTAGGTTTAAAGATGAGAAGGGCAAACTTTTTCTTTCTTAATGACATGCACAGATGAATTGTTCACCACAAAACAAGCAATGTGAGCTAACAAAGTCATATGGTTGGTTTTGATTTCACGGGCATTTGCATAACGTATAATAAACTGCAAAATTTGATGAACCCATAAACTAACAGACAGAGTGATGAAGCGTCCAATAATGAAAGCAAAATTCAAACACCTCGTTTGCTTTCCACTTTTTATTTTTCTGCTTTTTAATGAAAAAAAAAAAACCCTAACCGAACAGCAACTTTTCCATTTTTAAAAAGTCCTCAGAAAATAATTGCTATCATGTTGCTACAAGTTGCACTTAAATTATAGCTTTCCCAGGGTAAATGGAACAACTTAGCCTAAACCGCGAGTTTAGACAGAACAGGAGAACGCAGGTGAACCAGCCGTTAAGAGATGACAGCAAGCAGAAGAACAAACCATCAGATGACAGAAAACTAAGAAAGAGTGAGCTCAGTTTTGGTGTGACTGAGTTTAAACTTGTGTGTTTCGCGTCAGGCAGCAGAACTTTCAGAACCATTGAACCACCAAAACTGTGTTCAGACACAAAAGAGTCTCTAAGAGTATGAATGAACCATCAGGGTGACTATCATTGCTGCCACTACATTCCCTCAAGTGTGGAGGATGACAACTATCAGGATCTGCCATTTTCTTCCTTTATACAGCTTACCTAGCACTGATACCACGGCAAACACACGAGTGGCTGCATCTGGACCAGAACCAACCTTCTTGGATGACGCAGTTCAGATTCTCCTGAAGAATTCACTTTGGATTAGGCTGAACGTCCAGAGAAGAAGAAAAGCCACACGCTGGGTGTTTCTGAATCAGATTCGACTGGGTGCTGGAAATCAAATCCTCCCCTTGACTTAAAGACACACCAGCACAGGACATAAGCCTGTTTTCCGGCTGTGTCTAGAAGAGCAGCGATCCGTCCGTCTATGTTCCTCAGCCTCATCCTCTCAGTCAGGCTAGACGTGCCTGTGTTTGAGTGGGATGGAGCACTCGTGAGCTCGCTAAGCTGAGCTGTGTGTGTGTATATATATATGTGTGTATATATATGTAAATGTGTGTGTGTGTGTGCTTGTGGGCGAGTTAGGATACTCTCTGAATGAGTTTGTCCTCGGTCAGGCAGAATACGGTGCAGTAGGACAGGTCCGAGATGAAGTTTTCGCAGCCATGTCGGGTCACGTTCTTGCAGCCCCGCAGATCCAACAGAGCCAGAGCGGATAATCGCTTCATATATGAGAGACAGCCATCTGACAGCTTATTACAACCTGGACAGAAGATCAAAACAAGTCAATACCCCAAACACACAAACACACACACACCCACCCACAGAAAGCTATCTTTATGGGAGCTTCTCATAGACGTAATGATTTTTATACTGTACAAACACCTGCCAACATTGGTCTCTGAAATTCCAGGAGGGGGTGTTTGTCTGAATGTGTTTGAGGGGTGTGTGTTTGTCTGAATAACAGTTAAGAACTGGGTTAGTAACTGTACTATGCACCGGGTTTCAGTCGGATTCTGTATCAAAGTTGGAGACCTGAGGGTTATTACAGACTGTACCAAAAAGCTGAGGACCAAGGGTAGGGTGAAATTACAGGAGTTTTCCAGGAGAAATAACAAAACGGGAGGGTGGGGGGAGATGGGTCTGAAATACGGCAGATTCCCGGAAAAACAAGAGCGTGTTTGCAGGTATGGTACAAACTGTAAAGTCTATCCCCATACTCAAATCCTACTCCTAAATGAAACCCTCTGTATTTTTATAATAGTTGTCCAAGAGGACCACCAGCTCTGCACATTTTCCATGTCTCCTAATCACACACACCTGATTCAGATCATCAGCTCATTAGCAGAGACTGAGAGATCTGTAATGGGTGTGACAATAGCCCCTTTCACACAGTGATACCGGTAAATATCCGGAAAATTTCCGGAACGACTTTACCGGTATATTCAAAAAAGCGCTGTTCACACAGGCGAGGACGTTACGGAAATTTTCCGGAAAAGAGCATTCACACATCCATTCCAAAATACCGGTAAATTCTGACATCATTCACCACAAATGAGCTTTAAACGGCTGCGCTTGTATTTGTAAACATTTGACTAAATTACAAACTCTGTGGATGATCAATATTGTGAACAACTTTCGCAGGATCACTTTCGCATGTCGAGATGTTTATAATGTACGTGCGCAGGCGCTCACAGGCTGTTTCACAGGCACACGCAAAGCTTGAAGGTAAACAAACAATGGCTTATCATAAGCATCTCATCGATGATTATTTACACAGTTGGCATTAAGAAGAACATATATTCCGTCAATTTTCCGGAAAGGTCTGTATGTGTGAAAGGGGCTAAAGAAGACATCCATAACATGCAGTGTTGGTGGCCTTTCTGGAACATGGTTGAGAAACACTGATCTACATTATAATACACTAACCGGCCACTTTTTTTTTAGGTACACCTGTCAACTGCTCGTAATGCAAATTTCCAATCAGCCAATCACATGGCAACATCACCTTGCATTTAGGAGTGTAGACAAGACGATCTGCTGCAGTACAAACTGAGCATCAGAATGGAGAAGAAAGGGGATTTAAGTGACTTTGAATGTGGCATGGTTGTTTGTGCCAGATGGGCTGATCCGAGTATTTCAGAAACTGCTGATCTACAGGGATTTTCATGCACAACAATCTCTAGGGTTTACAGAGAATGTTCTGAAAAAGAGAAAATATCCAGTGAGCGGCAGTTCTGTGGGAGCAAATGCCTTGTTGATGCCAGTGGTCAGAGGAGAACGACCAGACTGGTTCGAGGTGATAGAAAGGCAACAGGTACTCAAATAAGCACTCGTTA